TCCGGCCTCTGGTATTTATTTTTCGACCCACCCACCTCCCTTTCATACTCAGCGTATTCACGTCTGGGTGTCACGTGTTCCCATAGGGGATACATTTATCACTCAGACGTGTTTACAGCTCGAAGCTGAGCATCAGGAGATCCATTTGTGGCGCTTCAACTCCGCTTTCCATCCCGATCGGAGTTTGCCGTTCTCCTGTGCTCACGCTTCCCCACCAAATAAATACCAGAGGCCGGACGGTCTCTAGAGGCTCTGGTGGTCGGGGAAGAAAAGAGCGTGAGAACCTCGCTTGCCGCCCTCGCCTCTTTTCTCGTGCGGCATTGTCTCACATTTGGCTGACAGACTTACTTAGCTCACGTAAGGTCTATTACCTCGTTCCTCGGCATCGCTCTGACACCCGTCAACTACCTACGCTACCTGCGCTATGGGTCCCGTAAATTTCCTCACCAACAGATATCCGCTTTGTGTCCTGTAATATTCTTGAGCTTTGAGATGGTCCCTTTGATCGTCGACAGGCTTTCGCCACGTCTTCCGAGATAGACTGAAATAGACACTGCACATCTAGTAACGTAGCCCGGCCGCCGTCCACATCCGTAATCCACCCTGGGCACTTGTTTCTCCCCAACTGTCTCGAACTTTTAGACTCAAGTTCCGCTTGGTCAGCTGTACTTATGACCCATCTGGGTTCATCGCTGTCCATTGTCTGTGGCGGCCGTGAACGACTGCATAGATCCTCTGGCTCCCCACAGAAGCTCAGCATAGGTTCAGTACACAATGAAAGTGCTTGTTATTGGCGCGTCCGGTTTGTTCATTTCTTCCCCTCCCGTCCACCGCCCATCCTGAGCTACGCCTCATTTTACTTGCTAATATAAAATCTCTTGCCTCACTGACGTTTGACAACTTTGTGCAGGCCGAATTGGCTCCGCTGCTGTAACCGCCTGTCTTGCTCGAGGACACACCGTCACCGCCTTCCTCCGCACCCCATCCAAACTGCCTCCCAAACTGCTGGAACATGCTAATATCGGTGTTAATGAGCACGCAAAGACGCAACTCCGTATCTTCAAGGGAGATGCGTCAAATGTTGACAATTTGAGGGAGGCTATGAGGGGTACGTATCGCACCTTTCCGCAGAGGCCTCATGTCTCTCCCTTGCGATTGAGACGTCTGATCCTTGAGTCCCTCGATGATGTATGCTGATTTTTGAAACGTTGTGTGTGAAATAAACTTACCAGATCAGGACGCGATCATCCAAGCCGCCGTCTACGGCTCCAACACTCCCTGGGGAACCTCCGACTCAGAGCTCGTCGTCCGCACCATCGTCGACGTCGCCTCATCCATCCAGTCTCAACGCTCCTCCACTAACCCCACATCCGAACAACGCTCTAATCAACGTCCCCTCCGCCTCTGGCTCCTTTCAGGCCAAGTCCTCCTCGATATCCCCGATGGCAGGTCGAGCCCGCCGCGTATCGAGGGTGATGTCCTTCCCATACACCCAGAGCATTATGCGAACTATGCTTATGTAAAAGAGCACGGTGCATCGTTGGAATGGAGTTTACTGTGTCCTGGGAAGGTGGACGATGGGGAGGTGAGCTACCATCTACCTTTCTCACAATCTAAAACGAATTCACAACGCCTTGCTGATGCTCGCTCTATTCCTTGCTCTTTCTCCTCCGCCTTCTTAGCCCTCCGGCCCCCTAGTCCATACCGTCGACTACATTCCGCTCTATCGGCCTCCAGGTTTCATCGGCAATCTTCCTTTCGTCGGGCCCTTGTTCAACATCATATACAACTTCTACTATCAAAAACTGACGTACAAGTCCGTCGGTGAGTTTCTGGCGGATAATCTGGGACCTGGAGACGGAACGATTGAAGGTGAGAGCGGGATGAGAGGCAAGAGGGTTGGGTTGTTGGAGAATTGGGAAGTGAGAAGGTCTAATTGACGTGCAGCATTGAAGTTTGCGCATCGACGTATCGGGGTGGTTCGAAGGTCGAGAGCGAGGGCTAATATGAACTTCGCGGTGGTTCGCGGTGGTTCGCGCTGTTCGTGACATTGTTGGTTGGATCTCATGAGGCTTGTCACGCCTTTCCGTCTAGAGCTCTCTACGATGGTCCGTACCTACTTACGAATCATTTCCGTCAGCTCCCAGCCCTCGATTCGCAGTATCCCGAATACCGGAGGCATACGCTTTACGGTAGTTGGAAGAAGTCATCGCCGTTAATTAGTACGCATTGTGGTTCGAATATCGATGTAAGGAGCTATTGATTGTCGTCAGATCAATCGTCGTGTTGTAGTACTAGTATGGAAATTAGATATAGCGATACAAAATAGAGGTTTGACAAGGCGATAGTACAGCGGATTACTTGTCGTAGTAGATTGAGCAACAGAGAAAAGCGAGTCACAACATCAAGAGACATGAATTAGAAATATCATGTCAAGGTCCATATTATGCCCTCATGATCAAATGTATTCATCCACCCAGAAACAGCACCCGACGTACTAATACCCCGACTGTGTAGTGCTAAACGTAGGAGTACCCGAGTATACTGAAATCGAGCTGGGTAACAGGGTGACGCTGGAAGCTGGGTCGAGCGTCGTGGTGGGGGCCCCGACGATCTTGAGCGGTGCGTCTGCTGCTGTGTTGGCGGTGCCATTCGCAAAAGTGGTCGTCTGGTTCCAGATAGGGCAAAGGTCGCGCCATGCCTCTGTATAAAAGAGGTTCAGAGTGAGTAATCCTGAATGCATGACGCGAATGAGACTGAGAGAGGGTAACGCACCGGATGTCGGGTCCTTCAATGGTGTACCCTCCACGTCTTCCGCCATAACTGCCGCGAATCCGGCGGTGAGATGCCAGTCGATGTGACAGTGGATGAACCACGGCCCAGGATTATCTGCCTTAAACCGGATGACGGTCGTGTCGTTCTGAAACTGGCCAAGTCGGACTACGTCGCGGCGGACAGGATTCTCGTAGTTGTATTCGTAAGACCCGGCGCTGCGGACGACAGAGAACGAGTGCTGTGAAGCGTAATGGTCGATTAATCGAAACTCTCGGTTGAGCATAAATGCAGAGGGAGAAGTGACTCACGCCGTGAAGGTGTACCGGATGCTAGGTCATCCGTCCAGTCAGTATCCGATGGATACCGATAGAAGAACGAGCTCACATTAGTCCCAGCTCCCTCCACACCGGGGAGTACGATCTCCACTGTTTCTCCCCTGTTTACTGGGTAGATACTCCCATGCGGCAAAAGATCTTGCGCGCGGTGAGCTCTACTGAGAATCTGAAGCAACACCGGTACGTCAGGATTTTCATATGTGACTCCATTCACGCTGAAGTTGGCTCCAGTTTGATTGGCGTTCTGGACAGCATAATGACCACGAAGAACTTAGCCAGAAGTATACGAAGAGTACTGAGGGTGTCCTCACCAGTGCTACAGCAAGTGCTATGGTGCGGTCAGCGCCTCCAGGCCATGGATTTCCAGGCTGATAAGAACAGTTTCAGACCTAGAATCCTGAGGAAATGACCTTCATTAAAATACTCACCGCTCGTGGATCTTCCCTGGCCTGAGAATAAGATCAGTTATACGTGTCAAGCTTACACACTAGAATATAGAGACATACATGGAGATCCGTTTCGTTCAACGCTAACAGCGAGACAGTCTGATTAGTGTTTGGCTCTACGTCTGGCGCTCCTATGTAGCGCAGTATTGCAGAGTTCAAGCCGCCTTCGTAGGTGCCGAGCTGGAAACCGATATCAGGACCAGCACGAATCCCTATGCAGAAGAGGTTCTGGGTTAGGAAATGTTGAGTGGAGAAATAATAGTTCGAACTGACAGTAGTTGTCCACATTCTGGCTTGCGTTGAGCTGTGGAAAGATGCGGGAAAGATATTAATAGTAAGAAACTGATGTTGCCGTGATCGAGACAAATGGACATACAACGATAGAGTAACGTTGGGCTGCCATCATGCAAGGAAAAGAAGTCTCGTGAATAAGGCGAGCAAGAGCGAACACGTAATACGCCTACCAGCGTAGATAGTGAGCGAGTCCACCAGTAGCGGTTCTACATTATTCCCATCTGCCTCAATGATTGTAAACTGGTGCCCATCGATGCTGAAGTCGAAGCTCGAGTCACAGGAGATTGACACCAAACGAAGGCGATACCTTATGGGTTAACGTCGTGAGTTTGGAAGAGCCGGATCGCTACGGATATGTAATGCTACGAACCGTTTGCCTTGTTCGACGTTGACTACGGCTAAGGGTACTTGTGGGCCACCGCTGTAACGGCCCACTCCGTTGATCAAGGTGCTGTCAGGATTGCTATGAAGATCGCATAGGTGAATACACGTGATTTTGGGACAATGAAGAAGGCGCGCACGGTACTGGCGGCTTGTTCGGGTCATTTGAGCGGTAGTGGTACCTAGAGTAAACGGAGCGTGCATCAACATCGACGAAGATCATGGAGCATAGCCAAACTTACCAGTCTCCGAGCGTAATTACGGTAGTCTCTGTCAAAAAGAGAACATGCCTGTGTAAACGTTCGTTCTGATAGAGCAGAGAAGTTGGTACGCACCATTGTCGTAGTCATAGAGGTTCAAGTATGGATCCTCGGGATCGTAGATCACAAGTGGACCTCTTAACCCGTCGCAGTATTGGTTCGAGAAGTGAGAGTGATACCAAAAGGTCCCAGGCTAGATAATATATGGAAATTATGAGGAAACATGGCAACGAGGTATCTAGACGGACGAACCTGATTCTGCTGTACCGTGAAGTTATAGAGGAAAGAGTGCTTTGGAACGATGGGCTAAGGGGAAAGATAAATATTTGAGAGCCTGTTCATATTTATGTCTATAGCGAATATGGCTGACACATTGAGTGACGAATGCAGCACCGTCGTAGGGATTGGTCCTATACTGGTTGATCCCATGCCAATGCTAAGATATCGGCAAGCCGTGTCAGGAAGAAAGATACTCTGTCTCTCCGGTACCGTGACATGACAGACGTACGATGGTTGTATAAACATCTAAGCCATCAGTGTCGTTCAACTGATTTATCACGTTGATCTGGAAGTTATCTCCCTGGAACCATGACAGAACGAACACGACATAATGCATGTGAAAATGGAATCTGGACGCAAGAATCAGACGCCTACCTTATTGCCTTTGATTAATGGTCCAGGAAATGTGCCGTTTGCAACGACGGTTCTGCGACGAGCACGTTTGGTAAGACAGCACAGACGTCTATAGGAGGATCGCTCACTCGCGAGGATATCCATCAGGTTGGAGCACTTCATTGACGATGGGCAGGTCCAGGCGATGAACCTTCACAGCTAGTGATTGAGATACGGCGTACGTAAGAATAAAAGAGAGGGTGGTAGAAGGCCGCATCGTCGATGGGAGACGATGAGTCAAGATCTGTATATGAGACTGGGCAGTGAAGAGAGAAACCAAGAGAGCTGACGGTCTTTTATAGCATTGCCTGGGTCTCCCTCCTGGGATTCAGTTGGAGATAATTCATGTCTCAGACGGAGGTAGACACAAGAGCAGTATCCCACTAGGTGACTCGGACCACCAGAGGGTAAGCAGTGTCCTTTCGCTTTGAAAAAATATGCGTAACTTGTTGGAGTTGTGGCACAGGTCACAAACATACCATCGATCGGGATTTGAGCAGAATAAGTATGGTGAATTGCTGAAGAATGATGAGAGAGGTTGAAATGTCAGCTAGCGCTCTGCGAGAAAGTCAACTATTCTCGAGTTTCAAGTCGTACAACGGGGTACGTCTTGTCCGACACACTATGGCAGTGTGGATTGCTGCAGTTGAGATCATTAGTGAGCAAAAGGCGTATCCGACGAGCGGACCACATCGGAAGAATGACGCTGGTCCTCCCTTGATCTCCCCTAATTCCGACGCCACTATGGCCACTCAGAGCCGTCATGAAGATACAGGTCATCATCCAACGGAGCCCACCGCTGACGTGCATTGTTATTCGAGAGCATATCTCAAACTTGTAAATTTCGTCGGAATATACGGTAAGCTCCTCGTGCTGAATGGTTCTATCGTAAGGAATGACACCCACGTTGAAGAACGATGGATAATCACTCACTTGATGCTGCTGTACTGATCTTGTCGGCTCAGAGGGTCAAAGTCGTCGATGATCTGACGCGCATATTGACGCGCAAGCCGCGCCTACACCCGGTCAAGTGACAATCAATGTTGACTCACACACAGTTCAATACTGTGATGGCGCCAGTAGTTCAGCAATGGAGAGCCTGTGACTTGAATGGACCGAAGGCCGAGCAGGCACTGTAGAAGGCTGTGGATTTTGTCGGTGATGGCTGAATGCCTGAATAGAATGATAACCAAGTGCCTGTCAAACCGTAAGCCCTTTTAGGTGTAGAAGACAAGCAAGGCAGTGTCTGTTATAATACCGTGTTTCTGCTACAGTCTGGGAGTGCATGACAGTCGTAAGTCCCCGGCGGATCAGGCTTTGAGGGCCGTTGACCTGAGTCCATGATGAAAGGGGATGAGGCTCACCCTGCCCTGGCACTACGAGAAGACCCTCGTACCATCGTTTCCGTTGAAGAAGGTTGAAGCTCTACGTTGTACAAGTTCGAAAAGAGTGCAAACATTCGCCGTCCTGCTTCGCGCTGTGAACCCAACATGCGCAAATAGATTACGTACTCATCATTTCTTCCCCCGTCCATTTCGCAGATTCTCTGCGTCATAAGCTTCCTTCCTTCCTTCAGCTTGACAACAGACGGGTCATGTTTGGTGCTTGAGACTGAGGCCTGGCTCCATTGAGATGTCAGCGAGATATTTATACACACTCGATTCTGCTGTTCCTCTGCAAGTCGTAGTTGACAGCTAGCTCGAAAGGAAATTCCCCTTTGCGATCGACCAGGTCCCGTTCTCTACCGGTGTATGTTCGCTTACCTGCTTGAGCTCAGTCCACCCGAGGCTGACTCGGACGGTATGCATGGGAGTCGACGGAGTTAGCTGAGTTCCAGGCGAAGTTATCTTTAATATGTTGTGTTATTTTAGATTGTCTCGAATGGAGTGGTTACAACTTACGGAGAGCAACATTGAAGTACTATGCTATCGGCGCCGCTGGAGTCGCCCTTCAGCTGAAGGTGTCGTGGGCTAGGTGGCCCTCCGAGATGTACGCCCAGACTGTGGCGCCGCAGCAAACTCTGAACTCCTTGCACAAGTAGCCTCGGGACCACCGGCCTTTGCATCCCTGAAGAGTTCGCGCCTGGATGTCTGCTGGGACAGGTTGCATTGAATGCGTGTAGCATAGACCGTTTGCCGCTTTGAAGATGTATTATAAGCGGCGGAATTGACGCAGATGCTCAGTTCGGGGGATCTACCGGCGCCCCGTGGTAGTTAGTTAATTCCATACATTCCTACAATTTCCGTTCCATACTCCTCCCTAAAGTCCGAACCCATCATAACGTCGCCACACCGGCATTTTTACCTTCCGTTCGTGAAGCCTTTAAAGCCACGAGCTACTGGATCTCTCCAGACCTGACCAACCCCCTCACAGCCTCCAGTGTATGATTGACCGCTGCATCTCCTACCTTATTCGCAGCTACGACCGGGTTCGTGAGGGCCTCTTCGGGGTTCGGTCCAGGAATGCCGTTGGCGAAGGAGAAGGTGAGCTGGAGCTCGCCGGCAGAATCGTAGGAGACGATGTTGGTGACGCGGAAGGTTCCGGACTCGAAGTAACACTGATGATGTGCCATGACGAAGGAGAAGAATGAGAGGAAGTTAGCAGGCGAAACAGTGATAGGTATGATCAAAGATGGGACAAGAAGACAGAGTTTAACGCACGATAGTGGGTTCGTAGAGATGGACGTCCTCTGCGATGATCTGCCCAGTCCTTGTCTTAGCACGACGAGAGATCTAGGAGACACGAGGTTATCGTCAATATATATACACTCGTTCACGAAAGCGCCGTGAGGACGAATTTGAGTGTAGGGAAGACTTACCAAAGTTCCCTCTTCCTTCACGACCTCGCACGATTCAAAGATCTCGAGGAAGCGGTGTGGTTCACGAGCCTTGATGACGAGTCCTTTCCAGAGCTGGTCGATGGTCAGGACGGGAGATGCGCCCGGCGGGTTCACGGGGCGGGTGGCAGCGATAGAGGGATTTGGGGCGGACATTTTATCTGAGTGTATGCCATGTGTTGGAAGGGTGAGTGGATGGATGATCTCTACAAAATTGGGGGAACAATAGACCGTATCTGCAACCGTTTAAAACAACTTTAAAACGGTGATCGGACCAATCGTCGAGTCCCGTTGGGCTTTAGCGAGGTCAAAATATTCTTCGCAGATACGGTCTAATACACGGGTTAGTATGAGATTCGACAACATCAATCTTTAGGTATCATGGGCTGAGGGAAAGCACATACTGTTCAAGACGCAAGAAGGAGCGAGGCAAGAGATATTTTGGATGACCTGACGGCCCAATCAAGGCGCTTTTATATCTATGAATGGATGCCGATCATGATATCATTACGACTCTCAATTCAAAGCCCTTCAAGGGCCCCAGGTGAATGAGTAGCGTGCATCGTTCGGTAAAGCAGTCAGTCAGCTCAGACATACACGCAAGCCTCAGAGACGCCGCGCAAGCCTTTGATGAGAAAGCAGTGATGAAGATCCCAACATCGCGAAGAGGCAGGAGACTTGGCAAGTGAGGACTTGAACTGCCCAAGAAACAAATGACCAAGGATCGACGTCGATGCTGAACAAGCTGCTCTCGCAGAGGAGCTCCTTGACCCAGAACCACGATCATCTCCGGTTTTTCCCACGGTCAAGGACTGCCGATGTCGAGCACGACGCACAAGACGACGCCCTCGGGTGCTCGTCTAGTTTCGCTCGACATCGACTAGGGTCGCTAGACTGCTCACAGCCGTCGTCGCTCCGCGACACGGCACCGTCCCAGGACGGCGTGGTGACCAAGTCCCACCGGCGACAGCGCCAGATATTTCGTGCGCACCCACAGGAACGATCCCCGCACCCCAGTAGGACCTCGAGGTAACCTAGAGGACGTCGTCGAGAGCAGACAGACACGTCAGGATGCGCTTCGACGTCGATGGAAGACTGAGAAACGAGGCAGTAAGTCCAACCCGGATACGTAGCACATACATCGCACACACCACGCCCATCACACCCATCTACCCACACAAATACCCACGAATCCACATATTCCCGTACCATGCCTGCCCCCCACCTGAGCCCACAAAGAGCCCTGATTATGCCCTCCACCTGTGATGGAGTCGAAAATAATCGAGAAATGTTCAGCTTACCTAATCCCACGCGAATTCGCGGCTACGGCAATAGGTACTGCCGATACTATCGGTTACCGAAGCAAGGCCTGCACGTCCCCTTAACGATGGATGCCCAAACCAGTTCGCCTTGTGAGTAGTTGTTCCTACTCAGCTCCCGAAGCATGGACCTTGGGGAACAATGAATAATGACGGAGCCACGCTGCAGAATCGCGAGCGCAAGCTACGCGAACGATAAAGTCGCTCCCTACACACCACCGGCCGAAAGTGGCCCTTGGCAAAAGCCGCGCCACCCGAGCCCGAGGGGACTCTGCGGCCACGCGACCGACCTGGACCTCGTACGCTCGTTTCCTCACCTCGCTCGTCCAATGGGAAACTGACAAAAAACTTCTCGTATAAACCGCTCGTCCGGAAATTTTCTGCTATAAAGCAACGTACGGTCGAACACCACGCACCCAACCACCCTCCACCCTCCATCCACCATCGCCAACTCTAAGTTAGCTTCCTATGGCCCGCTCTAAGCAGAACGCTCTCCCGCTCCCCAAGGCGGCGACGAACCCCTCAGCCCCGGAGCCCTCCGCCCCCACCGCCGCCCCTCCCTCTACCCGCACCTCCTCCCAAAAACAGTTCACCCCATCCGGGCCGGGCGTTGTCAATGCGCACGGATTTTCCGCGTCTCAACCTGGCCAGTTCAGAATGCCAGACTTCCCGATACCTGGACCGACTCTCCCCGGCACCGCCGACGATCACACCCGGGAGCGATCCCCCAGCGACTTCGACATGGAAGACGCTACTCTACCGCGTAACCTCGACGAGATCGACGAGGACGACACCCCATTCGAGACCGTCTCCTATAAAAAGGGCAAAGGGAAAATGCGTGAGTCTCAAAACCCCCTGCGCCGTCATCTCTCTAACGGTGCTCGCGTCCCAGCCAACCCCAACCCTAGCGTCGTCAACGGCGAGGGCTCGTCGAGCGTGAGTGACCCACCCCCGGCTGTCAACGGCCAAAAAAGGCCTCACGCAGATGTCAGCGACACAGGCATCGACGAAGGGGCTGACCGACAGGTAGTTCTCTCCACCACTCTGACGGAGAGACCTAAACTCACCGATCATCCTCCTTCCCTCCCCATTAGCACCGTCGCGAGTCGCTGGGCCGCCAGGGTAGCCCCTGGTTCGACGACTCCAGCGACGAGGATGGGAGCCGTCCCCTTAGAGAGAGGAGCGGCCCCTCCGGGCGCCAGCCGCCCCTCCCCAGCCCGATTCCACAGGCGGGCAGCGGTCAAAATCCCCCGCCCCTCCCCAAGCGCCCGCCGCCACCGCGCCGCCTATGGGTATACCCAACGCCCAGAACCCTCCCCCCCTCCCTCCACGACGGCAATGCCGTTCCAGCCGCCGCCGCCACAACCTCTCCAGCCGCCGCCGCCGCCTCAGCAGGCGCCACAGCAGCCTCCGCCGGTGCACCAGCAGCAGCCACAGCAGCCCCCGCCGCCCCCTCCCCAGCAGCAGCAGCAGCAGCAGCAGCAGCAGCAGCAGCAGCAGCCGTACCAGCCGCAACCGCCACACCAACAACCCCCTCACATGCCAGCGCCGCACGCTCCACAACCCGCCGCACCGGCGCCCACACAGACCGCTGCTCAACTCGGGCTCCTCCGCATGCCGGTTCCTGCGACGATGGAACGCATCGCGGGCTACACCCAAACCTCGCTCCTCCGGAACGTTGCCCCTGAACAATCCGTACTCGCGGCCACCTCGCCTCTCGTCGCCATCGTCCATGACTCACGCTATAACCTTAACCGCCAAGCCGACTGTGCCATGGTGGAGGGCGTCATCGAGAACTTCGCGAACGACGCCAATGCGATAGTCGTCGCCCCCGAAGCAGCTGGGCCACCGAGCGCTGATGGAAGCCCCTACATTCTATTCGTCGCCGCCGTCAGCCCCGGGGCTGCCCAGCAACTCGGAGTCGAGCAAACCTTCTCGACCTCAACGATTTCGGTTCACTTCCTCGACCATCACCAGCCGAGCGACTTCGTCTGCACTCTCGAGGGCGGCCGGTGGAGACTCGGCGAGTCGCAACAAGCGGCGGCTAGCATTCGGCAATGTCTTCTCGAGAACGCCGCATTCCTTCAATGGTTCGCGACTAACCGCGCGGCCGGAACCGGGAACGATTTCGCCACGGCGCTTAACCACCAGCTCGACACCATCTACGCCCGCCCCATCCTGCTACGCGAAGGAACACGAGACGAACTTGTCGCGATTAACTTCTTCATCCAACCCGTCTCCCGTGTCGACCGTGTCCATCAGCAGATGATCGACCTACTGCGCGCTCAACGCTACCGTGATCTCCAGCGCGGGACCAGTATCCCGATGTCCCGTCCCTTCCACTGCAATCACTGCCACTCCAGCACACACCCTTCCCCCCTCTGCCCCTTCCCGGCCATGACCGGCTGGCTTGGACCCACCATACCGGCACCGACCCCGCCCGGAAGTGGACCTCGAGGGAGAGGTCGCGGCGGAATGCGAAGCAGAGGAGGACAGCGAGGCGGACGGGGTTCCCGCGGTTTCTAAAAATATAGGGACTTTACCCTAAGGGCTACGCGCCCACTGACCCACCAAAAATTGTACGGCACCTAACTGTAGTCACTCTCTAAGCCTGTATCCCCGTACTTTCTCTTGAAAATCCAACTGTCCCGTCGCTCGTTTAAAATATCTGAGTGATAAGAACGTGTGCGAACTCGTTCGGAAAGCTTAGAGCGGAGAGCTCTAAGTTTCGCCCTAGTCCTATCCAGCTCGGATATGAGGCAGATCACGTGCACAAGGATGCGCGTCTCTGTAAAGGGCGAACACGACAAATGACCGCCTGCAAAGGCAGTCGTTTGGATCATTGTAAGAGCATTGGTACATAATACAGTCTCGGTTTTCGCCTTCCATACCCCCGAAAGGATGGTCCTTTCCTGTCAGGAACATCTCTTCAGGACGGGGCTGGAAGTACGGTGACAGGAATCACCACAAACACCCAACAACACACCAATGAATTATTACAACGACAACGAATTAACAAACAACATCACTGTGGCAGATGACCGCGTAAGCGGTCATGGTAAAGGTTCGAGCCTTTCTGGCATCGGAGAGGAACGAGTTCTTCCCGCCGGACAAGCCCTCAATGATGGTGCCGGATCGTATGGTGACGGGAACCCCCCGACTCGCGAGGCGAGGCAGCCTGAACCAGGCGCGTCTGAACCCCGTGGGGAGTATCCCTATGACGGTCCAGACGCACCGGGCGAAGGAAGCCAAATGCCTCGCGAGTCAGTCCCTCCGCAGGGACGCAGCTTACACGCTGCTGTGCACCGAGCACAGGTGGAACGACAATGCGGTCCACCAACCCCACCTGTGGGGAATACTCCGCCACGGAGCACTCAGCAAGCCGCTAAAAAGGCTATGCCAAACACAACCATAACACGGGAACAAACACCGCAGCCATCACTTAGTACTTTCTCTGACACTTCCAGTGACGACGACTTCGGAGTTGGCGAATACCTCAGGAATATAGTAGAAAGAGTAGCGGAGACCCCAGAGAACCTTGACTACGACATGGACGACGGTTTTCCAACAGAAGACGAGCAACCCGAGAACGCCCCAGATAACACAGAGGGAGAAGCCCGCGAAGGGCAGACTGACCCGAAGAAGACGCGAGCGTACCTGAAGATCGCAACACTCAACATGCGGGGCCGTAGCAGCCCAAAACAGCCAGACAAATGGGCTGAAATAAGCAGATTGATTTACACAAAAAGAATAGGTGTCCTCGCCGTTCAGGAAACACACCTTTCTGATGAACAAACCGAAGAATTGAACAGGCGGTATGAAGGAAAGATTGTGATCGTGAACACAATCAACCCTGAACAACCTGCAGCGGCGGGTGTAGCTCTCGCGATCAACTGCTCCATAGTAGACGCTACCAATGTAGTCTACAAAGTTATTGTACCCGGGCGAGCACTATATGTCGAGACCCTCTGGCATCACCGAGCTGTTAAGCTCCTCGGCGTTTACGCACCGAACGCATATGATGAAAACCAAACATTCTGGACCACCCTGGAAGACGAGCAAATCGCGGGCAAATATAAAAAGCCGGACGCGATGATGGGCGACTGTAACATAGGCGAAGACGCCATTGACCGACACCCTCGGAGGACAGACCCACCCGGGCCAGTTGAGGCACTCGCAAGTCTCAAATCAACACTGCAGGTGCAGGACGAATGGCGATGTGTGCACCCCAATGAGGCGACGTATACGTACTGGCAAAAAGCAACAGACGCACGCTCGAGAATAGACCGGGTGTACCTGAATGAGAAGTTCACCGGGCAGAACAGCCGAAACTGGAAAATCGAAGATTGCGGCGTAGAAACAGACCACTACATGGTCTCCGTAGAACTGATCGATAAAGACCTGCCGTATATTGGACCGGGGCGGTGGTCGCTCCCCCTCTGGCTCCTCGAAGACAAGGAATTCAAGAAGACGTTGCAGAGACTAGGAAAAGCTCTAGAACAGGACATCCGAAACGCACAGGAAGCCAACCGTGAGGAAGAGATCCAAAAGATCTACAAGACTTTCAAGGAAGACCTGACCAAGGCTGCCAAGGACCGCGCAAAGACCACAGCCGTCTCACCAATTGAACGCCGTGTAAAACGTCTCGAGGCCCAGATACACCAAGTATTAATGGATGAGATACTCGACCCGGACTCCAGAGCCATAAGTGCCGCAGTGATCCAGGAAAAGATACACAGAATCAAAGTGGCCCAGCTCCTCCGCGCAAGGCAAACCTCGGCTGCACACTTTCAGCTGGAAGGTGAGACCGTGAGCAAATACTGGTCCATCCTGAATAAGGATAAGAGACCGAGGGATACCATACGCGAGCTCCGAAGACCAGATAGCAACCCCCCGACCTTCGTTATGAAATCCAACGACATGGCGAATCTAGCAAAGACGTATCACCAAGAGCTACAAAGCAAGCATATTGAGCCAGACAGAGCTCGAGCAGACGCCGGGATGGAAGCTGCACTGGAAAGCATCAAGGCACACCTGTCTGTTGAAGACCATGATAAAATGGCGACACTTACTTCTGAAGCGGACGTCGAGACAGCTTTAACGAGTCTACCAAACGGGAAAGCAGCTGGGATTGATGGACTACCCACTGAACTCTGGAAATATATTCACCAGCGATACAAGGAAACTGCCAACAGCCCCAGGCCAGCTTTTAATATCATAAGCACCCTGACCACGGTATATAACGACATTGAAAGGAGGGGTGCAGACGCCGAGTGCGATTTCACGCTTGGTTGGATGTGCCCATTATACAAGAAGAACGACCGATCCGACATAGCGAACTACAGACCCATAACGCTCCTGAACACTGACTACAAGACTTTCACGAAAGCATTGACAATGCGACTGGCACTTGCAGCGCAGACCATCATACATCCGGACCAAGCGGGATTCATGAAGGGGCGGAGCATCTTCGATCAAGTGAAACTGTCGGAGATGATGGTGAACTACGCTGAAGCCACCGAAGACTGCAACGGGGCTATCATAGCCCTGGATCAGGAAAAAGCATATGACAAGATCCTCCACCCTTATCTCTGGACCGTGATGGAGAAGTTTAACCTCCCGAGACAGTTCATAAATACGGTACGAACCCTATATGACCAAGCCCACACCGTGGTCATAATCAACGGCGAACAGAGCGGGAAATTCCGCGTCACACGGGGTGTTCGCCAGGGGGACCCGCTCTCCTGCCTCCTCTTCAACATCGCAATCGAACCCCTGGCATGCATGCTTAGAGGCTCAGACCTCGAAGGCTTCCGAATCCCGGGTGTTGCTGATCGGATCATAACAAAGCTGTTTGCAGATGACACAACAGTGTACCTATCGCAAAATGACTCTTTCGAGAGGCTGCAAGAGATCTTACAACTTTGGTGTAGCGCCTCCGGGGCGAAGTTCAATGTTGCGAAGACTGAAATTATCCCAATAGGGACACCTGAATACCGCGAACGGGTATATACAACTCGAAAACTCAACACCGATCAACAGGCGATCGCAGATAATATACACATCCTTAGGGATGGAGAGGCCGCCAGAATACTCGGCGGTTGGATCGGAAACAATGCAGACTGCGAGGCCCCGTGGTCGACGGTGATCGAAAAAATAGATCAAAACCTGAGGCGCTGGGGACGCTCGCACCCAACAATGGATGGACGAAAACTCATCGTCCAAATGATAGTGGGCGGCATGACTCAATATCTAACCAAGATACAAGGGATGCCCAAAAATGTCGAGGATCGGCTCGTAAAGATAATCAGAACATACATGTGGGATAGCGCAAGTGTCCCAGCAGTATCCCTGGAGACCCTCATGGCGCCGAAATCCGCCGGTGGAAAGAATGTGCTCGATATCAGAGCACGAAATGAAGCTATCGCGCTGACCGACCTAGCTTCCTACTTATTGATAGGCGAAAAGATGAGACCCACCTGGGCATTCGTGGCAGACGTACTCATAAGGGCGAACGCGCCCAGCAAAATCCGCAACGCTGGGAACGCCAAGGCCCACAGCCAGCCATACGTACAGGACTGGATGCCTGTCCTCAGCACGGGATGGACGACATTGCCGATCTCGCTGGTCCGCATGCTGAAAGCTGGGAAAACCCACAATGTGAGCCTCGAGGCTTTGATGGTCGACGTCCAACTACGACAGCAACTCCCAATCTGGTACCATGTGGGCGCGCACTCGAAGATGGCGTATAACACGAACTCCTTCGAGTCCGTCTGCCTTCGCAACAACCACAACATCTACACGGTGGGAGACATGGAACTGATAGCCGAACACCGACCCTCCGACCACAAGAAACGAAGGATAGGCCGCAGTAAGAAGCGTAAGCCCTGTGCGTGCAACCAATGCAAACACGACCGGCAACTAGGTTGCTCCAACCCATACGCATGCATAAACAAAGCGCGTACCATCTTATCACATGTACTGCCGAAGTGGCACCCCAAGACCAAAGCCAATGATGACGGTCTCGACCTCGACGGCGAAGCAAAACGTCAGAATGAAACAGCTAAGGCGGCCGGGGGACGCATCCGCTTCAACCCGGACTGCACAACCAAAGGAACGGCCGCACAAGGCATACGCGTTTTCACGGACCCAACGGCGAAGATGAACCAACAGCCCTGGAGACAGAGACACGCACCTGGGGAACCGAACGACCCCATCACGGTATACACCAATGGGTCCTGCCTGAACAGTGGACAGGAGGATGCCCGAGCTGGAAGCGGAATCTGGTATGGTCCAGACGACGAACGAAACACCAGTCTCCGGGTCCCGAGCGAGTTTGCTCAGACTAACCAGACTGGTGAGCTCCTTGCCGTGTGGCACGCTGTAAAGAGCGCCCCCACCACGGCACCCCTACATATCATATCTGACTCGCTATACGTGATAAACGGACTCACGACAAACCTTGAAAGATGGGAAGCGAAAGGCTGGATAGGGGTCGCGAACCGAAAACTATTTCAAGCCACCGTTGGGCTGCTCCGAAGAAGGGGAAATGAAACAACATTCCAATGGGTAAAAGGCCACACCGGCGTCGCAGGCAACGAAGGCGCTGATCGGCTGGCCGACGCAGGGGCACGCTTACCAGAAACAAATAGAACAGACATTGTGATCCCTAGACGATTCAACCTTAGTGGCGCGCTGTTAACATCTGCGAGTCAGTCACTCCTCACGAAAGGTATCAAAGAGAAGAAATGTCTGCCGCTACGCACGGCCGACACAGTAAACCTAGACAAGACACGCTGGGCCGTTAAAGAGTGCCTAGACGGCGGCTTTCCCACAGATGCGTTGCTCTGGAAGTCGTTAGACAGCAAAGACTTCACGAAGAAGGTACGCGTCTTCCTATGGAAACTGATGCATGACGGATACAAAGTGGGAAGATTCTGGAGAAACATACCAAATTACGAACAACGGGGTATCTGCCCCGTATGCGAGGATGAATACGAGTCGCTCGAACACATTCTAATTGAATGCCAGACCCCAGAACGAGAACTTGTATGGGATCTTGCCAAAGAGTTATTTAGTAAGAAGGGTCTCCGGTGGCCAGAACTGCGTTTCGGCACCATACTCGGCTGTGGACATAGCAATTTCAAAGATAGCGAAGGGAGACGACGCACAGGAGCAAACCGGCTGTATAAAATACTCATCTCAGAGTCGGCACACTTCATATGGGCGCTCCGCTGTGAAAGGCGAATCACGAAGGAGGACGACGCACCCGCATACAGTGAAGACGAAGTCCGAAACAAGTGGATACATAGAATAAACACGCGCCTTACTCTGGATAGATACACAACAGACCGCAAGAGGTACAAGTCAAAGGCCGTGAGACCAGAAACCGTCCTCAAGACATGGGGCGGAACTCTCAGCGATGAGGCGAACCTGCCGGATGACTGGACCCGGCAGTCTGGGGTTTTAGTGGGTACTCGAGCCAGGCGCCCACCTGGCCGAAACCGCTGATACAGCGGTCATAAGTCCCACACAACCTGAAGCGTATTCAGGCGTGCTAATAGCGTTCCCCAGGGTGTCCCTGATTATTCGCGAGGTGGAAACCCTCGCAGAACCCACAATGAAGCCTAAGGAGCCAGCGATTGCGGCTGCCCGGCTGAGTTACACCAAAAAAAAAAAAAAAAAAAAAAAGCTGCTCTCGCAGAGCTGCCGTAAGTTGATGACGAGTGGCGCCGGAGTCGAGCCGGGCGTATCTATTTGTTGCAAGGCTCCGGGAGTAGCCGATCTTTTCACTCAACTTTCTCTTCCTCGTTTGATTTGATGATACCCCTGTTCACAACCACGATGTGGTGGCCTCCCAATCTGACCAGAGCAAGCAGGAGAGACCGCGACAGTGAGGCAAAAATAAGGAACTATGAGCGTCAAGAGTGGTAAAAACAAATTCCATGGATGTATACGCGTACACAAACAAGAGAAAACAGAGAAAACAAACAATGAAGGTCAAAGGAGAGGAAGTGTCACAACAAACAGAATAGCAAGAAAAGGGAGGAATGAGATATGACTCGGCGGAAGTACAAGTTACGAGCTGAACATCGTCCCATCATCACCTTAAGCAACACGCTCAAGCACTAGCCTTCTCATCCACCACCTCCTTAACCTCATGCCCTGGAGCATGGACCACATCATCCAACGTCTTCTTCCCAACATGCCTACTAACCTTCCAGGCACTAAACACATGTCCTTGCGCGAACACATCCTCGATCTCCTCCAACGTCCTGCCCGCCGTCTCAGGGAAACAGAAGAACACATGCAAGAACGCGGCGAAGTTGAACGTCCCGAAGATGAAGTACGTTTTGTAGGCGATGGTGGAGAAACCGGGGGGCACGCCGAACGCGAGCGCCATGTTGAAGGCCCAGTTCGTGGCGGTGGCGATGGAGACGGCTTTCGAACGAACGCGCATGGGGAAGATTTCGGCGGGGTAGGTCCAGGAGACGGGACCGACGGAGATTGCGAATCTGTTTCCGGCAAGTACACACACGATAAACACCACGGCCACGAAAGAGAGTAGAAAATGAGGACGTACGAGCATACGGCCAGATATGAACAGACGATGACTCCCTTCGTAACGCTTCCTTTATCTGCGGGGATACTCCAAACTTGAGCGCCATCAAGATCGATCCAGGAGCCGAATTTGCCCTGCAGGCCTCCAACGAGCATAAGGAAGAAACCCATAAACCCGAAGCCGCCGAGGAGCAGGGGACGACGACCCCAACGATCGATGAAGATGATGGCGGGGACTATTTAGGTTGGGGTGCACCATTGTCAGCAATCTGTCGAGGAGGGTAGAAAGGCGCGGGAAACTCACTGGTGAGAACGACGTTCAGAACATAATTCACCGAGTCAGCGATCAAGTTGACGCGGCGGCCGGTAAGGCCTGCACCCTCGAAGACGTAGACGATATAGTACCTGTCGTCACCCATTTCGTCAACAGAAGCCGTCAGCATTGATCCAGGAAGAGGTTTACCACCCTTAAAGTGCCCGACATACGAGGGAACACCGGCAGTGGAAAGCAGAAAGAGGGAAGGAGAGAAGAGGAAGAGGAACTCACATCATAATGTTCATCCCACTCAGCTGACTCCACATCTGGATAGAACATCCGAGGGAGACACGCCTGAGAATACCCGGCTTGAGGAGATCGAAGTATGACTTGGCGCCTTCCGTACGTTCGAACTCGACCTATTCATGGCCATCAACGCACCAAAAACGGAGAATAAGGAATTTGTTAGCACATGCTCTTAGGGTGAAGGCAGAAGTTTGTTGGGGAGACGGAGCCCACCTGGTTCTTGATCTCATTGAACTCAAGTTGAACGAGCTCGTCGTCCTGATTCCCTCCACCGTGAAGGTCAGCGAGCACCTCGAGCGCCTCTGCCTCACTATTGACGTCAACCCCCACGAACGCGCACATACCACCAGAGCATCAGTACCAATTTTAATTCACTTAACAGAGGGAGACTAGTGAAACAAAAAGAAACTCACCGTCCATGATCGAACAGCCACCTAGGGCTCTCGGGGAATACCGTCATACCCGCCGAAAGTAGGATAGCTGGAATCATCTGCAAGCCCCAAGGAATACGGAAAGAGGCGTCTCCATCGATGTAGGAGCATCCGAATTCAACGAAGTATTGGAGGAGGATACCCCAGGTGATTGACCATTGTCTGTTGAGTCGTACGAACAAGCATAAGTAGACCGTACAGAAGCACAGTTGGGTGTGGATGGTTGTCCGCAAACGTACTGCACGGAGACCAGACGACCACGAATTGCAGGAGGTGTAATCTCGGACTGGTACACGGGGACGATAGCGGATGCCAAGCCAACACAAAGACCGGCGATGATACGGCCTACGACGAGCATACCTCGGTTCTGAATATTTATTCAACCACGCAGCGTTAGATCATGATCGAATACAATTTTAGAGGGAGCAAACGTATACGCGCTCCCAGGCGTGGAGGTGATTGTGGCTCAGGAGGCAGAGAAGATGATAGTGAAGGTCAAAGTAAAACTGACCTGAGAAGCGCATTGCAGGATACAGCCGATGACCCAGATGATACCGGACAAGATGATCGTGTTCTTCCTTCCGATTTTATCTCCCAGTGTGGCGACCGAGAGTGCGCCAATGAAGGAGCCTGCGGGCATGGATGCAACGATGGCTGCTTGCACTGACGAACTGGGCTGTACAACTCAGCGTTAGCGTATTGTTCGATCATTTTACTCCGTGAACAGAAAACGGGTAATCAAATCGGGAAGAGAAAACATGTCGGTTTGTAGGAAGTAAACGGATACGTCTATATTTGGAAAACCGGGAGGCAAAGAAGGAAGGAGAAGAAGAGGACAGCGACGCACGTTGTTGAAATAGGAATTGTAGGCGGGGTTGTTGAGCACTCCGGACATGGACGAGATGTCCAAACCGAAGAGTCCACCGCCGATACATGCGAACGTACCGACAATGTACGGATTCGACGCGATTCTTGCGTTGTACTGTGTCCCCCCACCACCACCCAATTTACCCGTCCACCATATCCGCGTTCATCCAACCACCAACATGCCACCCAAGATACCGACAGCCCACATTAAAAAAAGACAATATCAGTCAGTATGTGATATATAATAAGAACTAGGACGATCAGAGGAGTGTTGACTCACGCCTTTAGCCATCTTTTCTCTTGCTCACGGGGAAGCAACCCGTTAGAGTGTCTCTGCGGGGTATGGGAGAGAAGCGGGGAAGCAGAGGGAAGCAGAGGCGCAACACCCGAATTCCAGTTCTCCGACAGCCTTATAAGCCGCTCGTCCCACCCCTCGCCCTGGCTCCGTGCTTCCCTGTCATGAGCGGAAAGCGTCCTGCTGGAACACCCGATTCTCTGAGCGCAAGCGCTTTGCCATAACGACTCTGGCACGCACGACTGTGGTACTCGGTACCCACCATCATAAACCGTATCAAACCTAGTGGTTAGCACACTATGAGACGCGGTCTGATGATCCCATCCCATTACCGAATGAAGATGCCTTCCACACGATACACAGTGTCACGAGCACCTTACGCGGTCCGCTTAGCTTGTGCGAGCGAATGCAAGGGGAGGACAGAGGTGTTTGCGATTCAGGGCAAGAGGACGGTCAGCTGGGTGAGAATGCATCAGTACCACGATGCAGATGTTAACAAGAATATTTCGAATACGGTTGAGATCGAGATTAGGAGGAAAAGGTACGCGGAGGACTCCCTTTACTTACCGTTGAGCGAGGTTGAGAGTTTGAATGGCCCTTCGTGGGGTTCTATAATGAGGGTATCCATAGATAGCATCTCAGTACGATATCTCAGGATACCTCCCAAGCCCCTCCTTCACGCCGTCTATAGCACCATATAAAGCCCAGTGATCAAAACAGGCTCCCTTCAACTCCACCCGGCGGCATCAAGGCAGAATGCCCTTGTTATTGCGACATTCGGAGGATCACACGACGTCGACATCATCCCGTCCTCGAGGCCATCAAAAACATCCGAATATGCAACACAAAAGGCGAAAGAATTGGCCATAATCGTCGAAAGTGGAAGCGCGGTACCGGAGGAGGACATGGTGGAAGTTTGTTGAACGATTCAGAGATAGCGAATTGGATGTACCCCATTAGGAGGCCAGCCACGCGACCATTATCCCCGGTTGTGCCCCGCGCGGGGCCCCACAGGGTCGGGCATGCCCCAGCCCGTATAATCATTCTTTCCCCAAGATCAAAACGCCAACAAGGAAACGATACACAAAAAAAGCTGCAGAAATCCCCACATCAATATGATGCATCCGGATTGCAAAGCGCCCAAGAGTGCCTGATGAACTTATATTTTATTGTTCGGTAAAGTCCTTGTACATCCCGACGTTTTTGAGATCCTGCGAGGTCCCACTGGCAGCACCTGTGGGAGATGATTGTTGTTTTTTTGGTACCTCAAATTACGCCGATATGTGAGAGACTGAGAATTTATACGTACACAAACGACTCACTGATAGCACCTGCATCCAGAACTTTAGTTGAGCGCTCGCCGAAAGTGAACGCCGTCGTACTCGGAGAACTTTGATGTACTCTGTGTCTGGCACATAATAGAGCAGTCTAGTACAGTCTTTACAAGTGTCTCGTAACACTGAGATATCATCGCATTCAAGAAGGTTCAATGATGGACCGCAGGTCTCGCAGCTGCTAGAGGCTCTGCATAGGAGATGCGGGCGGACGAAGCAGTGTGCATATTATTGTACGACTGCAATACGAAATTAGAAACACCCACACAACGCACACATGAGACTTCCCTCCGTCTTACGGCTTGCATAAATTCCATGAATAGAGTGTGGACAAGCAACAAGTTCGTCATCCCGAATCGACGGCGAGCTGTCTTCCGCGCGACACCGGCATCCGTTTCTTCTCTTCTCTTCTTTCCCCACAATTCCCAAGCTTTGACCCGAGATTCTGTGGGGAGTAGTGTGTGTTTTACCTCGGAGCCATTGGCGACCACAACTTCCACAAATCAACACTCAGCATGAGCTTCGGCGAATAACAGACGACGATGAGCGACACACGACGAACAATGAGTGAGAACCCATGACTCGGAGCAGCACTCGTTGTCTACTCGAAACCTGTCACGAACGATGTAAACACGGACATCCCCGCCTAAACATCTCATCATGTAGACCTGTCAGTGTACACAGTTGTCAGCATGGAACTATCGGAAACCACGAAGAGAGAAGGTAACGCGGAACTGAAGGAGTCATGGATTGAACCTAAGACCACTATGCGCACGGATCCGGCGACATCGGAAGACCATGAGGAAAGCAGAGCGAGAATCAATCAATAATGACGCAGTCTCTATTCTGGCCGCAGTGTGCATATGCGAGCGTAGACCGGTTCAATATAAGACACCGAGGATGACCTGCTGTCCAATCGGAAGCTTTGGAGATTGCAAGATGGGTAGTTTCGTGATGAATGGCGCGTGTGCGGTGGCGAGTATAATATGCATCAAGTGTGGCGTAACGCCACATTTCTTGCTCGTCAACTTCATGGCAAAGTCGACGTTGTAATCCGGCCGGTCCATTCAGAGGTCTGAGTAGTAAAGAGATCTTTTATTCCACGGCACAACGTCCGTAAACAAGCCCAAGCCCCAGCCCATATCCGTGTACACGACCGAGTCCGAGTCATCTAAAGTCCGCGCCCAGAAGTCCATAGTAGAAATACAATATCGTACAAGCCACAAGCCGCAAGAGCCAAGTTCAGGAGAGCCACCACAGACGGTCAGTCGTACAGGTCCAGCGAAACGATCCCGGAACCAGAATAAGAAAGGAACAGTGACAGCCAAGGATTCATCGCAAGCATCAGAGCCACAACGTCGAATCCTAGAACTTAGAGTTTCGAGTCTGTGTAGACTGCCAGTGCGTTACGGGCAGGAGCCGTCCCAGAGCAGGTACCTCCGGAGACGTTGATCCTGAGTCAAACAGGTAAGTAATGTAGAACAATGTTATACTCGAAAGAAGGGCGACGTACGATGATCCTGTACATTGTGACCCGTCCTTAGATCCTGAAACAACATCACAGTAAATCCCATCCGGAAGACCGCACGTCCACGAGTTGGACCAGTCGCCGTCAGAGTTGTTGATTACGACGAAGCCCTTGCCCGCTACAAGACACGCAGTCGGATGGTTAGAGAGTGAGTATGAATACGAAGAAGGACGCGGAAAGGCTGGAGAAAAGACGAACCTCGCTCATACGCAATCTGGTCCGGACTTCCAGACTGCCAGTTCGTGAGCGGTGCACCGGAAGTTGCGCTACGGAACTTGACGAGATTGGAGATCGCAGTCCAGCGATGTTGACAGATCCAGCCGTTTGAGCCTGCGTTTCCGTCGCATGTACCAGTACCTAAATTACAAGCCACAGAGAAAGTGAGAAACGGTAGGCGAATAGGAAAATCGATTTCTCATGAGCAAGCAAGCATAAAGTCGACAAGAAGTACTGACCTCCGTTGGGAGCACCTGCATTCACATCGTTGAACTCGTAGGATGACAGAACAGTAGGAGTGCCGAAGGGATGAGTCCTATCGTACATTATCAGCATCAATCATACCAATAGAGAGAGGGGGGTCGAGAAGGACGTACAACGCGAATACGTGGGCCAACGCATAAAGCTTCCCTTCCTTGTATGTGATTCCTCCTCCATCGAGTCCTCTCTCTGAATCCATGTTGTTGACCCAAGTATTGGCTTGGTCCGACCTCAACCCTCCGACCTTGTTCTCGATATCCTGGAGTGAAACGAGGCCGTCACTCCTGAGAGCCTTCTGGAGCATGTCTTGGTAGTCAGATGCGGAGACGAGACCGAGACCGGTGTAGTCTGTCTGAGGGATGGGAGGGCCTGAGCCGATAACTTCGGAGGTGATGAAAGGTTTGCGTGAAAGACCACCGAATATGGCGTTCAAATCTTCCATGGGTATATCTAGATGCCGATGAGGTGATAATGACCATGATTAGAGCGGGGAGGTATAACGGGAGAGGGAGAAAGGGCGAACGCTTCGCGGCATCGAGTCTGAACCCGGCGACGCCCATGTCCAACATGTCGTTCGCGTGCTGCATAATTGTTTTGCGTACATAATCGTCCTCGGTCTTCAAGCTAAAGACTCAATGTCAGACACTATTTAGTAGGACAAAAGAGGTGAGTGCAACGTACTCGGCCAAATTGGCGAGCTGGCAATTTTGAACCTGGTACTTGTCGCTATAGTCCTCTGTAGGAACATGGCGTGAATATCAGAAGGGCAATGATGGCGATAGACGGCTATATAGACGTACCGATTCCATCACCTTTTGTACCGCAGTGGTGGAAGTGTTCCGGCGAATAAAACCCAGGGTACTCATATTGCTCTAGAAGCCACCAAGCTCAGTAGGGTGCATATCGAGGATGCAGAACTTAGAACTGACTGAAGGCTGAACACGAAGTCAGCGTCGATCGTCACCAATGCGGATGACAAGAAATAAGATGACTCACAAGATCCACCAACGCCGTTACCTTCGTACGTACCCGACATATGGTTCCAGCACGTATCCAGCAAGACAGCAACACCAGCATTTTTACACGAGTTGATCATGTTGGCGAACTGGTCGGCATTACCACGGCGAGAGTCGAGGTTGTACGAGACGGTCTGGTAATCGAAGTACCACTCGTCGCCGGCAGCGTGCTCTGTGGCGGGAGAGACTTGGACGTAAGAGTATCCTGAAGAGGAACGAGTCAGATACAAGCGCCGTGGTGAGTGTTAAACAAGAATATATACCGGCGGGTCCGATGAACTCGGTGCACTCTTTCGCCACACTATCCCAATTCCATTGAAACATCTGGATGATGACCGCTGGACACATAACATGAGCGCAATGGTCAACGGGAAATACGTATGAAACGTACGACTAGGATTGGTATCACGAGATACAAGATTTGTGGTGGGCGGCGGGATGGCTCCAACGATAGCGGCACTCATGACAAGGCCGAGGGAGGAAAGAAGCTTGTTAGATTGGAACATGTCGTGAAAAGATCAAAAGAATGTTATGGAAAGAATGTGTGGTGGACGAGTTTGTCCTTAGTGGGATGTGGGGTAGTTGATGTGAAGGAACGAGGGGAGAGCGTTGGGGACGAAGGCAGACTGAGCGTTAAGCAGTTCGCTACCTCGAGCTTTTGAAGTGCCCGCCAACACGTTCTCACGCCCGCTTGCACCAGCCCCTCGATCAGTTGGGTTTGGGCACGCCCCATCGAGTGAAGATCAAGGATATAGATAGGACATGGAAGCTAAACAGTGCTCTCGGGTTGAAGAGCGTCCTACATTCGTCTGCAGCCAGTGTGCAGGTTTATACTGGATATATTGTTCGTGATATCCCAGCTTGACTGTCCAAGCAAATGTGGACATAGACGACAATCTATAGCAAAATGAGTATTGCTAGAGGATATGTGTGCCTCCCGATGATTCACGCCCGGTGTAAGAAAATGCATTGAGTTCGTCATGGTGTGCAATCGACGATCAACTTTCCCAATTGGGGAGAGCAGTAAACACCGGACGAGCCAAGTTCAACGAACTTCGAGCAAGAGAGATAGACTTGTTGCGCTCGACTAGTCTAAATCTCAAGAACGTATGGAAGAATCGAAGCATGTAGGAGGGAGCAGAAAGACTTGAAAACCAACGTTTCGGAATTAGCCTGTCAAGGAAGCTTCGGCTGTTTCCGTCTCTCGCGTGGCGTGAACGTGGCGCCGTGTTGGTCGTCCAATCCGAATTGAACGCGACTTGAGCTCGACCCATCACCTCTGTACACAATTTTTCGTCTTCTATGACATCTATTCGAACCAATCTAGTGACAGGTAAGGCAATTATTATGACCAGAACTCTCAGCACGTAGTCTCGCGGCGATGCCTTGGTGATGATCGTAAAGGCCGCCATTGGAGTCTCGGAGTGTGAGAGTCGGTACGGTCAAAAATAGGAAGCTACAGTTCAGCAAAGACTGGATATATTCTAGGTCTATAAGAGGAGTTTTGAGCCACATGCACCTGGGGCATATCGCTCCAGCGGATTATTGGACCGTATTTTCAGCCCGTCTCAATATTCCAGTACCCTATAACCCCGTTTCCCATGATCTCCGGGCTCATGACGAGCGTATTGTGCTCAGAAATATACCTTTGGCTTACTTGTGAGATAGAAGTGACCTTTGCAGTGTACAACGCCCCCGAAAGCGCCGGCAATATCACACATGGAGCTCTTTCTACTACACTTGTCGTTCTGTCCCCAAGATCGGCAAACGAACGGAATCATTATCGGCGCGCCGCTCAGCGCACAAAACGGCCAGCTGATTCGTCAGGTCGTCAGGGACGGTTGTTTCCTCTTCTGCAGCCGTGCTTGATTCTCATCGACTTTGCGGTCAACGTCTTCTGTGTGATTGCACTGTTGAGCGATATATAATGCCTTTCATGCGAGATCTACTTGCAGCAAAGGTACGCTCTCTGAGTTTTACCCTTAGTACCTGAAATTGACTCTGATCCGGAAGATCTCCCTTTTAGATGGAGCGAAGCACTGTTCCAAATCAATATCCCCGCAATTTTTGGTTAGACATTAGAATTTAGAATGTCTCGGAACGGCTTCGGGGAAACGCTACTACCGCCTCCACTGGACCATCCCTCCATCATCCATCCGACCACATGAACGTCTTTCTTACACACGAACGCTGCTCTTCATTCTTCATGAATATGTCGCAGACGACAGCCACGCTCTTGGAGCAAGTCGCTGCTATATAAAAGCTCTGCACCATGTCGCTGAGCGTCATCTCATCTCGGCACTCTTGTCCTTCCCAGCTTGACCTAGCCGTCTTGCTCAGCGATAACTACCAAGGATGCTAACAACTCTCGTCTCTCTCGTCTCACTATTTCTCATCCCATTACGATCCTATGCCGCACCTAGTGCCACCAGTTCCGCCGCTCCTAACCCCGGAGCCACCTCCACTGCAAGTTTGAACTCGCTCGCTCAGTCCATTGGGAAGGCATACTTCGGCTCTGCAACTGACAACCCCGAGTTCACCGATGCCGCATATCTTGCTATCCTGAGCGACAACGCTATGTTTGGACAGATCACACCTGCGAATGCGTGGAAATGGGTACGTGCCGCTGTCCCGTTGCATACATACGGTAAAATTTGACGAGTTTATGTCTGTTATGTGGCGCAGGACGCTACTGAACCCGAGCAGGGGGTGTTCACGTTCACGCAGGCCGATCAGGTCGCTGCGCTTGCACAAGGGAATGGACAGCTTATTCGGGGTATGTTCGTTCTTTGTTGCCAGTTGATTTTGTGATATTGATGTTTTCCGGGTCTCACCCAGGCCATAACTGTGTGTGGCACCAACAGCTGCCAACTTGGGTGTCCTCCGGAAACTTCACCGCTGCTGAGTTGACGGACATCATGACTACGCACTGCACTACAATACTGGAACATTTTAAGGGAGACACGTAAGCTATCCATCGATAGATGATGATGAAGACAGCTAATGTCTGTTTTCGCTCGGTTTTTTTCTAGATGTGAGTGGCGCCTCAGTTCTTGTGTGGCGCATGGCCCTAGATGCTGACGACGCTTATTCTCTTCCAGTTGCTTTCGATATTGTCAACGGTAACTTGCACTCACTCTATGCATAAGAGCTTACGATCTGATATCTCCACCTCTTCAGAGCCCTTCAATGATGACGGTACCTTCACCTCAGACGTCTTCTTCAACACCCTCGGCTCCTCCTACATCGGCACCGTCCTCACCGCCGCCCGCGCCGCCGATCCCTCCACACACCTCTACATCAACGAATTCAACCTCGAATTCGCCGGCGTCAAATCCACCGCTATGGCCAACCTCGTCTCGTCGCTCAAATCCGCCGGCACCCCGCTCGACGGTATTGGGTTCGAAAGCCATCTGATCGTAGGGCAAGTACCGACCGATTTTCAGCAACAGCTGGAGAGCTTCACGGCGTTGGGCGTAGAGGTTGCTGTTACGGAGCTGGATATTAGGATGACGCTGCCGGTGACGGATGCGCTTTTGGCGCAGCAGCAGGCGGATTATCAAAGTGTGGTGAGCGCGTGCAAGGCGGTTAGTGGGTGTGTTGGGGTCACTATCTGGGATTATACGGTTCGTTTTCTAGGGTTGATAAACATGCCGTTTGCGTGTTTGATACTCAAGATGTGTTTACAGGACAAGTTTTCGTGGATCCCTGGAGCTTTCGCTGGTCAAGGGGCTGCATGTCCATGGGATGATGTGCGTCGATGTTATCCTTTTTCTTCCTTTTGCGCGAGGCTCATCATAACTTTTACCATAGAACCTGGTCAAGAAGCCTGCTTTCGACGGTATTGTAGCTGGCTTGCAGAGCTGAGTTGTGCCAGATGTATATCTTATAGTCCGGTTCAGAAGTTTTGCGTAGCGCTATTGTACGATATAAACGGAGCACAACGTCGAGTTCCAACCAATAAATAAGCAAAAGAGTGACAGATACTGCATTCAAACAAATACTCCGGCGCGATTGAACGGGGCAGTGGTTTATGAACATGGCCACTACCACCTCATCTCTACCAACGGGCTACGAGACATGCCCTGCCTTTTGGGTACAACTATCATCGTCTCAGTCAACCGAGCCACACGGTCTACTATTCTCCTGACTTAGAATGACACGGCCTTCTGGTCTGGGCTGCTCCGACCATCCTTGAGATCCCTGTCAGAACCGTCGAGGGTTCGGTTTGAAACAGCGGCGAAGTCCCTCTGGACGCGAACTTCGTGGGACACGTTGACGTCGACGTTACCTAGGCGAATGGACGTCTGCAAGTCATTCTGGTGATTTCGAAGAACGTAGGCGATGTCGTAGGCAATAAGTAATTGAAGAACATCGGGACAGGAAGACAGATATAGCGTACCTCGATGTCGTGCCCATTTGTAGTGGTCGTTGTGTTCCTCGACCTCATTTCTCGGCGGGAGAGTAGTGTGTCCAGCAGAGTCTACGCAAGACGAACAGCACAGATGTAAGGAACATTGTCAGAATATTAAAGGTGAGAAACGCACGTTGGTGTAGATCCTGCCTATAGGGTACGCGAACATAGCGTAAAGGTTCGTGGAAGGGTTGAAATGGAACGAGAACATGTCTCCCAGCGCAAATATCGACACGAATAGACCAGTCTGGATGGCACCTCGCATGACGCGGTAGATGAGAGAGTCGGTCTTGCGGAAGCCGGTACGGGAGTGCCAGAGGGTCCAGCAGAGAGAGACTACAGTCACGCCATAATGGGAGGAGATGAGAATGGAGGAAAGTGAGTTCTAGTCAGCGTGAACGAAGACATATTGTTAAGGGGTGTGACGCACCAGTGATAGTGATATCAGCCGTTGTCTGGAACACGAGCCATAACAGAGAGACAACCGAGATCTGCCCAAGTAAAGCCACTCTGACCAGACCACACAACCTTCGGTATCCATTATTTGCAACTGATAACGAAGAACGTACTGTCCAAGCATGCCCGATTGTATACCCGCGACCATGCCACATATGAAACTACTGAACGAGAAGCAGACTATGACGATTCCAAGAGGCTTGTTCTTCGTGAAAAGGTATACACTGTGACAGAAAATCTGGCTTGTCAGCGCAGGCATCATGAATAGATCAAAGGAGGGAAGTACCGCCAGCTGAGGAAAGATTGACTGAGCAAGGCTGTCAAGGAGGCTGGAGATATATTATCAGATGGGGTCTGGATGCAAGACGGATGCGTGTACATACTCGCACAAGCAGCTGGACGTCGGTGGCTGGTGAGATGGTGAACATGATAAAAAGAACTCTTCAAGGGGCCTTACTGAAGGGGATCGTCCAACTAACGCCTGTAAATGAGGTCTGAGCTCTCTTTCCAACGCCGAAAATCAAAGGGAGATCTCACGTCCTAAAAAGGCTGGATTGTTGTAATTCGTGACGCTGAGAGACCACCATCAGATCCCAACCTCGAAGTGGGCAGATTAAGAACGAACCAGGTTTCCCACGCTGAGTATACCGTCCTGTACAGTCCTAGTCAGGAGGGAAACGAAGTCAATAAGGGAAAAAACTTACACGCCTTCATGCAGAGTGTCTATTACAAATAGAGCGCCGACCAGAGCCCTGTCCATTTATCTGCCATGAGAGCACAAACCGGACGACGAAGCGAGGGTGCTGACCTGATGTATAACCGATCTTTGAAGGCTAGAGAACGGGATGGTCAAGTAAGAAGAACATCCCACTGCACGAGTTTTTTGGGACCTTACGAGCCATGTAGTAGAGAAGAAACTGATAGCAGACCAGGCCATACAGAAAAGTGTTGACTAAAATGCTACGTTCAGTTTACCGCAATATTATTCGATCCGAGCCATCTTACAGAACAGGCCCACTAGCAGGACGCCTGCAAAGCAATTCAGTCAGCTGTCGCGAACTTCAGGCACGATGGTATGGTATTATCGCTCACCGATTGTTGTGTCATACTCGCCCATTCTGTACCAGCCAACAGCTTAAAATGTAGAAGCAGCCTTCAATGAAAAATGGCGATCGGTGAACGTGAGCGACGACGAAAAACGAGGGGAACCAAAGTCGGAGAGCGTCCGAAAGCGAGCGTCGGTGTCCACACCTGGTACTTTATATTATCCATCCAAGCGCTTACTATGCGTTTCCCGCACTTGGATGCGTGCCAGCATCTGATCTTCGACGAGCGGAGCACATCATATCCCATTCAGTACGTATGCATGCATCGCGGTCCATAGCCCTTGACGACAATTCAAAGTTAGAGCGGAAGCTCCCCGACACACACTGTCGTTACGTTTACATTCCGAGTTGCTTCGTTCTCTACTCGGACGGGTCTACGACCACCCTTCGGTGTACGATGGTCGAAAATTATATCTTTTGTAGATCTTGAGCAGAAGGTGCTTGCCGTTCCGGAGAACCGAGCTGTGAACACTTTGGGATTTCCTTGCAGGGGTTATCGGAGACGATGAGACACGCTTGCGAAGCGCCATTCGATGAACCTGGCAACCTAGTGTGAAAAAAAGAAGAGGTCGACGTTCGAGGCGCGTCAGATTGATGGAGGTGACGTTCGCCCACCATACCTTCTGCCTGAGTCTCTTCATGATGCACCACCCATAGAGTTGAGGCTACACAGTGGGGCGCAGAGTCGACTTCACGTACGCACCATCAGGAGGTATCCGGGCCACTCGGACAAGTGTAACACCATCAAAAATAGCCCATAATTCAGTTGTGTAAATGTAACAGCATGCCGGGATGGAGCTCAAGAAGAAAGAAGGGGCGAAAACATTCGAGACCGATTGAAAGCAAGCTCAACCCTGACGCCGCATGCCGACTCGGACACCAGCAAGAAGGTTGCAAGAAGGAGCGAATTACACTGCGCAGAAGAGGTTCGCCAAAGGTTCGCGAGCACGGAGCAGATGGAGTCGTTTATTATCGTTATGCAGCTTTACAGCATATTACGCAAGGCAGCGGGGACACAGCGGGGAAAATTGTTCCGGTGGCACGTCGGAGAATGCCGAAAAACCATCCTTTCGTTCTTTCTCCTTTCACCGACTTTTATAACTTGCCCGCAGGCTACAGCTGTGGCGGTCACGGTTACTTCTGATGGAGCCTTAGACATCTGGAGACATAAAAGTCTTCAGAATCGTCAACAAGTCATCAGCCGTTGGAGGAAACTCTTGTCCCCTTTTAGCGATCTCATCAGTATCATTGCCGACTGCCAGGCTATAAACTCGTTAATGACGGTGGTCATTTCTTTCTACATATACATCTCTAGCATCCTCCCAATAATAGCCCTTGACTCGTCTAGTACAGTTTCCGCTTTGAACTTGGAACAAAAAAAAACTTGGCCTGTCCCTGGATACTTATCACCTAGAACTCATAGGCTCGGGGATGTCGCACCTCCTCGGTGTCCCATTCACGCCAGGCTCAGGCTCGCCGCTGGACCTTGGACCTGTCCATCCGGCTTGACCATCATCGACTCATGTCCTAATCCTGCCTATGATCTTGATCTACTCATCTCCAAAAGCTTGGTCCGACGATCCTGGCCATGGAAGACTAAATACCCGATCGTCTCCCAGTCTTCGTCCGTTGTAAGTTTAATTTTATTTCCAGTGTCAATCACTCCAAACCCGTGTAAGTATGCCCATCTCCATGCATATGCATATGCCCGCGGGCCTGCATGAAACTCTGTTGCATTATTTTGCCCTTTGCTCGCTTCGGACGCCGTTTCACGCCCTCCTGTATTCAACATTTGTCCCTTATCGTTCCAGTCAGACGCGTCTCGGTCATGATCAAGAGCTCGCTTTTACATAGCGCTGAATCATTCAAGCTGTTAGGGTTGGGCCCCCCTTGACGACTACGAATAGAATTCGGGCACTCGTCTTTCTGTCGTTGTCACAGGATGGCCGTGGAAAGGTGATACTTATACTGTACGACCTTGAAACTTACTCCACCTCTTAGCTTGCTTCAGTTCAGGATTCGTGAGTTTCCTACTTTCCACTCACGTCACATCAACTGATCATGATACTATACTAACCATATCCTACCCGTTGCATAGCCAATTATCAAAAGGTCCAGGGTGACTCCGTCTTGAAGGCGCCTCGGATGCGTCAGCATCAATTTCACTTCAATAGGATAACGTAGGTCGGTAAACCTATACTTGAATAAGCCCATGCGCATACAAAATGCCAGCATGAAGGCACCCATAGTCAATACTTCAAACTCCCGCACCCGCGCCACATACCCAAACGGCGCAAAATTAAAGTCGCATTCGATTCCTCGCAGGGCAGACGCTCTCTACGTACCTATCTTGTGTCCCCCCAACGGTCAATAATTTACCACCATTCTACGTACAGTATTGCGAGCTTTGAAAGTCATTCTCGGCGCCACGAACTGTGGCGCTATTGTTGACGCGTTGTTTGGTTCCATCGCGTCAATGCATTGTCGATGAACGCGCTCGTGCGCGTTGACCCTCATTCCCAACGACGATCTATCATCTAGGACCACCAAAGAGCACAACACTCAGCTACGTCCGTATCAGTCGAGTGCCAGAAAACGGAACATCTTATGTTGGTACAGCAAGATCAGTTGGAACCTACCCTAGCGGCAAGAGCCAGTGTAAAGCGATCCTGTCCCGATATTGACACCGGCGACGACGCGTCTGTGGATCGTATGGATACGAGTTCTGACCAGGCGTATCGTAACGCAGGCGGAAGGGAGGTAGATGTTGGCCAGGAAGAACTCGGTACGTCTACGATGTCTGATTCATGAGATGTGAGCGAAGGATCTCTCCACTCCCACCCCTGAGGTTTTCAGGAGAGCAACCGGCCAAACGTCGTCGAGCTGACGGCTCTACGCCATGCAATACAATGGCCCTGACTTTCAGTGCCCACGAACGGAGCAAAACACAGAAAGCTGCTACTAAGGACAGAATCTCTGCAATGTCTGTTGATGTTCTCTTCGAGGTACGTTCCGGCTTTTTCGTATGGTCGCTGATGTCACTGAATATAGTTACACTGCCAGATATGTCTCTGTGTGTCTCCGGGGGATATGCTTAGCCTGTCCCGTACAAACCAGAGTCTGCGAAATGCTCTAGTGTCTCGCTCGAGCATCACTGTCTGGAAAAGCGCGAGGCAGAACGTCGAACCATCGGCCCTCGAAGGTCCGCCCATCGGTTTTACTGAACTCCCATGGGCCTCATTAGTGTTCGGTCATTTCTGTTTTATGATTTTATATCTTCATTTCTGAGTCACCTGGATAACAGCAACCTGACGGTAAGTTACGCGTTGTTACGGATAGGAATGTGGAAGAAGATCCGAAGACACGAGCCCTTATTGGGCGTTCAAGCGCCGGCTCTGCTCTGGCTGTGAGGAGAAATTGTCACTCGACTTGTCGCAGTCGTTCTCATTTTCATGCCAACTCGCTCATGCGCAGATATTTGAATCTTTTTTTTGTTTTTTTTTTTTGCTCTGCCTGGTCACAGCGACCGACTATGAGCGTACACACCCATACGTCGACGACATCGCTTTTTGAATCAATACCATCTATGGAAGTGATCGGCGCTTGTGCGTTTGCTTCATCGTTATAAGGCCGCTTCTAACTGACGGAAATATAGTGACCGTACGTGTTAAGTACTGGCGTCCAGACGTGGATGGCACCGCCCAGCTCGTCTCGCGGTATGCAGAGGCCGTTGTAGTAGGAAAGAGGGGCTCTGAGCGAGTACTGCAGCAATTCCTGAGTGAAAGACGGAAGTCCGTGGGACTGACTGTGCTTGGCGAGGTCTGTCTTATTTTTCGAGTTCTCTAGACTTTGGCGCTAGGAGGAACTGACTCAGAAGTGCTGGTCACCGACTTTTTCTGAAGATGATTAGACGTATGCAGGAATGGTATACCGCGTACCAGGCAAATCGGGAATCAGTGATGAAGAAGAGATACGAGGCGCAAGTTTTTATTTTTATTTTTACCGTTGACGAGGTTTTGCAAAAGCTTACGCAGCTACAGCATCAAGAACCTCATGACCGAAGAAGGCTTTTCTTCTATAGACATGGACACCCCAGAATTCCATGATCTCACCAATGTCAAATTGAAGAGGCCTTTAACAGACGACGGTAAGTGCTCTTCACTACCACACAACATTAGCTCATACGACACAAAACCAAGAATGGGTCGATATCCATCCTCGGCTTGTGGTTTACATTACTGAAGCTAGAAAGACTCGCCTAATACTAGAGGAAGAACAACGCATTGGCAAACCCGCATACGAACGAACGCACGTACCTCCTTTTTCTTCCGACCCTCGGAGTGGTACTTATTCCTTGCCCTCGCCCGAAGTGTTCGTTCAGACTTCATATTTCATCAACCATCTCGCGAATAAACGCAAAGGCGAGGATGAACGGTGATATATATAGCTCGCCCCTTTCTGATGCGGTGGCGGGATGGGTCGAACGCAAACGTGACCTGCACATTGCAATTGCATTGCTTCCCGATGAATGTCGGCGTCGAGCAACCACAACCACTAGAGGAGGGATGAACCCCTCACCTAAGTATCTCCCGATACGATGGATTCGGACATCTCCTGCCTAGCGGTATGGATCGGTTCTTAGGTTCCCTGACGCTCGCGATTGCAGTGTTCAGGACTAAGACTAAGGAAGGAGGACGGGTCTTGATTGCACCGCGTGGAAAGAGGATATCACGCTCGAGTTCAAGTTACTCCTCGCGTGGGATCCGCAGCTGGGAGAAAAGATGTGTGAGATGTGTGAATGTGTTCGTTGTCCACGAGCGCGGTGACGATGGATACTTATGCTGGCCGAACGATTCATTTGTTTGAACTGTCTTGATGCGAACGGGGGGTCCTGGAGAGGCATCATGCATCAAGGTCCATATAATACCTGGAGGACTGGGGTACTTAAGTCCATCTATGTACTTACCATCAGGGCATGTTGATATAATGTTCATTCACTAACTTTTGACTCGGAATCTTGGGTTAGGTCGAACATGATGCATCCATGACAGACTGAGATGCATCAAACCATGCTTCTCCTCGCTGGCGCCTCTGAATCCTCCATTCGGGAGAGACAGAGGCCATCAAAAAGAGAGAACGGCCGATCTTACTGTTTGAATCCTCGGACCTCAGGCTTGCCAAGACTGCAGGCTGGTAAGTTATTGTCAGTATGTACTGCAACCAGGGTCCAGGGCCGATGTCTTCGGTATGCTATGCTCGGCTACGGAACTTCGTACTTTATCGGATATAGATACTGTATAGCCTGGCCGTACGATGAATTGCTGCGACACCTGGTCGTGGTCGAGAGGCATGTGCACTTCCTCTCTCTCTATCTATTGTGGATTGTGGATTGTGGATTATGGATTGTGGATTGTGGATTGTGGCTTGTGGCTTGTGGATCGTGGATCTGATTTATTTCAAATCCCCAGACACGCAATTTCGGCCTCGGACTCGGATGCGATCGCGATCTTTGGGGAGGACTTCATATAATAATTATATTTTTCCCAACGATTCAGATGGATGCCTGGCACGTCATCGCTGAGAACTTGTCGACGTCGGTAAGTCACCCAGGGTCGAGGTTACAGTCCTAGATTTTGTTAGAGTAGGAGGCCATGGATGAAGATGATGACTGTGATCGTTTTGAGTGTGTGGTGTGTTGATATCTTGTTGCTTGCTGCTTCATAGAATAAATAATGTTCGATTGATGCAGAAGAGCCCGACGTGACAGCATGTACTAGCAGCTTCGGTTTCGAAGTAGACAGCGCATGTATGGGCTTGTGTGTCGTTGGGTGAATCATCGCCGTCTGTGAGGTGGGCATAACGATTTAATTTGCGAACCACATTGAACGACCCGCCTAAAGCTCAAAATATATCCCCAGCTCGATATGAACTCGGAGGGGGGTGTGCGTGATTCAGATGATATCCTAAAGCACAAGAACAAGAACAATACAACAGAAGGCCATCCCGAGTCATAGACTACTATTTTCAAAGAACGTTCCTTCCTTCCTTCCTTCCTTCCTTCCTGAGGCGTAAAACATTGCGGAATGAACAATTAACATTTCCACCCATCATCCAACCAACCCATCATCGTCATCGTCACACATGGCTCCCTCTCTCTATCGCCTGGACCGTCTCCTGCCCAACTGCCCAATCCTCACAGTTTCCGTCGTGTACATACGACCTACGACCTAAGTTACAGAGTCTAAGTGCGGCCGATTCAAAGCCTCGCGATCTGAATCTCTTACGCTTCCGCTGGGGACATCAAAACGCGGCCATCGCATGCATGCAGCGGACGGACGGACAGAATCGATGGTACTAGTAGCTGTTTATTGTCATGCATTGACGGTCGTATATATGGCGACGTGGAGACGTGGAGACGAGGTGAAAGAAGTGAACGAAGTATAGAGGGCGTTCGATGGACAATGGTAATGAGAGGTCCGACCGATGAGAGGTGAGAGGTGACCGCCGACCGATATCGATGAGAGGCAAGAGGTAAGAGGTCAGAGGGCCGACCGTCGACGTCGCAATCGTCTCTAGGGTTCGCAGTTCGCAGTTCGCACAAAACCTGACACTCGACACTTTTGCGGGAAGCTAAGCCATCCAGTATCAGTATCAGGATCGGTATCTAGTCCCGCGAGCGCTGTCTGAACACCGTGACCCAAACTGCCGCGCCCGTAATAATAGTATGGCCCAACCAGTCAGTCTCAGATGTACTGAGTACCAGCGAACCGCGGAGGGAATGGCAAGGTCGCTGGGTAATACGAGACTCATCGTATGTAAATGGGAACGTGGGAAAGTGGCAGGTAAAATGCTCAGTGGCTAGAACTGATTCAGAAACCTCGGAGAGACGGAGAGACGGAGAGCGTCGAGCGCCTAGCGCTAACATTCGTATTGAATAATGATAGCCAGAGGAAGAAGAGAACGCGAGAGCAGAGTCGTACGCAGACGTGGTGGATAACCAGGATGTCTGTGACGAAAGAGGTCATAGTGGGGAGAAAACGGACACGCCACGAGGGGCGCTGAATAGAAAGGCCAAGAAGGCCAGTTGCGAGTAGAATATGAGAAGCATTCAGATCTACACCCTCGAAAGCGCGTTTCCCCTACATCAAAAAGCCACATCAGCCTCACCTCCCCCACATCGGAAGGAAAAAAACTACGCACCTATTGACCATCGCATGCTTATGCAACGTCTCCTTCTTCTTCAACACCTCGCTCTGCCCCTGCACGATCTTAATAACCTCCCTCGCCAACCTCTCCTCGACCCTCATCGGACCCTTCCTCCCTCCCTTCCTCCCCACCTCCACCTCCTGCAATATCCACTTAACAGCCCCCCTCACCCTCGCCTTTTCATTCATCACCATCGGAACGGGCACCACCGTCGCCGCCCTCTTATTATTCTTAATCCTAATACTCGGCGCCGCCGCGAACACGGCCTCCCTCACAATATCCAATGGCGGCGCACCGCGACTCAGCGCATGTACATGCAACAGCATCCTCGACACGATCCCGCTCGCGCGCGCGCGTTTTCCGTCTTTGGTTAGGGCGGAGGTGAGGTAGTGGAGCAGGGGATCGGCGGGAGGAGGGAGGTCCATGATGATGGGTTGGGTGCGGCGGGAGGGGAAGGCGGAGAGGGAGGGTGGGGAGAAGGTGTTGTCGGGGGTGCGGGCGAAGGGGTTGGTTAGGACTGCACGGGTGTAGGCGGGGTCGGGGGAGCCGGGGGAGTGGCCTGTTGTGAGCGGTGGAGGGGGGATGAAGTCGAAGTCATCGGGTGTGGTGGGTGGTGGGGGAGTGGAGGACGAGGAGGAGGGCGAGGAGGGGAGCGTTGAGAGCGTTCGGGACGGGAAGGAGAGGAGGGACCGTCGGACGGCGTGGTGCCGTAGTGGTGAGAGCATTTTGCGTTGAGAGCGTTGAGGGCGACGTCGACGTGAACGTTGAGGAGCAAGTCGCGAACGACGCGCTCGATTATTTCTTTCTTTTTGCCACGTGGGCCACCCACTAAAGCAACATTATGTCATCTCTCTTTCCGTTCTGCAGCCCTAAAGCGAGAGGTCTCCAGCGCCTTCTCGACTGCAGAGCTTGTGTGCATATATATAATCAGCTATCCCCAGGCCGACGTCTGCGCGTACGAGCGGCACTTGTCGAAAACACTAACGCTCCGTTCTGATGAACACGACTCAGTCTAGCCCGGCCTTGTTTCTCGATATAAGTCCTCGACCAATGCCCGTCCTCCTTTTTGTACTACTCCCTTCTCCTCTCTCCTCTCCCCTCTCCCCTCTCTGTATCATTTTCATTCCCAACGGCAGCAGTGTTTGCTCGACCCGTAAACCCTACATCCACCTGCAAGCACTGAGTACACGAGATGTACCGCTTCTTCCCCCACACGGAATACACAGAAGACCAGCCGTACGCACGCACGATCCTCACCACCCACGTCGCCGCACGCGCCTTCACCCTCGGATCCGGCATAGGTCTCGCAATCGGCGGGACTTCGCACCTCGTTGATCTTGCTCGAGCTCGTTCTGCCACCAAGTCCTCTCTCCCCTCTTCATCGACATCTCCACTTCCACCCACCGCCTCCGGTTCCCTCCCCCTCCCCATCAAAGGGAACGTCAATGGCAACAACGTTAAACCACCACCACACTACCCCCTCCCAACCCGCCTCCTCCGCTCCTCCGGCTTCTCCTCCCTCTTCACCTCCGCCCTCCTCTGTGCCCTCATCTTACCTTATCAAATGTCTGGCCGCGAACCCATAGAATGGCAGGATCGGACGTGGAGATTGCTAGAGAATAAGGGACAGATGGAGGTGGATGAGTGGACGGGTGTAGGGGCGGGGGTGGGGTTGGTGGGTGGGTTGGTTGCGCGTCAAAGGGGGAGTGGAATGGGAGGGCGTGGGTTGGAGACTGGGGCGGTCAAGTTGGGGGTGAGGGGTGTGGTGGGCGCGGCGGGGGTGGGTAGTTTGGTGGGGTTGGCTGGGTATTTTGGGTGGAGGTATGGGTGGAAGGGAGGGAAGTGGGATGAGGATGAGGATGAGTGAGTGGAGGAGCTAGCAGGCGAGCCGGTGGAGGAGCTCGCAGGAGAGCCGGTGGAGGAGCTCGCAGGAGAGCCAGTGGAGGAGCTCGCAGGAGAGCCGGTGAAGGAGCTCGCAGGAGAGCCGGTAAGGGAGGAGAGGTGTGGCGGTCGCGGTCGCGGTGAGTCCTTTCTCGTGGGACTCGAATTTGTTCGGGCGTTGCTGATCGTTCGTGCTATCATGATAGTATGATTGCCTCCGTGTTCGGGTGCTTGTCATTTTAGATGCAAAGCAAATATATATATCTCGTGTCCGCTCTAATTCATTCAGACCCACCTTTCATCTAAACCAACGACTACCGTCCGCAACAGTTACAGTCACAGTCAACCTATGTGCATACTCCCCTCAGTGCCTCTGCGCATCAAAAACGCCTGCTCTCTATAAATCGAATGGAATGTATAACCCCGAGCTGACAGGATGCATACCAGCAGAATGACACAGCGCGTCCATGCTTCCGGTTCCGGTTCCGGCGTTTTGTCAACGTTGGAGTTCGAGTGACTCTGAACTCTGAACTCTGAACTCTAGACTCGCTTGGAGATTCTGGACTGGCTTGACCTTGATTTGGGTATGAACGTATGAATGGTGGGAATGATGGGAGTGGCGATGGGTAGCAGGGCGGTTGGGATGGGTAGGAGGGGATGGGTAGGAGGGTAATTGGGATGAATGAGTGAGTGAGTGCGTGAGGTGGGGGTGGCATCAGCAACACTCGTAACGGGTATTATACTATAGCCCGAGAGACAGCATGGTCCTCAGGCTACTGCAACTCTTCGTGCGTTCGTCGTGTCCGCCTTGATCCTGTCTACTTGCATCTCATTCACTTAACAGGGCTATGGCCGCTCTGCGTGATATAGAGGCGTATCCCGACCCAGGTACCTTCAACCCGTCTATAATACATACTAACATAGATTCCTGACCCCTGACCCCTGATGATGGTTCGCAAAATCGATCCTTGTATCCGAGACCCTGGAGTCACATTTAGATATGGATTCAGACGGCGTATACTTATGTCCAGTAAGCAGCACCCAAGTTCCCCGCTCGTCCAACTCGCACTTGTTATTGGAACCTATTGACATACTGAACTCTCCAGGCCCACGAATTCCTACTATGGCTCACATTCGCGTACTTATATATTGGCTAAGCTCGAGATTATCATAAGCATAAGCGGAAGGTAAGCAGACGACGATGGGGAAGTTGAAGTTGGCCATGGTTCCGATGCCGGAGGAGAGGAGATGTTCGTCATGGGCTTAGTCTCGTGAGCCGTCCCTCCCCACTCTTGTTCTTTAGGAAGATGTGAGCTGAGGTGTTCGTTTGCCAAAGACATCATTCGACATCCGAATGTTATGTTCGATCACACCGAGGTCAGAGGCTTCTGTGAGGCTTGTTCGAGCGGTCGTGCGAGTGATTGATTGATACTAACGGGATAGAAAGATGGTCTATGATTCGGAAATGCATTAATACCATGCCCTTGAACGTATGACTCTGGCTCGACTTCACGCTTACATTTACGTTTACATTCACAGCACGTTCAGTCATCGATACCGATCGATAGGCCTCCGAGCGAGAGTGAAGTTTACGATGCTTATCCAGGACCCTTTGGAGCCCGCACTTGGGTTTGGTTCCTCCGACATGCATGGCGATACCACACGAGGCTGGTTCACAGCAACGCCACGAGAGTATGTTTGAATATGCTGTTTTACTATAGCTCTTCAAGAACAACAGCAAGAGGGGAGGGGTGTACAAAAGCATACAGATCGTCATGGAAAGTTCTTCAGATCGACCTCTTTTCAATGCAGTAAGAAGACCCGCATCTGGAATTCCCGTGCCCTCTAGCCAACCCGGGTTTTCCTTTCTGTTCGATATTGCATACATATGGAGCCCAAGTTGAATTTGGGTTCTGCATACATTGCTTACTGGTCTCTGTATATAGGCACCCACTACTATAACTTATTCCGTCCATTCTTGCTCTCACGACTGATCGGCTTGCGTGACTTCCACTCCCTCGCGATGTGGAGAAGCGTCGGACGGCAAGCTCTCCCGGCACAGAATGTATATGTATAATGTATAAAGACGGAATCTGTGCACTTGGAAAAGCCTCCCGGGCTGGCTCACGTTCGTCTTCTTGTGTTCTGGCACCTCCTGCGCGCGTATACTATCACTGCTTACTGTAAAGAAACACAGACAATTTATCTATCTATCCCACGATGGTCTTACCACCACTGTCTGCACTGGCACTTCCTGGACTCACCCTCCTGGACATCGGTGTCTGCTGTACAACCCTGATCGTCGCCGTCACTTTGTATACCCGCCGGCAACAATTTAAACAGCTGAATCTGCCGTATCCGCCTGGTCCCAAGGGTCTTCCGATCATCGGGAACGTCTTCGATAATCCGGAGAAACAACCCTGGGTTACTTATAGGGACTGGTCTCGTCAGATGGGTGAGCATTTTGCGTACTAGATATGATACCCAGGATGGCAGGAAGACGTAGCCTGAGACTGATTGCGGCTTGGACAATGGACGGGCAGGCTCTCCTATCATTAGGCTCGATATGATGGGCAGGAAAATAGTGGTGATCAATGAGTTCCAAGCGGCGGTTGATCTGTTTGAGAAACGGGGATCCATGCACTTGAACCGGTATGTGCTACAGTATGCTACCTACCACCGGGCTTCAAGTTGATCACGAGCTCTCTATCCTCTGCTGAAATACTTATGTGTATCACAATGGATATGGATGATGAAGCCCTCGGTTCCCCATGATGAATGAGGCGTAAGTCTACATTCCAGTCAACGCTGCCTCCATTTACGAATTCCGTTTCTGATCTGTCTGTTAACGTTGTATACTTATACCAGATGTGGGGGCAAGTGGCTGTTCGTGTTAACCGACGAACTCGACCACTGGGAACTCTGTCGCCACACATTCGATTCTTATTTCCGCAAGGCCGAGATGACACGATGGAGGGCACACCAGCTTTCTACGGCCCATGCGCTCCTCACGAGGCTTCTCGAATCTCCGGAGCGGTTCGAGGGTCATATTCACCAGTCAGTCGTCCAGCCACCATAGTTATTGGTACTTCGCTCGAGTCCGAGTTATGATGGCTGATTGAAGTCGTTTTGGGCCACGGCCCACAAGCATCACAGCGGCTATGTTTGTCGATATCGCGTATGGTATAGAGGCGAAACAGGAAGACGACGAGTTCATCGATGTTTCGGAGAGAGCGCTCAGAGGATTGGAAAACTGTAACAATACGGGCATCATCGATATCTTTCCGTGGCGTACGTCATTCACGATTCCATTCTACTAGTCATCCTATCGCCGTTTTTGTTATAAATTGAACTCTTGCCTTCTCGTGTTCGCGGTATGGCGATATGGCAGTTCAACACATTCCGAGTTGGATCCCCGGCATGCGTTGGAAGCAAAGTATCGACGTTTTGAAGACCTACGTCTTGCAGATGGTCGACGCACCTTACGAGCGGGTCAAGGAAGGACTCGTAGGCCATCTACTTATTCCATCTCGTCTGGACTCTTATGATGTCTGCTGATCGGCCGTTACGCACCGCAAAAGAACGAAGGGCTGGCAAAACCCTGCGTGACGACTGATCTCATGGCTAGGTTCGAGGATGAGATAACTGATAATTTCCGAAGAGAGTATGCCATCAAAAGTATCGCTGGGACGGTTTACGTGGGTGCGTGATTCAGAGTCTTCACAACGATAGTACAGGCTCCTGCCAAACAGTGCTACCATTCTCTAGCTGGTTACGACACGGTCGGTCTTCGCTCTTTTCCACGTCTAGCACACCGTACCCTTTCCACTCACTTTCCTTTTCCCCTTTTGATGGCCGAAAGACCGCTTCCGTTCTCAACACTTTCTGCCTCGTCATGACCCTCTTCCCCGATGTCCAGCGACGCGCACAAGCCGAAATAGACCGCGTCGTTGGCCCGAGTTCAGACCGTCTTCCTGAATTCTCTGATCAGGAGAGTTTACCCTACATCACCGCGATCGTGAAAGAGATTCTGCGTTGGGCTCCGCCATTGCCTTTGGGTACGTTCTGCCCTTTATTTCTTTTTTTGGCACCAACTACTACCATACTCACATCCTATACTTATCTTGGGGCCGGTGTAATGCGCTGTGATGATGGTGTAGGTTTACCCCATCGTACGAGTACAGCCGACACATATAACGGGTATTATATCCCGAAAGACTGCATGGTCCTAGGCAACTCTTGGTGCGTTGTGTCTGCGTCGTCGATCTTGATTTCAGTTTATGGACATCCCATGCACTCCGCTCTGGCTCAAATACTTTGATTTAGGGCCATCCTACGCGATCCAGAGGCGTATCCAGACCCAGACACCTTCAACCCGTCCAGATTCCTGACCCATGATGGCACCAAAATCGATCCTACCGTCCGTGATCCTGAAGTCACGTTTGGATACGGACGGCGTATATGGCCAGTAAGCACTGCCCACACTCGTTCTTTCACTTGTTATCAGAACCTATTAACATGATGTTGAACTACCCAGGGCCGCTTCGTAGCTCATGAATCCTTATGGATCACATTCGCGTATATATTGGCTACGTTCGAGATTGAGAGGAAGGTAGGCGACGATGGGAAGTTGGTGCCGATGCCGGAGGAGATGTTCGTCATGGGCTTAGTCTCGTGAGCCGCCCCTCTCCTCTCCACTTTGCTCTCGTTCTCTAGCCGCTGAGGTTTTTTTGTTGTTCGTGAAGACATCCTACTAAATTCTCGTGCTCGATCACACCGAGGTCAGAGGCTAGTGTGAGGCTCGTTCGAGCGGTCGGGGTGGACCGTGCGGAGTAATTCAGATGCATTGACGAGATGGAAGGATGGTCTGGGAACGTCGGCCCGATGTCGTTGGACGAGATTGAACGTACGGCACTGCTTCAAGTTCTCGCTCTCAAGCTCGTAGAATCGAGATGGGATTCGAAGGAATGGACGAAGAATCAAGTACTTAGTTCAGGAAGCTTGTACTTTTATTTGCTTGGACACACAATACTGTATGCTGCTCACACATCCAGCCGAGTGAACCTCGCCTCATGGCCAACCGGAAGTGCGCTCTGGAGGCAAGGCAGACACGGCACTGAAGTTGCGGCAAAGTTGAATTCGGGCGGAACCTTGATCGGTCTCCTTCCCACTGCCCGGCAACCTCCGTTGTCCGACAGAAATCAAGTTCTTCTCACGATCGCCATCAACAAACCATCGACGTTCGACGCGTACTTACGGTGAGAGGAGGAAGGGAAGAAAATGCATGCGGTGTGCAACTTTTGACGACTGTATCGCTTGGTGAGTATATTGTGTCTGCATTCTTTGACGAAACTTTCCCTTTGACGGAACAGAATGATACAGCAGATGTCCGGCAGGGTCGGAGAGCGACACTGATATTCTTCTTCTTTTACTTGGGTTTTGCGTTGTCGTGATGTCTCGAGCATAGATTATCAGGTCTCAGTCTTCCACACAAATGCTGCCATATAGTAACATATATGACAGACATTCGTCTCAGAGCCATAAGACGATCTTCACGTGAACTTTTAACGTGCGCGCCGCGCGCCGGTCAGGCTGTCCGCATCTCGTACAATAACTTGACCTCAGACTTCTCATTATAGAAGCCTCCATAGGCTCATTCCATCATGGTATCGAACGTCTTCTACCTCAACATACAAATATACCACACCCGCATTATAATGGTGCCCACCAAGTGCCCACTGTCTGTTATTTCTTCGGGTACGCCTTATCTGTACGCCCAATGCGAGCCCTAGCGAATGTCCGACCAAACAATACCTCGGCTGCCAGCCTCGGAAATGAATAGGCCGTATCCCATCCTAAATTACTATGTAAACTGTGTTCATTTTCAGAGTAATGTCATCGTACGCTTCGCACACAGACAGACTGAGTATTCTCAGAAGACCAGGGATCTGCCCGCCTGACTACGTGTAAGTCCTTCTTAGAGCGGTTCAAAAGGGACCATTATCCTCCCGGTTGATTTCTGATTGCGACCCTTCACAGTTTGTTTCGCTCTCCTTGCGTCGACATTCGAGTCCGATGTTTGATATACCCGCCCCATCCCTTCCGTCTCCTGCTGGGATCACACTTCTGGATGCTGGGCTATGTGCTGGGTGCGCAGTTATGTCGATTGCGCTTTTCCTAAAGCAAAGAAAGAACTATCCATACCCTCCTGGGCCGAAGGGCCTCCCGGTCATCGGAAATGTCTTCGATATGCCGTCGATAGAACCATGGGTTGCATTTAGAGACTGGTCTCGCGAGATAGGTGAGTACATAGGCTTTCAACGGCAAAAGAACGAGGCTGAATGTTTCCTGGTGGTCTTCATCGTCAGGCTCTCCTATCATTAGCTTAAACGTCCTGGGAACGACTATCGTAGTGCTCAATGATTTCAAGACTGCAGTCGATCTATTTGAGAAACGAGGGGCCTTATACTCCGGCCGGTGTGTACTCTCACTATTCGAAACTTATCTTCGTCTGATAGGGTCTGTTTCAAGCCCTCGATTCCCGATGTTGGTAGAAGCGTACGTTGTTGTTCTCGCATGGATCTATATTCTACGAGAACCTGAATAATCATGTTCTAGATGTGGGCTCGATTGGACCTTCCCTTTGTCTAACGGCGAGCACTGGAAGATCTGTCGTCGTTGTTTCGACCCTTTCTTTCGTAAAGGGGAGGTGCTGCAGTACAGGGAACGTCAGATGTCTACAGTTCGTTCGCTTTTGGCCCGGCTTCTGGACTCTCCGGAGCGATTCGTGCATCATATTCACCAGTGAGTCCATGCACAAGTCGTCCCACGTCCTTCCTATCGGGCCTCGACATGGCTAATTGCCTCTGTGCTCCAAGTGTGACGGGATCTTTGATGCTCGACATCTCATATGGTATTGAAACTAAGCCTGAGGGCGACGAATTTCTTGATACCGCGGACAAGGCACTTAGAGGGGTCGAGACATGCGATAACATGAGCATCATCGATATACTTCCTTGGAGTGCGTGCTTCCAAGCCATAGTTCCATTTGTGCTATTGCTAACTCATCGTTCCCGCTCTTGGACTCTGACAGTCCAACATATCCCAAGCTGGGTTCCTGGCATGTGGTGGAAGAAAAAGGTAGACATCTTGAAGGCTCAAGTCGTACGTATGTCAGACGGACCGTATGAGTGGCTATTGCAGCAAGTCGTCAGTCTCTTTCCCTGCCTTCGTAGTTCCCACCCGACATTCACCCATTTTGCGTGACAGAACAAAGGCTCTGCAAAACCATGCATAGGAACCGACCTCATTTCCATGTTTGATGACGGGACGATCGATACTCCTCGTCGAGAGGGCACGATCAAAAGCGTCGCTGGTACTGTATATGCCGGTACGTGTCCTACAGAAGCCTCGTAATAGGTTTGTCACTATCTAAATACCGTGGCGATTTTTATAGGCGGCTCTGACACAGTACGTCTTTTCTCTGTCGTTCAAATTACTGAATTTCCCTATTTGACTCACGCTCACCTTCGACGCCCAAAGACAGTTTCCGTCATCCACTCGCTCTTTCTTGTCATGATCCTATTTCCGGACGTTCAACACCGAGCGCATGAGGAGATTGACCGCGTTGTCGGCTTGACTCGTCTACCTGAATTCTCAGATCAAGAAAACCTACCCTATATCACAGCCGTCGTCAAAGAAGTCCTCCGATGGGCTCCTCCTTTCCCGCTCGGTGAGGATTAGCTCTTTCAATCCTTCAATGACCCTCACTCTTTCTCACGGTGTTCCCGTTCTAATTGTGATGGCAATTATACAGGTATACCGCATTCTTCTGCTACGTCAGACCTTTACAACGGGTACTACATCCCGAAAGGCGCTACTGTTCTTGCAAACTCTTGGTATCTCATCTCATATCTGTCTGGCAGATCGTCCTAGCGCTATAATGAACTTGATTTTCCTTTCAAGGGCAATTCTACGTGATCCAGTAGCCTATCCCGACCCAGAAGTCTTCAACCCGTCTAGATTTCTGACCGCTGACGGCAAAGCGATCGATCCTACTGTTCGCGACCCCGAGGCCGTGTTTGGGTTTGGCAGACGAATGTGTCCCGTGAGTCGAATTCCATCTGTGATTGTTTCAGATCTTCTATTCCACCACTGACCCGAACTTCTTGCACTGGCGCTACGTGCCTTTTTTCTGCTTCCTGTGGCGCTCTTTATTGACGTGCATCGTGTCGACCTCCACAGGGCCGCTTCCTTGCCCTCGATTCGCTATGGACAACAACTGCCTGCATAATAGCTTTATTCGATATTGAGCGGAAGGTAGACGATGATGGAAAATTGGCCCCATTGCCAGAGAAAATGTTCACCTTGGGCATCGTCTCGTGAGTTCGCCTATCGTCCCTGCTTTTCGTGATTGATCGTTGACCTCCCTCATACTATTGATCCTCATACGCAGGCATCCCACACCATTCCCTTGTTTCATCACCCCGAGGTCGGTCGCCAGTGCCAGACTCATTCGAGGGATCAATGTGGCCCAAGATACTTGATATCTTGATGAACAGTATATTGACGCGGAGGAATGACATCTGTTGCTGGCTGAGACCATACCCCATAATCGTTGAGTACTTCCCTGGCTGTTCTCACAGCAATCGTATATCCTACATTCCAATTACGCGCCAATGCTCTCGGAATTCTCATGTGGAAGATATTTCACAAATCTGGGTAGCAAATTGTCTGTATCCACGACAACTCGCATTCGACACGGACGCAACTACTGGTCGAAGATAGGGAACACTGCTGAACGAACGAGGGATTGTGATGCAGTTTATATCTGTACCAGACAGTGTATTTCTCTAGGCGCAAGTGCAGAGTAATCTTCGCGCCAACAGGATGAACGCTTTGCGTGGGGGCAAAGTACAGGTAACCACGGCGAAATTTCCAAGTTGGATCTGTGACCGATTACTAGCCGCATCCGACGGCGACCTTCGTTACCGGAAAGGATCAAATCCTGCGATCGCCCATCAAATTTGTGGAGGGCGTGCACCGTGTGGTGAACATCTTCCGCTTTCCATTCCGAAACATCTTATTTGCTCGAGGCCAAGAAGTCGACATTGATCTTCTCACTTTCCTTCGAGGTCTAGCGTTGCCGGCATGCTTCTGGTGTTGAGATATTCAGGCCACCACCAAGCCAGCATGGCACGGCCACGTCCAGTGTCAAACCCTCCCGCCTCCCTTCAGGCAGAGACTGGCATACAATGGTACTCAATAATCGATGCATACACGAAGAAGAGCGGTCGATCACTGAATATGTCTTTCAGATAAATAAGACAACCTTCAGGCGAGGTCGAGATTTCAGTGGGTCAACTCGGTAAGTCTATCCGCATCTCATATAACACCTACCCTCATGCTTCTCAGTATAGAATTCTTTGTAAGCTGATTCAGTGTGTCGAAGCCATCTTCTGCTTTGGTATGCACATCCTTTCTTCCTGTCCACCTCGAGGCACCCACTGGTGCTCTAAGTGTACGCCTTCTTCTACGCACAGAGCACGCTCTGGCGAACGCCTTTGATTCGGCTATCAATTTCCGAAATGATGCGACTATGTCAGATCTGCGTGAATATGTAAACAGTCTTCGTGTCCAGAGCAAAACCGGCGCGTAGTTCACGTACAGATGGACCAAGCATGCTCAGAACACTAGAGGACATCTAGCCGCGTAAGCACATATAAGGGTCTTTGCATCTCAAAAGCGGTTGTCCTTCTTCCAGTCAGGTTCTGACTGCGAGTTCCTCAGTGCGATTTGACTCCCCATTCCAGTCTTTCCTTGCGTCGACAACTCCGTCCTGATGTTCGATATCTCCGTCTTACCCCTTCCGTCTCCTGCTGGAATGACCTTTGTGGACGCCGGGCTGTGTGCTGGGTGCGCGGTTATCGCAACTGCGCTTTATTTAAAGCAACGAAAGAGCTACCCCTATCCTCCTGGGCCGAAGGGCCTACCTGTCATTGGGAACATCCTCGATATGCCGGCGATAGAGCCATGGGTTGCGTTCAGAAACTGGTCCTGCGAGATAGGTGAGCACTCCTCATAGTACATGTGATTTCGAGACCGAAGAACAAGGCTAATTAAGGCCTGATGACTCTCCTCGTCAGGCTCTCCTATCGTTTGCTTAAACCTGATGGGCACCGTTATGATTGTGCTCAATGATCTCAAGACTTCGGTCGACCTCTATGAGAAACGAGGAGCCATGTACTCAATCCGGTATGTAGTATGGTCTAGATGAGCCTGTTTTCTTCCCCTGACGTGTTCTGTTACAAGCCCACGTTTTGCTATGATAGGCGAAGCGTAAGTTGTTCTCCTTCGATAGTTATTCGCATTTCTCAGAAGGTTTTGTACTCTAGATGTGGACTTGGGTGGGGCTTTCCTTTGTCTAACGATGTTGAACACTGGAAGCTCTCTCGTCGTTGCTTTGATCCTTTCTTTCGCAAAAGCGAGGTGCTGCAATACAGGGAACTTCAGCTCTCTATGGCTCGTTCGCTTTTGATGCGGCTTCTTGATTCTCCTGAGCGATTTATGCATCATGTTCACCAGTAAGTTCGCGTCCGAATCAATTTTCTGTGAGTCCGAGTCAAAGTCCTTGTCATAACTCATCGCTTTTTTCTCCAAGTGTGACAGGATCTTTGATGCTCGACATCTCATACGGTATCCAAACAAAGTCTGAAAACGACGAGTTCATCGAGACTGCAGATAAGGCACTCAGAGGAGTGGAAGCATGTGACAACATGAGCATCATCGATTTACTCCCTTGGAGTACGTACTTTTAACCATTACAATCATATCATTTTTACATCCAACTCATTGTCGCCGTTCGTGTTCGCTGGCAGTTCAACATATCCCGAGCTGGATCCCCGGCATGTGGTGGAAGAAGAAGGTAGACGTCTTGAAGAGCCAAGTATTGCGGATGCGAGACGCGCCATATGAGTGGATCACAGAACAACTGGTCAGTCGTTATTCGTTGATTTGTGGTCTGTCATCCGCCATCCAACAGTTTGACCCGACAGAAAAATGGCTCTGCGAAGCCTTGCATTGCGACAGATCTCATCTCAAGGTTTGATAATGGAGCGATCGACTCTCCTCGTCCAGAGGACACTATAAAAAGTGTCGCTGGTACGGTGTATGCTGGTACGTGTTCGAGCCTCAGATTTAAGATATTTTGCCGTCGTTCTATCATCATCTGAATAGTGTGGTCATTATGTAGGTGGTTCTGACACGGTACGTATTCTCCCTGTCACCTAAATTTTTGAATAGAGAACACGCTCTCACCCTCAACGCTCAAAGACAGTCTCCGTCATCAACTCAGTCTTTCTTGTCATGACCCTTTTCCCCGACGTTCAACGCCGAGCCCACGAGGAGATTGACCGTGTCGTGGGCTCAAAGCGTCTTCCTGAGTTTTCCGATCAAGAGAATCTTCCCTACATCACAGCTATCGTCAAAGAAATCTTACGCTGGGCTCCTCCTTTTCCGCTTGGTGAGCATCAAATCTACTCTTTGATACTTTGATCTTCCTCGCTCTAGCGTACGACGTTTGCTCACATACTCAACTGCTGTGGCAATTATGCAGGTATACCACATTCTTCTACTACATCAGACATCTATAACGGGTGCTACATTCCGAAGGGCGCCATGTTGCTCTCGAACTGTTGGTAGGTTGTCTTTTTCGCCTTAGATTTTCTGAGATCATCTTGTCTAGATAACTAACTTACTTACTGTCTTCCAAGGGCTATCCTTCGTGATCCAGAGGCATATACTGACCCAGAGAACTTCAATCCATCACGATTTCTGACCCCTGATGGCACTGGGATTAATCCTACCGTCCGTGACCCCGAGGCCGTATTTGGGTTTGGTCGACGACTCTGTCCTGTGAGTCGATCAGTAATTCGTCTTCCATTCTCTATCACTAATTCAGATGCCTTCCATTGGGATTTTCTATGCCCGTGTCTGCTATGATGTTTCGTTGATTGGCGCTATGTCGTATTCAAGGGCCGCTTCCTCGCATCCGAGTCCCTGTGGATAACGACCGCTTGCGTGTTGGCCACGTTCGACATCAAGAGGAAGGTAGGAGACGATGGAAAATTGATTCCAATGCCAGACAAGCTCTACACTTTGGGAATAGTCTCGTGAGCCACTCTCAGACCCTAAGCAACAGGAGCATGACTACTGATCGTCGATGTTCCACCTACGTTGGTACTACGCAGGCATCCTACGCCATTTTCCTGCTCTATCACCCCGCGGTCGGAGGCTAGTGTGAAGCTCCTTTGAGCGGTCTATGTAGTCCATGACAGTCGATGTTCAAATGCGTCGATAATGGAGAGACGGAAATAGATGAATGGAATACATCGCTGTTCAACTGACGCCACTCAAATAGCAAACAGCCGTTTTTCTGCTCTTGTCATGACCAACCCGTCGTTCGCAGCAGTGGCCGGCTATCTTCAGACGCTGTAAATCCAAATATATAACAACATGCTCATGCGCTAGACACCACACATACATAGCCCAAATCATACGGGGTCACCAATATCGTCTGCAATACATCCGAGGACTCGTAAGGCGCTCTACATCAAGCTGGGCTCAGACTATATAAGAATGTATACTCAAAGAGAGAGCGCAGAAGATGTACGGAGTGACTAACGCAAGGAGCAACGGTCGACGCCACCCGTCCACCACCCGATCGCTCAATCCCCTAGTCACTAAATACAAATGAGCTTTGCATTGGCATCTGATCTCGGGGTGATAGTGCATGGGAATGGATTGGGTTGCCTGTCCAAGAAACACGACGTGAGTGGATGGGAAATAGATTGTCTGTGAGTTGAAGCAGAAAAAACCGATAACTTGATGAAAATGGAAGCTCACTGCATAATCCCCGAAGCGAACAACTCCTCTGGCATCGAAAGGAATCTTCCATCGTCACCTTTCGTCCTTTCAATATTGAACATAGCTAGGATGCAGGCCATCGTGATCCACATGGACTCAAGGGCCATGAACCTACCCTATAATGTCAGACACGGAACGTAAATACGGAGTTTTAGAGGACTTTCAGTTCAGTCTTCACAATTTGCGGATATAATAGAGGGCAGTGGCTTACGGGACACAAATGACGTCCAAAGCCAAACGTGACTTCGGGGTCCGGAACTGCGGGATCAAGCACGCCGTCAGAGGTAAGGAATCTTGATGGTCTGAACTCTTCAGGATCAGGATAAGTGGCTGGATCATGGAGCATGGCCCTGAATGATTGAGATACAAAACCAAAGCTTAGTGACCTCCACACTATGCAACCATATAAACACCACAGACCAAGAGTTGCCGAAAACGATAGCGCCTTTGGGAATATAATATCCTTTGTAGCTGTCTTCCTTAGCGGACGCATGGGGAACAGCTGTAAAATTGTAAAGTGCAATCATATTCGTCGAAGTTGAGTATGAGCGAGAGTACCAGAGACAATGAATCACTCGCCTAACGGGGTCGGAGCGGCCCAGCGTAGGACTTCCTTCATGACAGCCGTGATATAAGGAAGATTATCCTGGTCAGCGAACTCAGCCATGCGCTCTGATCCCACGACGCGGTCGATCTCTGCTTGTGCATGTTTTTGAACCTCGGGGAATAGGGTCATTGCAAGGAAGAGGGAGTGAAGAGCGGAAACAGTCTGATGCATATCTACCGTCAAGAACACCATAAATCAAAGAGAACGATTAAGACAAACTGTGTCAGCGCCGGCTATAAGTATGATATCGGTAACTCAGCAGAGCGTAGAGTAGATTGGTGCAATGTGGGAACACGTACCAGCGTACACAGTACCAGCAATACTCTTGATAGTGTACTCTCGTTCGGAATGGTCGCTTATCTCCTCCTCGAGCCTTGAAACTAGGTCCGTTACCACACAAGGCTTCGCGAGACCTCTCTCCTATATGATAAACACTCTCGATAAATTATTGGTACTTAGTGAGATGTCGGTTAAAACGACTGACAAGTTGATTCTTAACCCATGCATATGGCACATCGGCCATCTGCAAGGTCTGTTTCTTCAATATGTCTACTTTCTTCTTCCACCCCATCCCGGGTAGCCAGCTGGGCACATGTTGAACTATGGCGTAGAAATGGGTCAAAGCGAGAAATTATGAGCACGGAATCGGAAGTGATGAAGACTGGCACATACCCCAAGGGAGTATATCAATGATACTCGTATTGGTGGATTTTTCGAGTCCTCTGAGGGCCGTTTCTGCGATTTCGATGAAATGGTCATCCTCCGGCTTGGCCTGAATGCCATATGTAATATCGACAATCATAGATGCTGTCATACTTGGAAGAGCACGTCAGAGGGTATCTCAAGCTCGGCATAAACCTGGACAACTGACTAGTGAATATGATGAACGTAGCGCTCAGGAGAATCTAGTAGCCTGGTCAACAGTGAACGAATCATGGCCATCTCATGCTCCCGAAACTGCTGAACGTTTGCTTTGCGGAAGAACATGTCGAATCCGCGGCGAGACATCTTCCATTGGTGGGCATCGTTGATCAATGCGAAGTTGAACGCGAACCCACAGCTGGACAGGTGATATCAACATTTTGGGTTAGTTTGCCGAGTGAGAGACCTGACGGATAAAGTTGGGATAAGGACAACTTACGCTTCGTTCATCATCGGCATACGGGGGCTTTAAACATAAGAACTGAGCAATGAAACTCAAAATGAGTTTGATCAAGCTACACACCGATCCGAATACACCGCACCTCGTTTCTCGAACAGGTCAATGGCAGTCTCGCGGTCATTCACCACAATTATCGTAGTACCCATCGCGTTCAACCGGATGATGGGAGAGTCTAATAGCAAGGGTGGTCAGCCGGTACGGCCACACATCACGTAGAATAACCTACCCATCTTACGCGACCAGTCCCTGTACGCCACCCATGGCTTCTTTTCCGGTATGTCGAGTATGTTCCCTATGATCGGGAGGCCCTTGGGTCCAGGAGGATAGGGGTCTCTGTTTCGTTGCTTGAGATAAACAGCAAAGAGAACGGTCGCCGCTACGACGAAGACGCCAACATCCGCGCGGGTGAACAAACTCGGCGATGAAAGAGGTCGAAGGGACATGTCAAGCATATGATGCTGATCTTTTGCTGACCGGGAGATGGAGAAGAAGACGCCGAGGACGACAGTAAATGAACAGCCTGGCCCGGCTGGCTCTTATAAGTATAAGTAACCATAAAGCATACCCAATCAGAAATAAAAGACTGGATGTATCGGTATATCCCCCGTGGGGTTTGGTCCGAAATGGCACTTCGTGTGAGTGACATATCGCAGCAGACCTAAGGGTGGCACTAATCGTCAGCACCCAATGTGCAGCGGTGATGGCTGATACATAACGAGTGGAGAAAAATATATGGTGTCTCTCGTACGGAAGCCTCTGTCTGCATTAGAGTAACAAGAGCCAATCGAAGATGTGCGTTCATCGGACCAATCACCGATAGCCATAAAGATCACTCGAGACAAGCTTGAATTACCCGTCCCGGTGTACATAGCTTGTAACAGGCTGCGCGTCCTGGACCGGACATCTGTACTTCTCCAACGAAGGATCAGACATCGGTGAGAGAGATGAATATTTGCCATTAAAAGACTTCATATGGCTTTGTCTGATTCACGTACAACCAAAGCCCACGCTGGTGCATGAATGTATCGTGAGTCAGAAAAACATGAGCTGATAACTCGGCGCAGCGAGCGCAGACGTTCAATCTGATCAAAAAAGAGTGACCAAACAGTTTGATTCCACGAGTAGAGAAGTTCGTGGGATGCCTCGTCTCGGGATTCAATGAGCACGGACAAAGAGATGTCCGTATTGCGGCCGAATGGACGACGTAGCCAAACAGTGACGTTGGTAAAGTTCTGATATGGTCTGCGGACATTGAAGGAATCAGGAATCATTCAGGATTGAACAAACCCTTTCAGGAGATCACATCCGCTTACCGGCGGTTCCCGGATGCGTCTGAGAGATCACAACCTTCTCGTCTTGTTCTCGTCTCTCCCTTAGCTCGACTGTGTATTTTGCTTTACTTTTTCACCAAGGCTCGAGCGAACGCCACGACTCCATCAATGACCGGCTTTTTTCAGCCCTTTATGGCCGAACACTGTCGGAGCGACAGTAAGTTACCAAGTTCCAACATGTATTACTAGCTTGACTCGGTTGTACTTGTTCTTTCAGAAGTGGTAGTCCCATATTGGTTGGAGTGATGAATGATGATCTTCCCCTAACTATCACATTCATGGTGCTTCTAATCATCGTCAGATCCTCCGTAGGCAATTCTATCGAATTGACCTGATAGGTTGACTGATTGACTGAGGGCTGTAGAGCTCATTTGAACCATCGCTATATGCTCGACTTTGTTCCAAGTCCACCATGATTTTTTGGGAATCATGCACTATGATGGACAGACAAACAAGTCACATTCGACTTATTCACGGCTGCGCTTCTCCAGGGGTGCTGATGCTGGCATCGCTTCATGACACAAGATCGCGTTCGCAGCACTTTACCCTCCGGCGGGTACTACGTTGGTCCCACACAATGTCAAGTGAGAACTACCGCACCACACCGCATGATTCAAGTATTGAATGTATACAATGGCTTCTGATACGACGTACGTACAAATCCTCTCATGCGACATCCACTTATAGTGCTAGATGACTTGTCTCGATAAGCTGGACTCAGAGCCTTTTCACACCTCGTTTCGGGTCGTCACAGTCACCCATCCTTCGCCGAGAAGAAATGTTCGATATATTCCTTTCACTTCTCCTTTCTCTTTCTAGAGTCACTGCCATGGATGCTGGCATCTGTGCAGGCGGCGCGATGGTTCTCCTCGCGTTGTATTATAGGCAACGAAAGACGTACACGTATCCTCCTGGACCGAAGGGACTTCCTGTCATTGGGAACGTCCTCGACATGCCGCGGACAAACCCTTGGATTGCATTTAGGGATTGGTCTCGTAAGATGGGTATGTCACTATCCTAGTACATACGCTCTCAAAAGGGATAAATGAACCTGATCATAGCCCGATGGCTTTCACCTTCAGACTCCCCCGTGATTGGGCTGAATATGATGGGAATGACTATGGTCGTACTCAATGATCTCAATTCTTCCGTTGATTTGCTTGAGAAGCGAGGATCCGTATACTCGAACCGGTGTGTGCTCTGACTCTGCGAGTACTTATCTCTTCTGACGGTGTCTGTTCTAAGTCCCCGATTTCCAATGATGGCAGAAGCGTAAGCTGTTATTCTTTCTTACAACCTACAAGAACTGAATATTGGTGTTCTAGATGTGGGCTCGGTTGGGCCTTCCCCTTGACTAACAACATGGAGGACTGGAAGATTTGCCGTCGCTATTTTGATCCATTCTTTCGCAAAGCCGGAATGATGCGGTATAGGGAGTCTCAACTGTCCATGGCTCGCTCACTCCTCACCAGACTGCTAGATTCCCCTGAGCGGTTTGTGCATCATATCCACTAGTAAGTTCACGACCAAGTCACTTCGTTCCTGCCTTTGTTTGAGTCATGTTCCCAAGCGTGACAGGGTCTATGATTATCGACATCGCATACGGTATACATGCTCAACCAGAAGGTGACGAGTTCATTGGTATTGCGGATAGGGCACTCAGGGGGATTGAAAAATGCACGAATATGAGCATCATCGACATTCTCCCGTGGGGTGCGTATATCAAGTCCTCATCACCATATTTCTCATTAAGCCCAATTCGTCCCTTTCCGTCGTGACGCTGTAGTTCAACATATTCCGAGTTGGATACCCGGGATGTGGTGGAAGATGAAGGTGGACACTTTGAAGAGTCAGGTCCTGCAAATGTCTGATGTTCCGTACGAATGGGTCAAGGAACAACTCGTCAGTATATTCTCGTTCGTCTCTGGATTCTGTCGCAAAGGTCATCGATCAACTTTACGAAACAGAGCAGAGGTTTGGCAAAACCTTGTGTGGCCACGGATCTCATTTCTAGGTTCGATGACGAGATGATCGACACATCTTGCGAGCATCGGGAATATATCATCAAGAGCATTTCTGGGACGGTGTACGCTGGTACGTGTCACAGTCTGGTTGAGTCCTTGTCCGGTGATGTTCCACCTTTCGTCTGAATAGTAACATTACTCTCTAGCTGGATCTGACACGGTCGGTCTTCCCCTTGCCTCAAGAAATTTGGCGTACCTCACCTTCGCTTCGCTGCTCAAAGTCCGTTTCCGCCCTCAATACGCTGTTTCTTGTCATGGCCTTGTTTCCCGACGTTCAACGTCGAGCACATGAGGAGATTGACCGTGTCGTGGGCTCAAACCGTGTGCCTGAACTCTTTGACCAGGATAATCTACCTTACATTACAGCCATCGTCAAAGAAATCCTGCGTTGGGCTCCTCCCTTACCGCTGGGTGCGCACTGAATTCTTCGATTTATCGCTTGCTCTCATCTTGTGCTATGCCTTCTGCTCACGTACTTGGGCTGCGACGACGATGACACAGGGATGCCACATTGCGCTACTTCAGCGGAGATCTACAATGGGTACTACATCCCGAAAGGCGCCACAGTTCTCGCGAACTCCTGGTACGTTGCGTTCACGACTTTGCATCTGATTAAGGGCCATCCCAGTGATGATGTTATCCCTTCCTCCACCCTACTAGGGCCATCCTCCGTGATCCAGCAGCCTATTTCAACCCGGACGACTTCAACCCGTCAAGGTTTCTTACACCTGACGGTACAAAAATTGATCCCAACGTCCGTGACCCCGAGGCCGTGTTTGGCTTTGGCCGACGCCTGTGTCCCGTGAGTCGACAAGCAACTCCTTTTTATCTCTGCCTGCCGACTTTGACTTCTTCCATTGGGACGATCTATATCCATGTTTGCTGTGACCTGTCTCGGTGATGGCATTGTATGAAAATTTCTAGGGCCGCTTCCTTTCGCTCGAGTCATTATGGATAACAACTGCCTGCGTATTAGCCATGTTCAATATCAAGAGGAAGGTGGACGACGATGGAGTATTACTTCCAATGCCAGAGGAGCTATTCACTTTAGGCATCGTCTCGTGAGCCCTTCTTCCATCTACCACTATCCCTGGAAGCACAGCGGCTGAACGGTGGCCCCGTGTTTATTGCTGGTACTACAAAGGCATCCTGCGCCGTTTCCCTGCTCCATTACCCCGAGGTCGGAGGCTAGTGTGAAGCTCATTCGCGCGGTCGGGGTCACCCAAGATGCCTGAGTCGCTGTAGACACGGAGAAATGACATGTCGTAGGCTAGAACTTCGACGTATAAGTATTGAATGGCCACTAAGCTGTCGCGGTAGCGGTACATACAGACGATAGGAGAATGCATCCAGACGTTCAAGCCAAGAATCTGCTGGCTGGCAATAGTTATAGGGCATGTAAACTTACAATGGCTCAAGTGAGCACTGCGCTGGCTACGCCGTACGTCTTCCGCACGAGGACAACCATCATATCAAAATATGTACCATTGGATATAGCGATAGTGTGCATAGATGTGCAGATACTGAGGACAAAGAAACAGTCGAACGAGAAGACAGGACACGACTGAGTGATCAGTGCACTTCACCCAAAGCCTGAATCAAACGCGCGGCATTTTCTGAACGAGGGGTAATGGAGCACTTGAAGGGTGTAGGATGCCTGAAAGCGTGCACGACCGATAGTCAGCAATGTGCCAACAACGAGAAAAGAAAATTTTAACTCACGTCACCAGACCTGAATTGAAGAGTTCTTCGGGTAAGGGAATGACCTTTCCATTGTTTCCTACAGCCCTGCCGATGTTGAACATGGCGAGAATGCAGGCAGTCGAGATCCACATTGAGTCCAACGCCATGAAGCGACCCTAATCACGCCGCAATAACGAGTTCGTAAATATATCCGTCAATTCTCACGGGCGAAAGCCGAAGCTTGAGATGCATAACTGGATGCTATAGACTTACAGGGCAGATACGACGACCGTAACCGAAGGCAACTTCTGGGTCCTGAACGTCGGGATTGATCTTCAGGCCATCAGATGTGAGGAAGCGAGATGGGTTGAATGACTCCGGATCGGGGTATACGACCGGGTCGTGAAGAATGGCCCTACAGTAAAGACAATTGGTCATCTACCAGCGATCACGGACGAGAAGAGATGAGACAGGTGAGCGTACCATGAATTGCCAATGACGAGAGCATTCTTGGGGATAATATACCCCTTATAAACGTCAGTCTGAGTGGCCATGTGTGGCACAGCTACGCGACATAAAAGTTGCGGATGAGGGACAGTGCGAAAAGTCGATGAGAAAATGGTAGATTCATACCGAACGGAACGAACGCAGCCCAGCGCAAGATCTCCTTGATGATAGCCGTGATGTACGGAAGCTTGTCCTCGTCAGCGAACTCAGGCAGACGTTCAGATCCGACAACGCGGTCGATTTCTGCGTGAGCGCGTTTTTGGACTTCCGGGAATAGTGTAAGGACGAGGAAAAGAGTGTTGAACGCAGAGACCGTCTGAGATAGCGCAGAGAATGTCAGAAAATAAATAAATAAAGACGCGCGAGCGACGACAAACAGTATCAGAGCCAGCTAAGGGAGAGAAATACGGTCAGTCCAAGGGTACCGCACATTTACAAGAAAGAGCATGTACCGGAGTAGGCTGTGGCAGCAGTGCTTTTGATCAGGTACTCTCGACGCGCATCGGTGAACTGATTTTCGAACTTCGCGATGAGATCAGTGGTAATGGAGGGCTTCGCCAGTCCTTTTTCCTATGATACGCTGTTGGCATTACTACAAAGGACGGAGATGAAGTTCAATCTTACGAGCTGTGCTTTGACCCACTCGTATGGGGTGTCGCGCATCTTGAAACTCCAGCTCTTCCAGACGTCGACTTTTTTCTTCCATCGCATTCCCGGCAGCCAGCTAGGTACATGTTGAACTAAACCAAATTAAAATGAGCACGAACAAGCATGGTGCGAAGGCAGAATCGAAGACGTACCCCAGGGAAGGATATCGATGATGTTCGGGTCTCCGGATGCCTCCATCCCTTCCTGGCCCTTCTCCGCAATTTCGATGTATTCGTCGTTCTCCGGCTTCACCTTGATGCCATACGCAATATCGAGAATGAGAGACCCAGTCATGCTTCGAGGGACATTCAGAGTCGAAGGAGAATCCGCAAAATAAATGAGTTGAAACTCACTAGCGAAGATGCTGCATGAACCTTTCGGGCGAGTTCAGAAGCTTTCCGAGAAGAACATGGGTCATGGCGACTTCATGTTCCCTGTACTGTCGTGAAGTGATCTGGCGAAAGCGAGTGTCGAACTCCTTACGGCAGACTTTCCACTGCTCGATGTCCTCGCAGAAACCGAAGTTCCACCCGAAACCACAGCTGACATGAGAATTGTGTGAGACAGGCAGCATGTGGATAAAGGGATGATTACGGCACTCACGCTTCGTTGAGCATGGGCATTCGCGGGCTTCAGGGAGTTGCTTTCAGAACCAGCGACAATAAGGATGGAAATGCAAACACACCGGTTCGAGTATATCAGACCACGTCTCTCAAAGAACTCGGTGGTGGTCTCGAGATCATTTAGAATGATCATAGTCGTCCCTAGCATGTTCAAGCGGATGATAGGAGAGTCTACAGGATACATCGTCAGTCCGCGTGAGATTGATGTCCTCAAGACTATGACCGCAAAGGCACACCGAGCTCGCGTGACCACTGGGCGTACTGAATCCATTGACGCTTTGGAGGAACGTCAAGGACATTCCCAATGACAGGGAGTCCTTTAGGCCCGGGGGGATAAGGGAAGCTGTTTTTATTCCGGACGTAGAGGGCAACCAGCGCGAGGGCCGTCCCAGCACAGACAACCACATCAAGACGGCCGACTTCATCTAGCGGCAAAGACGACAAAGATTGAAGGCCGAGCATGGGATTCAAAGAGGGAAAACACAGAGGGTAGTGAGATGCAAACGAAGGTAAGATGACGAGCGCGAAGGATATAAACCCTTAGAGAGAACTCAACAGAGTTCACGGGCACGAGTCGTGCCGACATGAGACCAGTATTTATTTGGCAGCCTCGGGTCGAATGGAGCTGGACAGAGCTGGACCTCTTCTCTCATGCGGCAAGGCTGGTCGTTAAGCGAGATATTCAACCCTATCCGAAGCGTTAATGCTGCAATAACGGCCCCTTGACACGTACGTTACACAACCTTCTCACCTCCACATGTTCCTAGAATCCCATGGTAAGCGAGGGTAAGCGCTGCATCCAATGAACGTGCAGCGGATTCTATGCATCAATTCGAAGAAGCGTCATCTCTTTAAAGGGCTAGACTTCTTCGGTGCTTTGGTCGAGGAATGCGCTGGAACCACAGGTGCTGCGCCACTGCCAGTGAGCAGTGCTTGAATCGTTCCGAAAGCTGTCGAGACAGGCAGAGATGCAGCTGCAGAGGGTGTGGCAAGCTCTGTGTGAATTTTGACGACAAATATAGCTTTCGCATAGGAGAGACTCAGCAATTGTCGGTGAAAAGCCCTTGGAAAATCAGAGAATCGTCTCAGTCTCAGTCTGAGCCTGACCGAGCCACATTTTTACGCAAGGCTTCCGGGATTTCCCGTCGACGGGGCGCCACACAACTGCACACAACTGCCACACATTCTTTCTGCTCTGATCTGTCAACGCTGCCCTGCATCAGCATATCTTTCGCTGTCTCCTTGACACGGACAAGTGCCCAGGTCGTCTCCCGATGTCAATGTACTGAATTGATACTCGAAGTCCCTGTTTCCAAGCCGCTATCTGTCCCCTAACCTCCGAGTCGGCTCAGACGGTGTTTACATCCTGATTATCGACAGGTTGTGTACCGAGTGGTCCTCGGTGAGCTTCAACTTCACTTTTATCAGAGGAAGATGTAAGTATTGACGTTCTTTGGGTTGTCAGGGCGAAGACCACGGACGTTTCATGTCGTCCTGGCACGACGGCGACGTTTTCGCAACATCTCATCTCAGCAAGTTTGTGCTAACGATGTGTCAAGTTATCCTTGATAGTTTCTCATCACCATGGCCTCAGAATTGCACTAATGCAGAAGCGACGACAGAGCGTTCTATTTTGACTTGACTGCCTTGCTCGAGAACTTTTCTTCTCGCACAGGACTCACCATGACGAAAGCTTCAAGCTTTGAGCTGGATGTTGGATTGCACTGTTAGCGGTCCGTTCCTTCGTACATACAAGAATCGTGTTTGGAAGGCTTGAGTGTTCTTGGGCACCCGACGGCATCTCCGGCCTCGAGGCCATGGTGATTCGAAAGAACCAAGGTGACCACCGTCGCGAATTGTCCATAGGTGCTCGAGCATAATTCCTGGCCGCCGATTGAATTTTTTCATCTTTGCCTCCGACTTCTCCGAAAGGCTATTCCATTGCGGGAAGGATGCACCAGAAACTCAATTCGAGTAACTTTTATATTTCTTTGATCTTGTCTCCATGAGGCTTTATCCGACTCCACACAGTGCACGGGGGTATGAACGAACTCCGTTCGTCGTATCGAGATCTGCGATCAGACGCCGTCATTCGCATACTCATGCATATGGGGCAGCACACATAAACATCGGTTGGTCGGACAATATGAGTTGATCATTGTTGGACCACGTTGGTTGGACGTCGCGGCCTTTATTCCCTCCTTTCTACCGCTCTTCACCCCATTTCATCCTACCCAAAACACTTACATCGTAGTGGTCGGCCGGTACAGAATGGGCGAGTACGATACGACCATCGGTGAGCACAGTTTCTCCGTCATAACGAATCTATGCGAGTGTTGACCTAACTGCTGATTCGAACAGGCGTCCTGCTGGTGGGACTGTTCTGTGAGATTTGTTGGATTGCCTTCACTAGCGTCGGCTGAATTATAGTCTCATATAGTCAATATCTTTCTGTACGGCCTCGTCTGCTACCAGTTTCTCTTATATTATATGTCCCGTAAGCCCCGATGCCATTCAGCTATAGCCTCACTCTTCTCACGAACTATTTCGGTCACCAGCCCACAAGGATAGGCTATACATCCGGTCGGTTCTACTCATTCCCTTGTTATTTACCTGCTGATCACCCTACTGCAATAGAGCCTTGGTCGGAGCGCTGTTTGTCGTAGACACCATTCATGCTGGCGTGTATGTTGTCCCCTTTCTATCCTATTTCTTTGCCTCTGATTGAAATTATCCAGGAGCGTCTACTCGGCATGGGAGACCTGGTCCGTATTCGTCCTCTCCTGGTTCAAAATTAACGACTCATATATACCCTTAGTGTGACCAACTTTAACAACCCTGCCATCCTATTCCGTAAGACCTCCTTAGATACTCGGGTGTCGGACGTCGTGAGCTCACCAAAGATCTGCTTCAGGCGTCAGCTGGACGATCACCTTCAGTGAGTCTTCCTTAATGTCTGACCGTCGTTGATGCTCCACTGACCGACCCCACCCTGGCATCTGGCCTCTAGCTGCTTGTGCAAGTACGTTCGAATACATACCTATCACGTTTGGCGCAAGTTCACATTACCCCATCAGCTGCTCTGACCGCTCTACTAAGCCAATCTTTCTTGGGCTGGCGGTTAATCTATTTTGTATGGTGCCTGGTAGACCTCTCGCTAATTATCCTCATCGTTCGCCATAGTGTTTTCCTATTCACCAAGAGCAAGATCCTTGCCGCGATCATATTCGTGTTTTCGTTCACCAGTTTTATCTGTGGCATGATCGCTGGTGTACAATGCGGTATCCTTGGAGAGTGAGTCCATTTTACTATAGGCATTGCACGCCAAGTACTTATCGTTTTTCCATTCGTCACAGGGTGGCCCTGCTTCCTACCATCTCAATCGTCTCCCTGCTATGGCTTGTCTTCCAGACCTCAGCTGATATCATTATCACCGGTACGTCATCTCTCCATGTGACCATGCTCAATTTGTTGACATCTGCTGCCGTTCGTGCAACGTCTTATCGCAGTTTCCCTCTGCTGGTCCCTCTGGCGCTCCCGTACTGGCTTCCGCAAAACCGATTCGCTCATCTTCCGCGTCATGCGCGGTGCTATTCAGACCGGTCTCTTCGTCACCATCTTCGCTCTCGGAGACATGTTTTCGTTCCACTTCAACCCTACGACGAACCTTTACGCTATGTTCGCATTCCCCATTGGGAGAATCTACACCAACGTACGTTATGCGCTACTGTCCTTCGTATTTACCTCCGAACTGTGACACTGATGCATATGCTTGATGTCGACGGGGGTCCATGTTTTCTGTACAGACTTTGCTGGACACTTTACTCTCGCGCAGAGAGATGAAGTCGCGCATGGGCAGCCAACAGGATGTTGAGGTACACTTTCTGATTATCTGCGTTCATTGTCTTCTAATCATTTTCACCCTACTCTACACGGCTGCAGCACCAATCCTTGCAGCAAACCTCCATCCGCCTCAACCACGTCGACGTCAACGTCTCTCGCGAAGTACGCGTCCAGAGGGACTTCGCCTCCCATCACACTATGGACGGCTCTGACAGAGATGTGAAGGGCCTTCAGACAACTAGCGATGAAGGGAACGGTGCCGACCAAAAGGCGATGGCGTTTTGAGGTGCATACTTCGATCACATAGCTTTAGATGGTAGCTATATTCAAAAGACTCTTGCCTCGCACTCTTACGAGAGACGAGGTGTCGATTATTATTCTCTTGGGATAGATATGAATAGGCTACATGCAAGTTGAAAGCTACTGTACTGCACAATCGATCGAATTTATACCAAGTGCGGATTCATTCAGCGCAAGAAAGAGTAGTTCAATGCTCGCAAAGAGAAAAGGTCGTCGAACTAAACCAGAAATTATTGTTGTCCACGAACGCCCTCCGCTCATCCATCAGCTCCTCCCTCATCTTCTTCGCCTCCTCCATCCCAATCGGCCAATCATCTACCAAATTCCCGATCTGCATCCCCACCTCGATAGGCAACTTCCCAAAGCTCTTCGTTGACTGCAGCTCCTCGGTCCACCAGTCCCTCCTCTGAGTGGGTACGTTCTGCGTCGAGATGATCTGGATATGAGGATCGACGAGGAAGAGCGCCAGGATCTTGCGGTGGCCTGGTTTCGTGGGGTCGGCAAGACGGAAGGGCTGGACGCAGTGTTGAAGAATGTTGGGAAAGGTGATGAGGCGGCCTTCTTTCGTGAGGACGTCGCCGAGCTCTTGAACGCTGGATTCTCCGTTCTGGCATCCAAATACGACTTGTAACCATTCATGATCGTCCTGTCCATAGTTATAGTCCATGGTATCCGCGTCAGATTGTTGACGGAAAGAAAGATGGCTGTCGGTGATGTTCTCGCAATCGTAGTAGTAGATTGCAGTTGCACAGATGTGCTCGTTCTAGATCATTCATAGCAGTCAGAACGTTGGATAACGAAAGATCGGGATACGGAGAACTCACAAGCTGACCCTCGACGTGCCAGCTCCCGCCATCGTAGGTCGGCTTCTCAGGCGTAAGCTGAATATTAGCCAACTTCACGATCACCTGTAACCCCTTCTCCGCAAAGTCAGTCTCCAGCACCACACCCGCCTTCTCTTCGAATTCTAGTGCGTCGAATATTACGGGCTCCGGCTTGAGTACGTTAGAACGCCTCCAAGCTCTCAGCCTATCTGAGTAGTCACCATCATCCTCGCCTTCCTCCATCTCCGGCTCCTCTTCGTCTCCGTATGAGGGGCCGTTATACGTTGGTATACGAGCGGGGTTGAGCTCCCCACGTCCGCCATCCGCTTGAAGAGCTGTGAGTGTTCTGTTCCAGAGCGGGACGGTGCGTGTGATGACCTGTTCGACGACGCTGTAGAGACCCTTGTTGTGTTGAGGATGCAGATTATTGATATAGCTCGTGATCCTGAATCGGCCTGAGTTGCTATTTTTCACGACTAGAGGAAAGTGACGAGCTTAGGACTCACTTCGCCACACCGTCAGTCAGTTTCACCTGACACGGAAGCCACTGGTAATTGCGACTCCAAGGAGTGGGATGACGGTCTGAGTAATAGTGACCCCGCCCATATAAGTCATCACGGATGAATTCGCACTCCTCTTTCGAGGGAGCGGGAAGAACGACGCCCTCGCCACACCTACGGATGCAGTCGTCGAGGCCACATGTGCTATCGGGCAAAATCCTCGTCTTTCCGTAGACGAGAGGAAACAGCGATGGGTGAACAAGATCCAGGACCTACTTTTCTGTCAGCAAACGCCACAGCTCGTGTAGGACAGAGAGTTACCTTCTCGTCAGAGCCGGGATGCCAATCCTTGTACTTATCCGGCACATTCTCCAGAGATATCACGGCTGCTTTGAGCTCGTCTTTCAACTTGGGAGAGATAGCAGAGTCCGATTTAACGACGTCGCCTTCGAAAGCAATGACGAATCCATGCTTCTTGAATAGTTCGGTTTTCCAACGCAGCTCGACGATGCAGTAGTCGACCATTAGCTCCGTGATATCGATCTCGGGTGTGGCGAGGGCTTCAGCCTTCCACTTGGCGGTAATATTGTCATCAAAAACCTAGGACACGGTTTGAAGGTGGCGGTTGAACATCGGCTATGGGTATAAACGAACTTCGATAAGTCTTACCTTCTCCTCCCACAGAGGTTTGTCCGTCAATTGGTTCATGAGGCGCATCATCGTGATCTCTCGCAAGGTCAACAGAGTTGTGCTAGTTCGGAAGCATAGTCTAAGACACGAGTGAATGCAATGCAAAGAGATAAAACCTTACGTATCTCCTCCTCGAAGGGCATTCCTAAACCTAAAATAACAGTTGCATGCCATCAGCACACAGTATCATTTCACGACACCAACCTAGCAAAAATGGAAATGTAAGGACACACAACTCACAAAGTGTCTCCGTCTCCTTGTTGAGGATAGTGAACCTCTTGATATTGGTACGTTGGAGGGCCAAGAGAGCGATGAACTTTATGGCTTGGTTGGGGTTCGAAGTTGACTGGTAGGCCGTATCCTGGAAGCCTATAGGGGCCCGGTTTAGGGAGCTCAGGCATATGGATTGGGGCCGGTCTCTCTCTCCTCTTAGGGTTTTCACCGGATAACATCTTGCGGAGGGCCGAGGGCTAAGGCGTTGAAGTTGCGGAAAGTCGAAGGAAGGACGTCAAGCAGGAAGTCAAGCTAACTTGCAGAGGAATGTGTCGACTTGGTGTCAACTAAGATAGTGGTTGTTGGCCAGCGGGGATTCTATAGTGAAGAGGAACGATTGTCTTCCTCGATCTTTGAGTCTGGATTTCGAGACTGAGCGGGGATGTCTGTATCTTGTTCACGAGTGCTGGTATATATAGACCGCAAGGCTCGGATAATGCCAGGTATGATGCCAGGGCGGAGTGGGAGTTTGAGCGGATACATCAACACAACATCAACGCGACTGAAGTCACCACAACGGCGGGACCGCACAGAATGACTTGTGTGAGTGGTCGAAAGTGTAGTGCCTGACTTCGATGACTGTAACGGCGGGCGAGAGGGCGGGTTCAAGGCGGGTATCATCAAAATGACTGGTCGTCGTGCGCCACGACGCCCGACGCCGCGTCGGGATGCGGGCCTCACCGTCTTGTCAGATCGTGCAGTGAAGTAGGTCGATATAAAAACGGTCAAGACAGCTATTATATCTCAACTACCTCTTCCTCTCCTCTCGAACCTTAGGGTGCATTCGGCAACCGAGAGCGGCGGATTCTCGCCCGATTTCCAGCCACAGATTCTCGTGCCTGCGGGTCGGACCGAGCCATCTTCGTACTCCGACGCTGTCACGCCCGACGGTACCGTGATCTTGCACGTCGAGTACCATCCCATGCCGTGTTCGACGCAAAATCTACGACTCGAAGGGCTGAAATTAGCTTCTAATATTCGCAGAAGGACTTGTGAGGGAGACCGTTTCGCATATTTCCCCTATTTTTTGTGGACGAAAAAGTGACTGGTGATGGCGTTACAGTCGTTTGCATATGAAACCCGAGGTGGCGTTTTTCCGCGCGCGCGGAAAGTTGTTTGTCTTAGCCAAATACGTGACGAACACTTGTCACCACGGACATTTCCGAAGTCTTGGAACAATGCCCGTACACACCGTACACACCGTACACACCGTGTACGCATCTCTCGTCCTACTTGCTTCGGACGTGCTGGACCTTCCTTTTACACCTCAGCATCTTCGGAATCTACTATATACATGGTAATTGCAAACATCCTGCACATTCTCAGCGACGACGGAACTGTCAATGAGTTCAGGTTAGACTTGAACAAGTCAAGCCGACCTTGCTTTCCATCTTGAGTACCGATGAACGTTCCTCCGACACAGATTGGGACTCGCACCACATCAGTGCCTCTTTCTCCCACTCCTCCTAGTGGGTAGGTTCTCAGCTCATGTCTCAATGATTGAAGGCGCTCAACTTGACATTGCGAGGAGGCCCTCGTCCATCATCATCCATTTGCACAACTGTTCTGTGTCCCATAGTGTAAAATGTACAGCCCCCATTTTATGATGAAACATTTTCTGCACTTCTTTATCTACCCTTAGACTGACGCAAATGTCAGTGTCGAGGCTTTGGTCCACTCTTTGACTATGTGGCTCATGGTGCCACACCGTGACTCGCCGTGACTGTTTGGATAAGACAAACAACTTTCCGCGCGCACAGAAAAACACCGCCTCGGGTTTCATATGCAAACGACTGTATGCTCGAGACTGCGACTTCACGAAATTGTTGGGAATTTCAAGTTCTGACTCGGAAAGCCGACCGCATGAGCTTGGCGTAGAAACCTCACGGCGTTTCAAGAATGTTCACACAGTCATAGAATGGAGGATATGCTCGTACATTTATCGCGTATGTTGCCGAGGTTGGCACCAGCAGGAGTCCCGACGAATAATCCTCGCATTGTGGGATATTCATCAGGGAAACCCGACCTCGCCATCACTGCAGAGTATGATCAGTACAAAAAACAAAGAGAAGATAGAGTGACCCCACATGTTGTTCCTAAACCCAGAGTAACGTTCCACGTAGCTTTATCTAACTAGAATTCCATCAACGGGTATGTGAATAGGGTTGACTAGGGACACCTACAAGTCCTCTGATAGAGGCAGAATCTTCGGCACCAAGAACGGCATCATTCATGCTTGTAGAGACTTCGCTCCCGGGTATGTTGAGGAGGTCGAACCTTTGATGAAAAAGTGAGATGGATGATCCAGCCGGAGAATCGGGATGAATGGGCCGTACGTATTGCTCAGAGCAGTCGAAACATCAAGCACGAAGACCTCACCGAACTTCGTGGGTAGCTCAGTTGGGATCGAGCTCTGTCCGAAGCGTACTGCAGTCAAGGACTCCTCCTCCTCTGACCGAGGATCAATATAGTCCATCACATCGAGGTCCGCAGACCTAAAGTTTCTAGATAATAGCAGGCGAAGTCAGCCTGTTGAAGCTGTGGATAGAAAGCAGAGGACTCGCGGGTAAAGGACGACCAGAGTCTTCATGGTATATGGATGACGCAGAGGATTGAAACGAGGGTTGTCAGAGGATTGTTGTAAGCAGCTCAAGGGATTTCGGACGGGCTGTGAGTGATGGACAACGTCAAACCGATGTTGTGACAGCTGGCACGATTCCGTTCCGCGGAAACACTCTATGGCGATAATCCATCGGCCTTGTTGCGAGAATCATTATCGTCTATATCTTCTCGGCTGTGCAGAACGTAAGTGCCCGTACTGGTCTATCGTCATACACACCTCATGATCCTCGAAACTCTCCAAAGAGCGCCTTCGACCTTCCGCCACACTGTAGTGGTGGGCGCCGGACATGGTGAAACTGGAAGAAGACGTTCTAAGTGCGATATGGAGCGTTTGAAGCTAGTTGAAACACAGAAATCCTGCAGTGGGGATTTTAACCACCAGAGTTCGATAGGAAAGCTATTAAGATGTATTGCGTGTAAATCCAAGGTAACGGCAAATCGTGCGGCTCTCAGTGCAAATCCGTGGTGGTAATCCGGAGAAAGCCGCGCGGAGTTTGATTTGACTAGACCCACTCACCGTTCGGGCACGTCGTACTCTTACTCTTCGATGGCTCTAGGATGAAGTAGGACCTCCACATACACACCTTGTTACTTAGATTACTCTCAAACGGAGAGATTACAGGTATTCTTCCCAAGGCAGTCTCTTTTGTGTTGACTTTTATTTTTGGGCTCAAATGCATCCTCGTTCGCGAAGGGGTCATAAGTTACCCAGCACTTTACATTCGCTAAAGGACCATTCATCAATACCTATGCATCCTGACACTCACGAATCCTCTATGTGTTTGACTTGGCGATGCAACACCCTGTAACAAGTCTCTCGAGTCGCCTGTGACACGTTCTACGTGGTATTAGTCTCTTTGACCCGGCGGTGCTAGCTTCGCTGTATGGTCATCACTCTGTGGCAAGCTCCCTCTCTTCCTCTCTTGACGCCTTGAAAGCCGCCGCATATGCAGTCCTCCTCTCAGAGCCCATCTTTATAAACTACAGGTTTTGTGCTACTTCTCGCCCTTCTTATCCCTTCATCGCCGTTCTTCGGCCACAGTCCCACATAAATCACTTTGGAATAATGCATTGGCGCTTGTTATCCCTCTTTATAGCTCTGACAGCATCGGTTCAGATGTCCATGCTGTCTGGAGCGTCTGCGAAGGTAATTATCATCTTCATCGCATGAGTATGAGGATATCTGACCATGTCCACTTTACAGTCTATAGTAGAAAAAGACGTTGACCGGTCTGTCGAAGTGTCCTGGCCTTCCCTCTTTAGTCGCGCCAGTACGTCTTAGAATATTTGCTCATCTTAACGACGGTGAAGTCTGACCCTTTGGCAGGCCTGACTGACGGCGGGTCTGGTGATGGGGATTGTGATCCGTGAGTAATATCATCTCACTCGAGTGTGTTAGTCGCTGAAGCTTGTACGCATTCAGTTGCGAGGCTGCCTGTTCCATCAACGAAGTCGGTGGGGGTGCTAAAAAACGATCCTCAGACGGCGAAGACGAGTACCCGGAGTTGAGAACGATCTACGGAAACGCAAGTGCTACCGAACCTTGGCTGGATAATGAGGTCGCTCGCTGGCACGTCATCGAAGGCCGTGCGAACACTCTTGCGTTCGACTGCGACAAGATTCCTAATGTCTGCCAGAACATGTGTTACGGAGTGGTAAGTAGCTCTCGCTCATTAGCTTTCTGAAACTGATATCCTTGCTACTCAATGGTGATAGAACTGTATGTCTTACTCGACTCTCGATTTGATCCTTCATTGTTCTCATGGATGTCAAATCCGTTATTGCTACAGGCAAAGGCCTCCCAAGGACTCTGACCGTCTCTAGAGCGACGGCCAAATGTCAGAATGCGCGAAAGAAGAACTCTTGCGGCTCTTCCAACCCCAACAGATGCAGTACGAGATTGTAAGGTCGCCTCTAAATCTTTCGAACGGGTAGTGTACTTACTGGTCCTCTGATTACAACAGCAACCCCGCCTTTGCTGCTGGTAATTCTTGTGATGAGTATCCATTTGCAAGCACGCTGGAGGGCCAACGAGCCGCACAGGACGCAGCTGCAACTCGTCAGTCACACAAATCTGCTCAATCATGCTCATAGGTCGCTCAAACACATTGGTTTTTTAGGGTGCGTGCCTAAGGGCGAGAACTCATGTAAGCCCATCTTTCGTACATGGTTGGTTCATTGTGATTGGCACCAAGATTGACCCGCACTTTCGCCTTTAGCTCAAGGCGGGAGCATTTCCGGGCTCTACCGTAAACTTCCAGACAACACGCAATTCACTGTTGAGTTTCACGGCGCCGCGGGGTCGACAGGATTCTGTGCGGCCAACCACCATTGTGCGGCCACAGCTGGTACTAGCCAACAGTGAAGGGCACACGTCGTCCTCCCCTCCGCGTTGATCATAAACGCCATCCGAGGATATCTATTTAGTACTAGGTGTTCGACAGTTGTAAGGGTCACTACCAGACCGTCATTGTCATTGTCCCTTTTAACTGGTATTCTTCATCGGTCTCTGCATGCCATGATTTTTACCAACATAACATCGCGAGTGAATCCCGGAGCAATGTCCGAGCATTTTTCCATAGTACCCATCATAATATGGAAAAGAAGCGCTATCGGATAGTCCAGCTGCTTGGAATATCCGATTCTAAGTCCTATGTTGGCCGGCGTCGTCGGTGGAATCGCTCTAGACAAATGACTTGCTGTCGGACGCAATGAGAACCCATACCGTTCACTGCGTTGACATTTGGGTTGATTGACCTCTCTGAACTTGTCATTGAAGAGTCTCGAGTCAACTTGACTGGATTGCAGACTGCTGATAATGACTTGCCCCGGTGCCGGGCACAGCGTAAGCATTCCCAATCCCGTTGAAGAAGATATCTTTGGTATGGAGCAGACCATAAGTGCGTGTATAAGTTATCCAACAAGCAAGGTGGCTGCTGCCGAAGGTAGCGCTCCCCCAGTGTGAACGTCGGTCACAATGCAGCGACATTCGTTGATAAGAACAGAACAGAAAGACATTGCAGAATAGGTGGCAGAAAGAACACCTATCAATTTCCAACAAAAACATTTTTCTCCTAAACCGGGCAAATTTTCCAGTATAAAGGGCCTATGCATTACGCTGAAAGTGCAGCGACGATACCGTCGAAGGCGGGCTTCGTGACCAAGTTCTGTCACAGATGGTACCATGAGCAACCAGGCAAGAACGGTCTGTACAAGAAGAGATATGAACGAAAGGAAACAGTGGCGTACCTCGTCCCAGGGGCACGCAGCGCCAGAGCCAGAGAAGGTTGAAGGCACCCAAGAGTACTTATCCTACACACCCATGCCAACACGTCAGTATCGTTAAAGCACACCAACGCAACAAACCAAAAACGCACCGTATAATCCCAGATCGTAATCCCAACACATCCATCCACATCCATACACGCCGCCACCACATTCTCATAATCCGTCTTCTGCTGCGCCAACAACTCGTCCGTCGCGGGCAACGTCATCCTAATATCCAACTCCGTAATCGCCACCTCGACACCCAAATCCGCGAACGTCTGAATCTGGGTCTTCAAGTCCGTCGGCACACTGCCGACGATGAAATGTGCCTGCATGCCGACGCCGTCGATGGGGACGGAGGCGGATGTCAGGTTGGAGACGAGCGAGGCCATGGCGGTGGCTTTGGCGCCGGCGTATTCGATGTTGTACTCGTTGATGTAGAGTTTGGTGGATGGGTCGGCGGTGCGGGCGGCGGTGAGGACTGTGGAGACGTACGAGGAGCCGAGGGTGTCGAAGAAGACGTCGGAGCGGAAGGTGCCGTCTTCGTTGAAGGGCTCTGGAATAGAGGTTAATATACTGTCGCTGGCGAGGATGTGTGAACTGCACTAACCATTGACAATATCGAACGCGTCTATGAGTCGTGCGTTAACAAAGGTCTACTTAAAGAACAAAAGATAACGTACAGGTCTGGCCCTTGAAGTGGTCGAGCAAGGTCGTGCAATGGGTGGTCATGACATCGGAAAGTTCGTCCGCGCTGAAGCCCCCACCAGAGACCCAACTGGGCAGTTGACTGTACCACACACAATTGTGACCTAAAAAACCAAACACGCTCAGCATTGACTGCCAATACATCGCATCCAATTGCAAAGATATTCTCACCGCGAAGAAGCTGCCCGTTGTCCTCAGCCAGTGTAGCGATCGCATCGGCATTTGTGAACGTGAACACCCCCTGTGTCGCCTCCGTCGCGTCCTAATTCCCGTAAACAACAACCCGCGCTCCATCAGCCAACATTCTCAGCGTCTCAGAAATTCGGAACCGCCTAGGCACTCACCCACTTCCAACTATTCCCCGGCGTAATCTGCCCAAACATACTACTGTCGCTCAATATCGCCACATAATCCGTGTCCGTCAACTCCGGGTTATCCGTCGCGGAGCCAAAGTATTTCTTCCCGGCGGCAACGGCGAGGGAGTTGAGGCTGGCGGTGGAGGTAGAGGAAGCAGCTGCAGCGACGGCGGTGGAAGCGACGGACGATGAGGCGACAGCAGAGGAAGATATAGCGGCAGAAGATGTGGCGGCAGTAGACACTGATTTGACGGAGGAGGCGGAAGATGTGACAACGGCGATGGAAGAAGATACTACTGAAGAAGAAACAACAGCGGCAGTCGTGGCGACCGAAGGAGAACTCTGCGAAAGATCGCCACCACCACAGCCAGCAGGAATCTCCTGCGACTGGACTTCGTTTTGTTGCCTGTGGTTTCGAGGTGTCGGTATGGCATGGGCCGAAAGGGGGCCGAGGGCGAGGAGGGCGGTGGAGAGGAAGGAGAAGGAGAGCATTTTTGGTTGAAATTGGACGGTTGGTTGGATAGATTGAGCTGAAGGCGAGGTTGAGCTAGGAAAGTCGGGATTGGTTGGGAAGATGGGATGAGTAAAGGTGGCAAGGTGACCAGACCGGCGCGAGTGGAAAATTGGAGCTAAAGCAGAGCAGAAAGGTCTGAGGCCTCAATGCAAGGGACCAAATTGACAAGGAGAATATAAAACGAAAGGTGTAGTGCAAACGAAGGTAAGTCGGGACGCTAGGTCTCGGACTGCAGACGGAAAGGCGAATGTTTGGACAGGAAAACATTCGCGCGAGCTGTTCCTGGCCTTTTATATGTTCTTGCGCAGCTCGAGATTCCTGAGATTGACATCGAGACCGAGGGCTGTCGAAAGGAAGGAAGTGACCGCCCTGACCGCCGAGGGATGTGGATGGCAACAAGCGGAAAGAGACCGAGACGTTCCACGTGGTCGATGGGACGGAAGCATCTGAACCGCATAATGAAGACCAGTCAATGAGGGGAGTACACAGTTGTTGGGCGAGATCGGAGAGGCCGTTCGAAAAAAAAGGTCGATTAGTGAAGGAATTCTGTGTGCTAGCTGCCATACAACAGCCATATCTTTCCGTCAACCAGCCAAGGTCAAAGTCTGGCAACATGAAGAAATTGCCAAGGACGGATCGCACAAACGTTGGTGAGGTCCTTTGCGCAGTATCGCAACGGTAATGATGGATGTCATATAGAAACGGTATACGTTGTGTAGATCGCATTTGGCGAAGATTTGATCAGGTTTTGCCGACCGTTTATCATGTTGTGGCCCGAAGGTCTGCTGTGGCGAGGGTGCACTGAGGTCACGATACAATTCCATGACATGATCATCGAGCAACATGAAAGTCCTTCATGGCCACGGAAAGGCCGAGTTGAAAGGCAGGATAACAAGTTTCTCCGGGTCCCACTATTGCAAGCAATGTTAGCTAGCTTTCACTCAAATCAACTCACACCTGAACTCGCCACACGTCTACCGTGACCAGGAAGACAAAGAGATGATGGGACTCACCACACCGGAAGTATAATAAATATCACTTTCCACAGACTTCTTCACGTCCTCAATACTATCAGCCTGGAAGAACATGACGGAGCCCACCATCTTCTTCTGTGTTGCGCCCGGTGTTACAGAGTCGGGACTGAACATAGCACCGCCCAGTTCTATGAGAGATACCATCAATATATATCCGTACTCCCTCGTAACACTTTCCGTCCATGGTTCCACGCAATACAACTACACCCAGCCCTTCATAGAAGACGGAAAGGTAAAGAAACGCTACGTACTGACATATCCCGTATCATGAAACTCCGCGACCCTTTCCAAATGTTTCGAACGCACCGACTGTCTTCGTTCCAGTGTACCAGGCTCTGTCTTGTCTGGCGCGTACACGACCCACGTTTGCTTTGTGGACGACGGCGACGACGGCGAGGATGACATGAATCGTAGATGGGCTGGTAAGAGTGGGCGTCTACATGGTGTTGGTGTTTGAGCCAGGACGCGATGTTGGAGTGCTGTTGAGCGGAGAGGCTGAAAGGAGGTTCGCGAGAGCATGTTTCTGAGATTTGCGTATGTTGAGGCTGGTATATAGGTAGGATGTTCTTGTGTGAGCAACAGGCGGGAGAGGCTCGTGGTGGTTGGGGAAGAGCTTGAGCCTTGAGGTCGAACATTGCACCTTTCAGGTGGCACCAAAAGTGTGGCCCAATTCTCCAGTTCACGAATATACCAGTCAGATCATTAGGAGTTAAGAGCCTGTCCCATATGGATCATGACTTTTCGGCTTCGTAGTAGTACATGAATACACCCTCCATATATGAAGCTTTCCCGGGAGTAAGAACAATTACACTGCTACTTCGCATCCAACGGTAAGATATCCGGGAGCGGTCCCTTGGGTATGACCCTCGCCTTCTGTGCATTCGCGTATCCTCTCTTGATCTACGACCACCGAAAGAAACGAAGATTTAGCCAAGTCCTCCTCAGAAGCAGACCAAACCAACTCACATGCTCAAAATACGTCGTCTTCCTAAACGCGCCCCTCGTCACACTTACATCCTCATCCCAATACAACCTCCTCAACCACCCATGCAACCTCGGATAATCATGCCTCACCATCTTCAAATTACACTGAAACAACGTATAATACCCGACATCGAACCTCGCGATCGTCGGATAGAGCCTTATATCCGCCTCCGTCAAATGCCCACCCACCAAATACTTCCCGTTGCCTTCCTTCTCATTCGCCTCCAAAATCGCCTCCAAACGATCTAACGACGCGAATACGGCCTCACAAGCTTCCTCGTACGCGGCTTGGGTGGTGGCGAACCCGGTTTTGTAGACCCCGTTGTTGACGGTATCGTACACCCATTCGTTCATGTCATCGATCTCCTTCCGCAGCGCTTCGTTCTGCGCGGGATAGTACCCGCCGAGTGGATGTGCGGATTCCCGGCGCTCAGGGGGCAGGAGAGAGTCAAAGGCGGAGTAGAACATGCGGATGATTTCGGAGGATTCGTTGGAGACTATCGTTTCCTGCTTTTTGTCCCAGAGGACGGGGACGGTGAAACGGCCGGCGTAGGAAGGGTCGGCTTTGAGGTAGAGTTGGCGGTGGAAGGTGAAGCCGTAGAGTGGGTCCTTGGGGTCTGTGCCGTGTAGGCCGGTGTAGGCCCTGGGTGGAAAAGGAGGTATATAGTCGTGGTATCAGAATAACAATGAAGGGATACGGAGTGTTGGTTCGGTGGAGATGGGTGGGACGTACCATCCTTGCTCCGTCATTCCAGAGTCCATAGTGACAAGCTGAATGATATCTTCCAGACCTTTCAAAGACCTCACGAGATTGGTACGACTCGCCCAGGGACATCCCGGATTGATATACAGAACCTACGCCAGCATCTTCCGCGTTAGCACCATCACCATCTAGAGTGAACGCTGCATGAGATTAAGTTGGAAAATCAACGCACATATCGGTCCTTCTCTGCAGGAAACTCAGCCCCCGGATCCGCAGACACGAAATTCCGAAACTTCGAAGCTGGCCTGCGAAACTTCCCGTCTTTATCAGCGAATTGGTCGATCTTCCTCCCGTCGTGATGGCTAGCATCCGCGTTGCCTTTCAGATCCGTCGACATGGCGTTCGTTATACAAGGGGTGCTAGTGGAGAGCAGCTATGAAGGATATGACAACAGGGATAGGGACTTGATCCAATGGTGGAGTCGAGGTGAAGAGTGCGAGTCCCTTTTATACCACACTCCTCTTTGAAAGCGGTACGGAAGTTACGCAGTTCGTTGTAGCGCTGTGTCATCAGCTGAGGCTGAAAAAGCAGCGCTCTGTAAGAGGAAGCTTATATGGGAATGATGACGAGGATGGTGTGACTAAAGGGGCTAGGAGAGAGTAAAGGAAATACTTATCATGTTGGAGATTGACGCCATTGTTGTGGGCAATGCACAAACGGGATCGTGTCACGAGGATCAGCCTGGAAGTTCAAGTAGACGATCCGCTTTATGATGTGTGGCGCCGGCGTGCATGGGTGGCGCAAGTATTCCGAAACGACAGGGGTAAACTTCGGAGAGATCTCAAAATCGCAGACCTCCATGACTAGACCAAGCCGAGTGGATTCGGTCACCATTGCACGATACGCTGCACTCAATCGGCGATATTTACAAAACCAAACGTTTCGCATATTGGAAAACTAGAGATGGGCGGCGACTATTTTAGCTGACCTGTCTCCAAATGGCACGACTCACAGTCATGATTGTCCTATAACTGAACTCTAGAGTGTGCATGGAATCCTGTAGTGAGAACACTCATGAAGATCCTCATATCCGTCGCGTCTCATTTATCCAGGTCCAAGAATACACCCATCTCGCACATATGATGAACTCCTCGAGGCAGCAAAGAAAGCCGACTCCTTGAATGCCGCTTTGACGAGTGTATGCAGAGCTTGTATTCATAGAAAGACGCACGATTGTGTAGATCTAGGCCCATGGTGATACATGAATTCGAAAAACCCTTTCTCTCCCCTTCTCTCCTTGAACGTTGTCTCCACAGCTTCGTGCAAGCCTAAAAAACTTGGAGAACAAAAGCATGTAAGAGAGAAGCACAGGATCTGTTGAAGGACAATGAGCCTGCGAGCAAATCGCTGCGTTTGAAGCCCAGAGAAGAACAGGATGAGAAACGTGTTGGCCTTGAGGGTGCCCTGCAGGCGATGTTGTACGGCAATCAGAGCAGAGGAAGTTCTATAGAAACACGCAGCGCAGGAACGTTCGCAAAATAGACATACGAAAGCACAAAAGCAGTAAAAGGCGCAGGCCGTCGCGCACCATGCACCGCGGTCATGATGGTTGTTGGATGGTTGAGAACGAAAATGAGAGGACCCCATCCTGACTCGTCGTGACTCTGTTCAAAGCGGTGTCCGGAGTCCTCTTACGACATAAGGAGGCAGCCGTTTATATCTAAACAGGCTTTGCTCCTGACCTCCATCTCCTCTCCGGACACACGACACATCCCCTTGTCTTTTTTGTAGGACAAAGAGCCATGGCCGCTTGAGCTGCCGAGGTCCACTGGGCCCTCCCCTTCTCAAGTATCACTCGCCACTACCAACCGTGCTCTCTTCTCGCCATCTTCTCGCGACTCGAAGGATGGAATCTACAGCAGAACTACAAGAATCAGAACTTACCGTACTAAAGTCGATATACGGCGATGATTTCATCGAATGTCCGCCTCCAAAGGCATGGAAGGTGTGTGTTTTTCAATTGGTAAAGAGGATTGCGTGCTGAGAGGTGCATGCAGGGAGCCGCCAGGCTTCACGAATTTATCATCAAGGTAGCACATCCACTCGAGGAACATGCATCCAAAGTATACTTTCACCTACACGTCGTGTGCGTTTCCTTTTTATTCCTGTATTTCTGCTCTGCTCATCTGTTGCATAGATTTCCCAAGACTTATCCCACGAACACATACGCCACATTCACGATACAACAACCGATCAAGGGTTTGTCACACGAGCAAGTCTCGAAGTTATCGAACGCTATCCACGCAGAGGCTAAGGTGCGCAAGGGGTCTGAGGCAGTTCACGATGTGAGTTTTCCGTTCTCATTTTCGTCGAAGTCTGCGCTTGGTCTTGCGTACGCCAACAGAGAAGGTGTGGCGACCGCTCTTCACTCTCCGTGCAGGTCGGTAAAATAAGTCTGAGACTTTTAGGAGATCAAAAGTCGAGCTGGTTGATATAAAATCGAAGAGTGCATTGTGCTTTGGTCATGCTGGAGGAACTTTCGTGGTTGGGAGATGATATTATCGTGCTTGGGAGGCGATACCATCGTGGTCGGAGATGACACTATCGTGGCCACAAATCCAGACAGACGGTGTTTCTTAGATATGGTGATCCCATCGCCAGAGTTACTGTGCTTCGGGTGTATCTGTCGCATAAGAGTGTGTTCGCATGAAGTTGATGAACGAGACTTCCGGTTTGTGCGGAAGCGCCACACGCCACACAAATTTCAGGCGCTGGATATTTTCGATATCAGCCGTTGCCTTTCCGGACCTCTTTCTTACCGTTTGACGGCCGATTTCGGCCCCCTTCGAGGTTGTGTTGACTGTCTTTTGCAAAACACCCGGAAGATTCTCGAATCTTCCCCACTGTTTCTGTCCACTTACGATGTTCCTCTGAGTCACCAAATATCCTCATACGTGTCCCAAAGATCATCCGGTGGTCACAAACGCACTTCGTTCCCACCAATTCGCCTTCATTCTGTCTCCTTCTTTTCGTTATGACTCGTCGTCATAGTTCGCGCTTCTCATGACTCGACCTCTGAACCAAAACCAATTACCGTAATTCAACTCATTCTCATCCAACCAGATCGCTTGCCACGCACAAGACTGGATATCCGCGAATGTTACTCCTCCGAAGGAGATCGTAGGCTCACTAGCGACTGAAATGAACAAGCGTGCCGTCGAGGAGGAGAGGGTGCGTACATTTTCTTATTTCCGTATCTATCTCTTCCCTTCCTGCTACTCTGCCCTCTCCTATTCACAACACACCTCAAGTAACGCTGGAGTTGACGGTGGTATTTATGTCCATCAGGCGAAACGTGAACAAGAAGCAGTCGAGGCCGAACACCAACGCGAGCTCGCCCGCATCCAAGCCGAACACTTCAACGAACAGATCCGCCTCGACGTCCAGCGGCAACAAAAAGAGAGAGAACAATGGGCTCGGATACATAACCAGCAGCAGCAAACGAGGGAAAGAGCGGAATCAAATGCGACAGATTCCACGGAGGTTCCGGGAGACGAGGATGGAGGGATAGGAGGAGGAGGAGCAGGAGGAGCGGTGGTCGTTTCAGAGGATGTGTTGACGCAGAGTTTTGATATGGAGGTGGAGATTGCGGGGATTAGGTTTGATACGGTGAAGTTGTTTCATCCGAGGAAAGGTGTGTTTTCGATGTTTCCTTCGGGCTGGCAGAAAGATACGGGTCATAGGTTTGCTGATTGACGGGTAATTTTTAAACCTGGACAGAGTGTTTGGGCATGATGTATTTGGCAGATCCGGTCTGTGAAGATGCCAACGCTACGCTTCCTCTCGAAGTGCACGTCATCACCTTCGACGCGAGTTACTACGCTACAACCCAAGGTACTTCCTTCCTCCTATCCTGCCGTCCCATCTGGTCATCATTGTTCATGTTTACACCTTTGCTACCATGACTGTACTCACATTTATACCTCGCTCCACATAGGAAAGAAGAAACTCAGACAAGCCGAGAACGAGCTCCAGAAGCTGATCAACATCCGCCATGTCAACCTCCTCAGCGTCTACGCCGTCAAGCTCACGCTCCCCTTCTCCGGTCCTCCAAAGCTGGCCATCCTCCTGGAACAGAGGCCGTCGATGACCCTCCACGATGTTTTGGAGGATTGCGATGCCCTACGGGAGGAGCGCGCGACTGTATGTTCTCTCTCCAATACTTTGTCTACTACTTCTAATCCAGTTGCCCTGTCGGTCGGTCTAGGACTACCTCGTGCAAATCCTCTCCGGCCTTCAAGCAATCCACTCTGGGGAACTCGTCCATCGCGGTCTCACCACCCATTTCATAGGACTCGCAAACCGGACGGAAGCCCCAGGTCAGGGACAGTCGAAGGTGGTGAAGGTGGGCAAGGCGGCGTATTATATGCGTTTGTTGGATCTGCATCGATCGAATCCGTTTGGGAACGACATTTCAAGCGTTATCGGATACTTCAATTTACCGCAGGAATGGTGCGTATTCTTTCTCCTTGACGTTCAGCATGATCTGCATGAGCGAGCGTACATTCGGGGCGTTGATGATAACTTGCTAATGGATCATGCGAATGGACTTTCACGGAATTAGGCTCGGGAAGGACGCATTGGATTCTGCCTTGGTCTACACTCGCAGTCGAGACTTGCATTGCGTGGGAATCATTCTGCTGCAGATGCTCCTCGGCCTGGACGTCGTCAACCGGTTTCCTGACGCCCAGAGCGCCATGAAAGCTTGTGCGTATTTACTCTTTCCCACTTTCCGCCCAGATCCTTAGTGGCTCACATGCATCGTGTTACTCTAGCTGTCATGTCGGACTCGTTACAACGCCACGCGAAGAGTATGCTCTCGCCTAAGAAGGCCGTTTCTCCTGCAACCATCCTCGCAGATCTAGATTCCGCATTTCACAGCAAGACGAAGACCGCAGCTATCCCGATATCTAGTACGTGATGAGCATCTCGGTTTACCTTTACTAGGCTGACAGAGCAATGCTGAACTTGCCAGGTCTTACCCCAGGCCCGAAGACACCACAGACTATGAACTATAACAGTTCGCCCGAGATTGATTATTTCAGGCCTGCGGCGGTCATCCAGCCGAAGAAGGATAGTCGGTGGAAAGATGATTGGGAGGAGCTGGAGTTGCTTGGGAGAGGTGCGTTTGGGTCTGTCGTTAAGGCGAAGAATAAGCTGGATGGTGCTATCTATGCCGGTGCGTTTCTTCCTCCTTGCTCTAGCTTCCGCCCAGACTCGCGTACTCTGCCGTCCGATTTGATTGAATGACTTGAACCCGATCGTATATAGTCAAGAAGGTCAAACTCAGATACCCAGAAAGCGACGCGAAGATTTTGCGTGAAGTTCACGCTCTATCAAGGCTCAACCACCGCTCTATCGTCCGGTATTCGACCGCCTGGATTGAGTACCATTCTCCGCTCAACGACGACTCCCTATCCAGCTCTGAATCTGGCTCCGGCCCTCCTTCCATCGGTGCCCCCGACGATGACTCTGACGGTCTCTCTGACGGTGACGGTGATGAATCAGACTCGGAGTCTGGCTCGGAAGGGACGGACGACGGGATGACTTCCGTTCCCAACAGTCACGACGGAAGCTCGCGCAGGCAGAAGTCCACGACGACGCATAAGAAGAGGGTGAAACAGCGTAGGTTCTTCCGGGAGGGCTCGACGGATCCGTATACGGTCGATTATAACGATTTCGATCGGGACAATAATAACAGCGGGACGTCGTTTCCCAGTATCCATTTTACGTCTTCCGGGTCGGGGGAGAGGATGATCCCGAGCGACGAGGAGTTTAGTGATGAGCAGGAGTTGGATGTGTTCGATGAGGCGCCTTGGAAGGGTGGGAGGAACGGGAGCAGGAACGGGGTAGGGGTAGGGTTAGGATCCATGGATGGCGCCGGGATGGATGATTTCGATGTTGGAACGCCGAATGCGGATAGTGTGTTGAAGGACCAGATGGCTCTGCGAGGGCTGAATGCAGGTGCGAGCGCGATCATGAATGGAACGTCGAACGGGAATAGGAACGGCTTGTTGAGACCACCGGGGACGGGACATCTGATGGCGAGGCTGGTTAGTCCGGAAAGGAACGGAGAAGTGTTTGGTAGGCCAGCGACACCTGTGCCTGCAGTTTCGAGGACGCTATATATCCAGATGGTGAGTCTTGGTCGTCTTTGGGTGACGGGTCCCAGAGTTAATATCTTACGCTTTTTAGGAATTTGTCGAGCGTCAGACATTGAAGGAGGTGGGTTTGTCCATTAGCTCAGTGTACGAAAGTTATACTGATCATTGGACCTAGCGCATCGCTGAGGGCTTGACGGAAGATGATGGCTGGCGGCTGTTGCAACAGCTGGTGGACGCCCTCATGCATATGGACAGCATGGGAATCGTAAGACATCCTAGTGTGATTATGCTTTTCAAGATGCTGACTCAATATGTGCTACTCCGCCAGTTACACCGCGATATCAAATTGACCAATATCTTCATAGACAGCAAAGGCGACTGCAAAGGCAAGTTTGTAGTCGACATTGTACCATCTATGCTAGTTCTAAACCAACTTCTACTCCCGCTAGTTGGTGATTTCGGTCTTGCCACCACCAGTGCAGCTGTCGATCCATCCGATGTGTCTCCTCACATCACATCTACCGAGGCCGACATGACGCTAGGTTTGTGTTTTGCTATCGGTTCTGCGTAGTCGAATACTCAGTTTGAGATCATAGAGGTTGGGACACGGTTGTACATCGCGCCTGAGATCTTGTCCCGCAAGAAAGGACCAAGAAATCACACCAAGGCGGACATGTATAGCCTTGGCGTAAGTTTGCTTTGACTGCGATAATGTACCGTGCTGATTACTAGTTTTCTAGATCGTATTCTTCGAGATGAACTACTTCTTTTCCACAGGTGCAGAACGTATCGCTGTTATCGAGAATTTGCGTAAGCCGGAGATCGTGTTCCCACATGACTGGGACACACTTCGAACGCGGCAGAGACAGAGTAAGCCTACCACCATCCTTTCGGCCAAGATGCCTCACCTGATTACGCTTTAAAGTCATCACCTGGCTCCTTCACCACGATCCTGCGGAGAGGCCGTCAGCGCTGGACCTTTCGCAAAGTGGCCTCTTACCTCCAAGGCTCGAGGACGAATATTTCAAGGATGCAATCCAAATGATGGGTAACTATACATTTTTCAACATGATTTACTCAATCGCTGATGATCTGTACAAGCCAAGCACGATTCACCCCATCATCAGGCCGCATTGCAGGCACTTTTCGACGAACCACCCAGAGACATCAGCACCGTGATGTACGACAAAGAGGTCGAATACCCCGAACATGCCACTCTCACCAGCGTCGTGTACGACACTCTGTCTGACATCTTCCGCTTGCATGGTGCTGTCGACATGGAACCACCGCTTCTCATACCAGTCGCTAAGAACGACGAGAAAGCCAACCGGGCTTTGCTCCTGGACCATCATGGAGAAGTAGTATCGCTGCCGGATAACGCGCTCGTCCCATTCGCTCGCTTGGCCGCGCGCACAAATACCCAGAGGATAAAGAGGTTTCACATCGGTGATATCTACCGACCGAAGTAGGTTTTCTGTCTTCCTTTCAACGCAGCGGATGATGCTGACGTGTATTTTTGCTTTCAGCGTTGGTACCGGTCATCCTCGGGTTTCGAAAGCCGCTGTGTTCGACATCATCACGACGGATCTCGCGAACGGCGGAAGTGCGGCCAGTGCAGAGGCCATGATCATTATGCACGAATGTCTCAACTCGTTCCCGAATCTCAGCCAATACTATGACATACATATCTCGCATTCCAAGAGTACGTTTTCCTTTCTTCGACAAAGGCCACAGCTCTCATGTTGGTCTGCGTAGTCATCGATATAGCTCTCAACCGCATCCCCGATGATATTCGTTCCGCCGTCGTCGAGATCCTCACGCAGACGAGGTCTAGTTGGGCTCAGAAGCGGTCTGCTCTATTGAAGAGTGGCTTGATGCGAACGACCGTCGATGAGCTGGAGGTTCTGAATGATGCCGGTACGTATCCCATCCTAATACATCATCTCCCCTGCATTAACAGCATTTTACACACAGACGACGACGTGGACGGCCTCCTATCCAGACTAGAGAAGGTTTCGCCTCATCTACACGCCCTGACTGCGCTTGCTGCAGACGAGATCAAGAAGGCTATCCAATATGCGGTCATCGCTGGCGTTTCACGACGTATCATCTTCCATCCGATGATGATCAGCGACCGTAAATCCCTCTTCAAGGATGGTATCTATTTCGAAGTCGTGCGACGGAACAAGCACGGCGATGTTCTTGCTACCTCTGGAAGGTCCGTTTTCCCCTGCATACCCATTTACCGCGCGTCCTCATCGAAGTCATTTACAGATACGACCACCTTATCTCCAAGTACTCTGCTCCTAAGTTGAAAGGCGATCCTGTATGTGCTGTCGGTCTACAAATCTCTCTGGAGAAGATCCTAGTGGCCCTTGCATCCTTCCAAGCCGTCTCGGTGAAAACATTATTCAAGGAGCAACGATCGTTCGGCTTCTGGAGTCCTCGTCGATGCGACGTCTATGTTGTCTCATATCAACCAGGGTACCTGAACGATAGGCTGGAGGTTGCTGCACTACTGTGGCGTAACAACATCAGCGCCGATGTTATGTATGAGTCCGGTCTTCCTGACCGTGAGCATGAGAACCACTACGATCTCTGCAACAGGGAGGGTATCTTGTACGTATTCCCGTTTCCGACGCTTCCGTCCTTGTGCTGAAGGACTTTCTGTAGGTTCACAGTCTGGCCACGTCCTCGCGGTATGCGTCGAGATCAGCCTGCTTTCCGCGTCAAGAGTATCCTGAAGAGAACCGAGCATGACAGTACGTTCCTTCTCATGGATTTTGCATCGGCCATTCACTCATCTGTCCATGTGACTCTTCAGTTTCACGACAGGAACTGGTCGGGTGGTTGCAACAACAGATATCGGAGCAGAAACGCATCGATGCGACCACGTCGGGTGCACCTGCTGTATCTGAAGCCTATCAAGGTCCCGTCCAGTCCAAGGATACCGGCAATGCTCCCGAGGTTCAACTTGTACTTCCTGTGGACACCAAGAAGCAGCGAAAACAGACGAAGCAGATTTTCTTGGATAGAGGTTAATTTCCTTGTCATCATACCTTTTAACCATAATTCTGACATATCACCTTCAGCTTTCGAGATGGGTGTTCAGATCAAGACTGCCGTGCAGAGTGGATTACCCGTTATCGCTGTGGACGTCTCCGCTTCCGTCTTTGACTCCATGGCCAAGTCCTCCAACTGGGTCACGGACGATGAGGCTTACAAATCTATCGCAGCTAGTTTCTCAACACCACAATCTCCCGGTTACGCGTATCAAGTCCGAGAGTCTGTCGCTCGTAAGCGCGCAGATGGTCATCGTTTTGTGTTATTGTTTGCTGTTCGAGACGAACGTGTCGCGCTTCTCACTCTCTGATGCTTCTACACATTTCTTCCTCCCTGACCTTGGATTATTCTGTCTCTCTCTCTCTGCCTCTATTCTATATATCTTTCGAACACGAACACGTCTACTCTCAACATGGTTATAATCAGTCTCAATATACTCACTCATGTCTCATGCTGTTGATTCCGCTCGCATCGCTGATATGTATTCTACACTATGTATTTCTGCTAACGTCAAACATTCTCGATCTCGATCTCGTCGTTCACCCTAGTCTGGACAGAGACTGTCACTTTAAGTCAACTCTAAGTGCTCACAGTAGGTCCACTGCCGTGTCTTGGTTATCTCCCTCGAGCTAAACTTGTGCATTCCAGGTCATTTTGGACGATTTGGCTCTGTTCTATCCTCTTCTCGGCTGGCGTTGGCTCGTTCTGGGGGCTTATAGTTGAAGTTGGTGACATACTTAACTTGGATTTAGAGCTCCGCCCCTATGCAACGCCGCGGCCAACTTGAACCCGCCAGAAAATCAAATCGGTCCCGGAACTTGAACGTGACGAGCACCGCCAAACAACGTCGGGCGTCGTGGCGCACGATGAACCCAGGAATTTTGCTTCCATGCAGAGTCGCAGACGGCTGACCATCGCCGTGCCCGCCATCACGCATCAAACCAAGAAGTCTCGCTAGCGGAGAGTAGTCACCGGTCAAGTCATTCTGAGTCCTGCTCCTGTCTGCCACAAGTCTTGCAGAGACCAGCACGCGTATATAACTCAGCATCCGTGAGCTCGACATGATCGACATCTCTATTCCCAACGACCCACTACTAGTCTGAGGCAAACCAGAGCTCCTCTTGGACTAACGGTCTCTTCTCGACTTACAGCCACCACGCCCGCCGCCTTCGAGGTCTCGTTTGAGATGAGTTTTGGCGTATTCTCTGCGGACCCTAGGGAGAGAACTCCCCCTCCAGAACCGATCCACAAACTCGAGCTCCCGCAACCTGGTCCATATACGCTTCCGGGGTTTGGCCTGCCGGTCAACTTCGAACCGCAACCGGAACGGACAGTACATCGCTCTCTTGGTCCTCCGACGTTCCAGAGTCAACAGGTTACCTACCCTATGCAAGGAGATGGAGAACCCCTGTGAGTCTTCCTCCCACTGGTACTTCCTTTCACTCCGAGACTATCGCCCGCAGGATGTGACCACAGGCTAACGAGATGGGATTGTCGCTGCAGGTTCAGAAACGCTCTCGGTGGTCCCGATCAAGAAACGTAGGTTCTTCGCCTTCTCGTTGTTCTTAGAATATTTCGTCCTCAGTACTGTGGAACCAGGGCCCCCCTGCTCACCTTGCGAGAAATCACGATGATGCGTCTCATGAATCAGTTGACAGACAAGCCTGGGTGGGAAGAGAAGGTAAGGCTTCATCGAAAAACACTTATATTCACACCCGATGTTCAACCGCCTCCTTCGAAACGTGTTAAAGGTCTTCGACGACGAGATTTCCGACAAGTGGAAAGCCGAAGCACTTGCCACACCAGGAATCGATATAACGGAGTCCATGGTGGACTACTGCATCGAGGAACTCCGCTGGAAGACCGAGCTGTTCGAAGAGCAGGGATACGTCGTCGCTTTCGACGGGGACGTCGTGAAATCGGACTCTGCTATCACGGACGAGCTGAAGGAGGAGCTCAAAGCCGCTGTGGTATCTCTGGAAGACGTTCCGGAGAAGTACAAGGATTGGCATCCTGGCTCTGACGAGAAGGTGACTCCTGACTTCAGTCTATCGAAAGGGTGGTGGTTGCGATTGCTAACGCGGTATCAGGTCTTGGATCTCGTTCATCCGTCCCTATTCCCTCTCGTTTATGGGAAGACCCGGATACTACCCGATAGCATTTGTGGCATCGACGAATGCATCCGTCGATGTGGTGAGGGTGTCGTCCTTCCTGTTCCTTCTGCGAAGGAGTGCGATTTCATCTCAGAAGACGAACATGAAGCGGAACGCCTCAGTGCCTACCCTCATCCTACTCCGTGGAGCCGCAAGTTCCAATGGCTTCCCTGCCAGGTCAAATTGACGGAAGGTGTGGCGAAGTGAGTATATTCCGGCTCGTAGTATATACTCGCTCATATATATATCGCTCATGGACGATATTGACTTGCGCTGACCCAGGATCACGAGCTACATCAACAATCTGCATCCTCAACACCACAAGGATCTCTACGGCATCATCGAAGAGATCATCACCAGCACCATCCCTCTATGGAACCGAACACTCACAGCTCTTCATGCCAACGGCGGTCGCGGAGAGATCAACCCCGCTCGTATCACTTTCGATGGTCCCGACTACGGTGGCGAAGACGAGCCAGCCATGGAAGATGACGAAGAAGACGACGTTTACACTGCGAGACAAGAGGCCTGGAGACGGGAGAACTTGTGCAAGCCGGAGCCGGAGGAGTTTGAGCCTCCGGAAGGTGACGAGGATGAGGCTGTTGACCTTGAGAACGACTTCCCAGAGAAGGATTTGCAGGTGATCGTGAAGTTGGCCAATATCCAGCTTACGCCGGAGAAGCCGACGTATGACGGTGGAAGCTGGCATGTTGAAGGACAGCTTGTGGGTTTCCGACGCTCGTCCGTTGCATCTCAGCAAGCTCCCTGATCATTATTGACATTCTAGAACGAGCACATCTGCGCGACGGCTATCTACTATTACGACTGCGACAACATTACGGACAGTCACCTTTCATTCCGTCAACAGTCCGACTCAGATACCATCGACATGGACTACGAACAAGAGGACCATGCCTGGCTTCCTACTATTTTCGGTTGCCAGAATGATGAACCCAGCGTCCAAGAACTTGGCGGCGTATTGACGAAGGAAGGCCGTCTCATCACCTTTCCCAACGTCCTCCAACACCGCGTCCAACCCTTCCGTCTCGCCGACCCCACGAAGCCTGGACACCGCAAGATTCTAGCGCTCTTCCTCGTCGACCCGCATATCCAGATCATCTCGACACAGAACGTCCCGTGTCAGAGGCGGGACTGGTGGAGCGAGGAGATACGGAAGACGAATATCTTTGAGAAGCTGCCGGCAGAGGTGGGAATGGAGATTGAGAACATGGTGGAAGATTGGCCGATTGGGATGGAGGAGGCGAAGAAGATGAGGGAGGAGTTGATGGATGAAAGGAAGGTTTTTGTGGACAGTAACAACGACTGGTTTAGTTCGACTACCTTCTCTCTGTGCGAGCATTGATATCATCTGTCTTGTGTCAACTATCTTCGAATCTCTATGGTTTTCGGTTGATCAGATGGACGTATTGATTATAGATAATTATGATTCGTCAAAGATTGACGGAAAGATACACGCAAAGCAGATCGATAGCTATGACAAAACTATAAAAAGAGACCTCACAGTGACGGAACGGGTCGAGGACACGAGGTGGATTTCGTGGAAAGATGATCATACAGGAGGTCTGCTACAACCACGTCGTCAGGAGCCGCGCAAGGAAAAGAGGAAATCGGGATTGCGGTTGGTATTGTGAAGATCCACTCACCATGACGATTATTAATAGCCTTCCATCTCAAACCACCACATCGCTGGCACGTCGTCTGGGATGTTCAACTCTTTCCTTATTATGTCGAGAACTTCCCTTTCGTCGTCCTCGTCCATCTCATCGACCCGCTTCGAGTAGTTGTCGTACAGAGAGATCATGTACTCGTATTCGGGAGACGTGGGGAAGCGGATATAGAGTTTGGGAGCACCTGTGACGCGCTCTAGGTGTTTGATCACTGCATTGATGGCGAAGTATCTCTCGTAGCTGATAAATTCTGGGTCGCCCTCCGTCAGCTTGCGAGGATCGACCAGTTTCTTCTCCAGTGCATATTGAACCAACGTGTCCGATGTGACCCCGAAGCCAAAGCTCAGTTTATCAGGGCCATTATAATAGGGGTCGTTGAGCGCCGTGTAGTCGACGGTAAGAGTACGAGGTAGTTGTGTCATAGGTTTCCTAGTGTTGCAAAACAAACGGAAGCCCTGCGATAGAGAAAGGTTAAATACGAAGACGGGTACAAGATACTCTGCCAACGTACCTCAATGGCAGCTTGACTTGGTTCGCGATATTCGACGCCGCCATGGTCGTCTTCGTCCTCGGAATCCGTAAACGAAGGAGAGCACGATCTGCTGGAGTTGATGATGGTTGACATGATGAGGGTCAGGGTGACAGTGCTAGTGTTGGTGCAAGTTCAGTTGTGTGCTCTTTTATTCGACCGAAGCGGTCGGCCCGGACACGGCCCGGGTTATCGATCTTGCACAAACGTGACTTGGACACCATTTTGTCATGAGCTGGTCCGTCATCCAAGGCGTGCTTTTGGGAAGCAACAATGTATAAAGCCATGAAATGACCGTCAGCGCGTTCCGCACCTTTCTCTCTCCCAGCCACTCCAGCTCGAAAGATGACATTGGCGTATCCTCTCCACATCAAGGACCCGAAGCATAAAGCAATCTGGAACGACCCAAAGGCATATCTCTTATGCTCTCATATCATCTTCCCTTCAATATGATCTGATTATGTTGATCTTGTAGGTCACTGTGATACACCGCGCCGCCTTTTTCGAGCAGTTACGATGCGACAAAGTTTATGCCTCCAGGTTCTATTGGTCTGAAGGCTGCTCTTACGCGATTGGGGCCAGGACCTTTGGAGAACTCTGCAGGATAGCGACTGTGGACGATGCCAACGTCCACCTGGTGTGTATTCCCCAAGGACCCTTCTTTAACCGCGATCAGCGTCCCGCGCCTGGGGTGACCGCATCCCTGGAGGATACAATCTCGAAGGCGGAGAAATCCAAACGGATCCCAGATTTCCAAGTTCTTCTCACCGAGATAATGGGCGAGGAGCACGTAGACTCCCTACTTGCTTGCTGGGCCGAGATAAAACCCTTGGGGGTCCCGGGAAGTCCGACACCTGAACGGATTCTAAGAGTGATGGAGGCGGCAATTCCGCAGGTCAACGACCAGGCCGCGCACGCGTTCAAAACGATCCCGAAGGGTGAAGTCTTTTACGCCTTCATTATCGTCGTCACTACTTTCACTCTTCTCCGGTATACTCGCCCTACTCCCCCTACGGCATCGGCCAGTCAGTCGAAGTCAGGATCGAACAACCAGCCGGACACCTTGGTCATGCCAGGTCCTCCAGAGGTCGTTTACTGGGGCGAGCAGATGACGGATGATAAGATGTCCGCTTTCACCCGTGAGTTTCGTGACGCATTGCACCAGGTCCTTTTTCCCCTCGGGGTCGAGTTGCAGCCCTCTTGGTTCCAAAAGGAGGAGCGAGCTTTTGGTGTACGCCACCAACAGAAGTTGCGGAGAAGATGCGTGAGTGCTTCTTCTAATGTTTCCTGTGTTTCAGCTCTGTTGACGACGGAGTCCTTTCATATACAACAGCAATATGGTCAGACTGTCGTCAACTACGCCTGTGTGCCAGTAGAGGAACGACAACATGACGAAGTAACAGGCGAATTTGTGAAAGTTGATGAGACGGAGACTCCGCCTACCTCTAAGTCCGACCCCACCTACGCCGGTAATGTTGGCAAGTCCGACTGGAATCACTCTCCGCTCAAGTCCAGGAGTCGTACTACTATGCTGGCGAAAAAAGATAAGGTGGCGAAGAATACCAAGGAAGGTGAAGGCTCTGGTCAACCGAAGTCGAAGTGATGATTCTCGTATGATTTCCTTCCTTGTTCATAGCGAGTATGGTTCTCACTGCTTTCCCACTTTCCAGGTCGTTACGTTTTGAATGGTTCCATTATTTGATGCCAGTTCTATCGCCCCGTTTTTTTCACACGCTTCGTACGCTTTTCTTCGCAATATGTTCTGTCATGATGCTTTCTATATCGTTACAAAACCTGTACATTTCTCTGAACGACCTCCTATACGAACCAAACTGAGACGAGGGAAGAGCTGATGAAGGAAAGGAGAATTTTCGAGGATAGTAACGATGTTTAGTTCTCGACAGTGCTCTCTACTTACAAGCATTGATACCAATGATATACATATTATGCCAACGATGTCCAAATCTCTAGTATTCCCAAGCAGTCGGAGCAAAACGATGTTGCGACAAGACCATGAAGACGACGGGGATGGGCGCCACAATTCGGGACTTGTCACTCAGCGGTCTCGAGACAGGTCGGGTAATGAGCTGAAGGAAGATAACATTAATATAAAGTGTTCGGCCGTGGTGATCATGACCAAAAAAAAACATGAGATAAAGGTGGTCCAAGTCCTGTCGCAAAACTTGCATTTGGCTGGTCAGCCATAGCGAAGCCTGATAGCGGTCATAATGCCTGAACAGGGAGCGTGCATGACCGGACCAGCCCACATCGGGCCTGAGCAGGGCTGAGCAAGGCTGGTGCGGGCTGGTCATCTTGAAGTCGTCTGCTGAACAGAGCTGAGCAGGACTGGCAAGGACTGGTCATTTTGGAGCCATCGGCTGAGCAGGGCTGATCCTGGCTAATAATGTCTGTACATAGCTCCGATGCCGTTGGCCAGTGCTGAAGAGGCCTGACCATGTCTGATCGCTGAAATAGTATACTGGACTACAGGGACCTTGCTAGGCCGCCTCGACCTCAAGAGAGGGAAGATGAGGGGTGAAAGATCTGGCGGAGCATTGTGGGCATGCATTTCGCGCCACGAAAGAACACGATATATTTAGAGCATTTCCAGTACAGACCACTCCGCGATGACGCAGTGGTCTGTTTCGCGACTCCAACGCAGGGCGTGAGCAGCATAACACAAGTCGGGTGTTCGAATCCCTCGCTGGCCTGATACTTGTGGTCTATAAGAGACTTCTAGCGAGTACAATTCGTAAGGAAAGTAAGGAATAAAGGTAAGAGCACTACATGAGTAAGAAAAGGATACTACAGAGGGGTAAAAGGAGAGGTACAAAAAGATGAAAAACCCTTTTTCTATTATTCCTATATATCGTCGTCAGGACTGCTCAGCCCGCAACACGCCGTATAACGCCTGTGCAGGTCCATCAGGCTGATCAGGCCTGATTGGCCTGACCAGCCCGCTCATCCCCTTTCTAAAGCTCGGGAACCCTGATCAGGCTCTGTTTCCCTGGCGGGGATGTTCAGGCATGGTTTGGCAACATCATGCAAGACCAGCCAGATGCAAGTTTTGCGACACCCCTCGTGAAATTGGCTAACATTCAGCTTACGCCCGAGAAGCCGACCTACGACGGTGGAAGCTGGCACGTCGAAGGGCAGCTCGTGAGTCTTCGAGCACTCGTCTGTTCTATCGCAGCAAGCATTGTGACCATTAGTGAACATCGCAGAACGAGCATATCTGCGCGACGGCCATCTACTATTACGACTGCGATAACATCACGGACAGTCATCTTTCATTCCGTCAACAGTCCGACTCAGACACCATCGACATGAACTACGAACAAGAGGACCATGCCTGGCTTCCTGTCATTTTCGGTTGCCAGAATGATGAACCCAGCGTCCAAGAACTTGGCGGCGTATTGACGAAGGAAGGCCGTCTTACCACCTTCCCCAACGTCCTCCAACACCGCGTCCAACCCTTCCGTCTCGCCGACCCCACGAAGCCTGGACACCGCAAGATTCTAGCGCTCTTCCTCGTCGACCCGCATATCCAGATCATCTCGACACAGAACGTCCCGTGTCAGAGGCGGGACTGGTGGAGCGAGGAGATACGGAAGACGAATATCTTTGAGAAGCTGCCGGCAGAGGTGGGAATGGAGATTGAGAACATGGTGGAAGATTGGCCGATTGGGATGGAGGAGGCGAAGAAGATGAGGGAGGAGTTGATGGATGAAAGGAAGGTTTTTGTGGATAGTAACAACGACTGGTTTAGTTCGACTACCTTCTTTCTGTGCGAGCATTAATGTCATCTATCTTGTGTCAACTATCTTCGAATCTCTATTATTTTCGGTTGATCAGATGGACGTATTGATTGTGGATAATTATGATTCGTCAAAGATTGACGGGAAGACACACGTAAAGCAGATCGATAGCTATGACAAAACTATAAAAAGAGACCTCACAGTCACGGAACGGGTCGAGGACACGAGGTGGAAAAATATTCACAAGGGGTATCCGTTCGTGGCAAGATGATCACAGAGGAGGTCTGCTACAACCGTGTCGTCAGGAGCCGCGCAAGGAAAAGAGGAAATCGGGATTGCGGTTGGTATTGTGAAGATCCACTCACCATGACGATTATTAATAGCCTTCCATCTCAAACCACCACATCGCTGGCACGTCGTCTGGGATGTTCAACTCTTTTCTCAATATCTCGAGAACTTCCTTCTCATCCTGCTCGTCCATCTCATCAACCCTCTTCGAGTAGTTGTCGTACAGAGAGATCATGTACTCGTAATCGGGAGACGTGGGGAAGCGGATATAGAGCCTGGGAGCCCCGGTGATGCACTCTAGGTGTTTGACCACTGCATTGATAGCTCGGAAGCGCTCCCAGCCGATAAATTTTGGGTCACCCTTCGTCAGCTTTCGAGGATCGACCAGTCTCCTCTCCAGTGCATACTGGATCAAGGTGTCCGATGTGACCCCGAAGCCAAAGCTCAGTTTATCTGGGCCATTATAATAAGGATCGTTGACCAATTCGTAATCGACAGTGAGGGCACGGGAAAGTTGTGTCATAGGTTTCCTTGTGTTGCAAAACAAACGGAATCCCTGAGGTAGAGAAAGGTGAAAACCGAAGACGGGTACAAGACACTCCGCTAACGCACCTCAAGAGCAGCTTCACTTGGTTCGCGATATTGGACGACGCCACTGTCATCGTCGTCTTCGGAGTCCGAAGGCGAAGGAGAGCGCGATATGTTGGAGCTGGGGATGATTGACATGATGAGGTTGAGAGAATGAACGAGAGTTGACAGTGTTTTGTACAGACCCGTGTTTACTTCTGTTCAACCAAACCGGGAAGCAGGCGGCCCGGATCCAGCCAAGTACGCAGGGAAAGGGAAAGTTGACCGTGTCTTATACAAAGCCGTGTGATATCTTGTACCAATCACAGCTGAATCTCTACTATATATTCAGTCGATCGGATATCCGGATGAGCTGTATATAAAAGCTTGACGTCGAGCAGGGCTCGTGTTGTGAGATGTCATAGCTAACGACGCAGTACACAGCGAAGATGAATTATCGGAAACGACTCGGAGCTGGCGAGAGAATACAGGATATGACGGAAAGGCACAGACAAAGCAGATCGATAGCTATGATAAAACTATAATACGAGGGTGGCACCACATATAGGGACTTCACGGCCTCGAAATGCGTCAAGGGCATGGGCTGGGAAGGGATTGACAAGAAGTGTTCGGTCTCGGTGGATACGGTCACTCGAGCAAAAGATCGTAGAGGCCTTCTGTAACCGTACCACATGAGCCGCAAACGGAGAAGGAAAGTAGCTTGGAGTTGGGATTGTGGTTGAGAATACTTATCCACTCACCATGACGATCAACAACCTCAGCCCTCCATTTCGAACCACCACATCGCCGGCACGTCGTCTGAGATGTTCAACTCTTTCCTTAGTATGTCGAGAACTTCCCTTTCGTCGTCCTCATCCATCTCATCGACCCGCTTCGAGTAGTTGTCGTACAGAGAGACCATATATTCGTAATCGGGAGACGTGGGGAAGCGGATATAGAGCCTGGGAGCCCCAGTGACATGCTCTAGGTGTTCGACCACTCTATCGATGGCGAGGCAGCGCTCATAGCCGATAAATTCTGGATCGCCCTCCGTCAGCTTGCGAGGATCGACCAGTTTCTTCTCCAGTGCATACTGAATCAAGGTGTCCGATGTGACCCCGAAGCCAAAGCTCAATTTATCTGGGCCATTATACCAGGGATCGTTGACCAATTCGTAATCAACGGTGAGAGCACGACATAGTTGTGCCATAGGTTTCCTTGTGTTGCAAAACAAACGGAATCCCTGCGATAGAAAAGGGTGAAAATCGAAGACGGGTACAAGACTCCACTGCCAACGCACCTCAATGGCAGCTTGATTTGGTTTCCTACATTCGATGACGCCATTTCCATCACCGTCTTCGGAATCCGAAAGCGAAGGAGAGCGCGATCTGTTGGAGCCAGGGATGGTTGACATGACGAGGTCGAGAGAATGAGCGAGAGTTGACCGTGTCTTATACGGAGCCGTGTGAACTTCTGTTCAACTAAACCGGATTGAAGCGCTGCGCGCGGCCCGGATCCAGCGCGGCTTGATCTCACTGCGCTCTCTTCAAGGAAACAAAAAATATTTTTTGCATATCATAGCGCCGCATGATACAGTTTCACTCACTTCTCGTTCTTCCTCGCGCATCTCCTCGTTCTCCAGGAGAACCAAGGAAGGAAGGAAGGAAGGAAGGAAGTATACGTATATTCATGATACAAAATGGAGCCATGTTCGTCAATTCAACGCGAAGTTGACTCGAAGTGATGACTTTTTGTGTAGCTTTGACAAATCTGACCATAAGTATCTGAAGGCCAGATACTTCCTACAAGCTCAATCACACACATGGGTTGGTTTCCTCGGGTATATTGCCAGCTATCCGCACATAACAGAGCACAATAAGCAAATTATACGACTAAGAAATAGAAACGAGAGGGCGAGCTGTGGATAAGTGAACGGGCCCATGCCTGAAGAGGTCCAAAGATATACACGTGAAGGTATGGAAAAGATTGTAAGATGGAACAAGTCCGTCTGGCGGGAATACGAGAGAAACACGCTGTGTGGTGACAATGGGCGAGGGACGAGCGAATGACTCAGAGCAATCGTGCACGAAAGGTTGACAAAGCAGGTTATAAATAATGTAGAAAATGAGGGTCAGGAAAAGTCTTCAAAAAGAGGAACACGCGAGCGAGTGAACGAAGAAACGGAGCAATGCAATTCCGAGGATGGATGGGTGGATAGACGAGATGAGTAGGGTAGCACAAGAGAGGGAGAATGTAAATGACAGGCATATGAATGAAAGCAAGAAAGGTCTACGAAAACAATCCCAGGGAAGACAACAGAAAAGAAAGAGTGAAGGACGGAATAAGGAACGAGACGAAAAGGCTACAACTTACTCTACATCGCTCGTGGACCCTGGTACGAGTATGTGCTTGCTCTCCAGTCCCCGTTCCCATCGACGTCCTCATTGATAGTCCGTGCTTCATAATCATAGTCCGACTCCGCATCTAAATCACTCGCCGAGCCTTGCTGCCGTGCAGTAGCGTACGAGGCTTCCGTCACATCTGATATCTCTCGTCTCGGGACAGGCATGACGCTCTGCTCGACGTCTGGTGGTCGACCATGTTGGAAGTTCTCTGGCGGCGGTGGTGCGTGATCCGACCGTGTTTCTAGCTGTGACTGCTGATACAAAGGCTGTGGGTACGCTTGGGGCGGTGTCCGTACGCGCATCTCGTACGCATTCGGAATTTGTAGCGTATTCGCACCTGAATTCGATCTTGTAGGCGGTTGTGATGAGTACGAGTGAGGAACGTAAGGTGTCGAAGGGTGGCGATAGACCGGCTGTGGCATCGGGGATGGTACCGGAACGTCCGACACCGAATAGTACGAGAGCGCAGGGGACGGCGACATGAAATTTCGCGATGACGCGTTCATAGGCAGCGAAGGTGTTCGAGGGCCCTCTTCGTCATCTTCCCGGATCGTCTCCGCCTTCGTGATGATGTACTGTGGTTCGGCGTAGAGATCTTCATGAGGATTGGGAATATCGTCATGGTATGGAGTGGGAGGAGCCGGTGGCGTGTCCACGAGGGTCTCAGAACGCGTCGGAGGCGAGAGTGCGAGTTCGCCTGGACTGTGCGTCAAGGCCGGCTCGTATCCGTCCTGGTGAGCGGAGTATTCTGAGGGCGAGCGAGAATGAGGCTTGAGGAACATCGGAGCCCGCTCGATATCTTTGGTCCGTGTGAGATCACGTCGATGCTTGATCCCGAGCCGTTCCTTCAGGTCGCCTTTCACCCACATTTCTCGAACGATGTCGGCGTCCTCGTACATGTACGCTGAAGCTACGAACTTGACGATGATACGAGGGACTAGAAGAGATTCGATGGTTGTGAAAAATACTTCCCACAGCGTATACGGAGGAAGCTTACTGAGAGAGACGGCCACAGAAAGGAGCACTGTGGTCCAAAAGAGCACATTGCCGAAGAGGACGACCACCTCGTCGATAAAATCGATACTCCAGAAGAACGAGTAGATCACGATCCAGATCAGCATCACAAGAGTAGAGCCGAAGACGACTAGCCATGTAATGACGGTCCAACTACGGGACAAACATGTCATGATGAGTACGCTTCAAGGAGAATGCTCGTCGCTGAGAGCTTACTAGTGGGTATTGAGGCCGACGTAGAGGTTGGCTGTAAAAATCGCGGACACAGCGATAGTGGTACCGTAATCAGCTAGGGACTCTATGGACTTTCCGTTCCAGGAGATCGCAGGCCCAAGCGTCCAAACGAAATATGCCACAAAGTAAACGACCCCGGATTGATAAAAACCATCGAGCATATAGAGCCAGAACTTGAGGCGGGTATATTCCAGGCCGCGGATGCCGCGTACGTACAGCTGTGGAAAGGCCAAGGCTGCTTTCGCGTTAAGGTCTTGATCGAAAGCTAGGGGACGAAATGGTTAGTGACGTGTGCATGGAACGTAAGGAGCGAACGTACCTCCAAGCACGATAACGGGAAGTGACGTGAAGACCAAGTTACACAGCAAGACGAAAGTATACTGGTATAGGTACGTCGCATCGAAGCTGTCATCCAATGCCGTTTGAGCACGTTACACCGGTAGGATACGGATGGAAAACGACGGACCTATTCCAAGGCATAAACCAGAACATTGCAAAGGTCCAAATAACGTTCTGAGGAAAGCAAATCTTTTAAGCGACGCCATTTCAAGACGAAACAGGTCAGTGCTCACCTTGTAGAAGAAGTTGCTATGCATGTCCGCAATCCGTCGGTACGACCATCTCCCATGCACGATCAACAACTTCGTCAAAAATCTGAACTGCCCGAACGCATAATCTGCCGACATCGCCGCCTGCGACCCTTCATGGCCAAACAATCCACACCCGATATTTGCCTCTTGAATCATCGCCACATCGTTCGCCCCATCTCCGATCGACAACGTCATCGCGTTCCTTCCCTCCTTCACAAGCTTGACGGTCAGAGCTTTTTGGGCGGGCGAAACACGGCAACAGACGACAGTCTCGCATTGGGTGCCGAGGTTGAGGAAGAGAGGTTTGAGTTCGGTTTCGAGGGCGTAGCGGAGGGTGTCTCCGTCGATGACGACGGCAAAGGAGGCTTTGGCGTTGGGGAGGAAACCGCGCTTGCTGGAATCCCAGGAGGGAGGGCCGAGGACGGAGGCTATCTTGTTGAGGCCTGCTTCGATCTGAGTACGGGCGCCGTCGACAGAGTCGGCCGAGAGGATCATGATATCCATGTCGTTCTTCAGGAGGTTACAACTGAAAGCTGGAGGAAATCGCGAAAAAAGATCAGCAGAGAAAATACAAACGCCACTCGATATAGACAAGTACCAATTTCGATGGCAGTCTGGACCTTGTCACCTACAGATCACCAATTCCGTTAGCCTCACCATACTAACAAAAGGCGACAGCCAAAAAGACCATACCAGTCAGAATCCAAAGCTTGATTCCCGCTCGATGCAGAGTCTCAATCGCATCCGGTACACCCTCCTGCAACTTATCCTCGAGTGCCGTGGCGCCCAAGATTATCAACGAATGCTCAATCAACGCGTTCGCCTTATCGATCTCCTCATCCCTGTCCTTGATAGCCGACGTCGCCGCATCATACGTCCTCGACCACTGCAAATACTCCTCCTCCTCCACATACCGCCACGCAATGCACAGCGTCCTCAACCCCCCATTCGCAAACATCTCCATATCCTTCGACGTCTTCTCCTTCAGCACCGGGTCGTGATCCGCCGCGAGTCGTTCGTAAATCACGCTATCGGCACCTTTGCAGTAGAGGACGATCCGACCCTGCGGGTTCCGCACGAGCACGCTCATCCGTTTCCTGGTACTGTTGAACTCGAGGACCTTGAGCGGAAGATACCGCTCCGCCTGGCCCATAACCTCTATGTCGATCCCGTCCTTCCCCTTGCCCACGAACGGAAACCCAACATCCCTCGCCGCCGCGACCAGCGCGCTCTCATCCGGACTCTCAGCCTTATAATCCAGCAAGAATGGGTTCCGAGCGTCCGGTTTATCCGAAAGGACGGTATGACAGACGGCGAGCGCACGAAAGAACGCCGCGATATGTTGTCGTTGGTCGGATTGCCTGTTGGCCATGTCGTCCGCCAGGTGCGTCGAGATGAGCGTGAGCTTGTCGGGTTGGCCGTACCGGTTCTTGAACGTCCGGCCCATCGTCTGCAACATGTCCTGCTTCATCATCACCATTTTTCGCTCGTGCGTCTCTGGGTCGAGCAAGTCCGACGAGCCTTTTCGTTTTGCGGCGCCGCGCTGGGCTTCGGTCACAGATTCGCCGTACGCAATGCCATTGATGGAGCATTTCTGGAACTCCATGACGTTCTGCGTGAGCGTGCCGGTTTTATCGGAGAAGATGTACTCGATTTGGCCGAGGTCGTCGGAAATGTTCCAGGTCTTGGGGACGCAGGTCGTGTCGAAGGGTTTATAGTACATGTCGAGGTCCTGTGAGATGAAAAATGCCTGGATGGTTTTGACGATTTCGATTGAGATGTAGAGCGAGATGGGGACGATATTCTGGAAGGCGATGAGACATGAACTATATCGGCGAACGTAAATGAGCTAAATAATTCAAACACTGTAGGATACGAAAGGGGGACATACGCGAAGGTGACGATTGCATTGACGACGGGGTAGGCGCTCGGGTCTGAACCAGCCTCGAAGAACTCCGCGCTCGTGCCCGTCCTAGCATCCAAGATTCCGTTCACCACACCACAAACGGCGCACATGATGATGAGAATCACGAAGTTGACGATGACGTTGAAGTTGGTCTCCCTCTCGATCTTCGACCGTTTGGAAGGGGTTGCACCACCGTTGAGCATAATCTTCGTGTCCGCGCCAGTGAACGCGACCAAACCGATGATCCACGCCGTGTTTCGTATAGAGCATCCACGGAGGAGCATTTCGTTGATCGTGGCCGACTCGAGCTTCAACTCTCCAGTCGTGGGATCGGTATACCGTAAAACGCCGTTATAGATGTACAGATTCTGATGTGGCGGTTCCGAATCGAGGATGAATGCCGACCGCTCGACGTCCTCCTCCGACATGATGTGCGACGTCGCCCGTAACGCCTTCCTCGGCTTCAAGTTCGTCTCTCCGTCCAGGTTCTTCGTCTCGAGGTAACACATCCCGTCCGGGTCCGAAGTCGAGAGTACGATGATATCCGCGGGGACCTGCTCGTTGTCCCTCAACAGCACCACATCCCCCACCTCCAACTTTTTCCACAACGTCCGTTCCCACCTCGACACCCCGGTGATCCGTTTCGACCAATTGATGACCCCCGACGAGCCCGACGTTGCCAACGTCTCGGATGCACTCCATCCACCGACTTCAGACGCCGAGTACGGCAACCTGGGTGCAGAAACGACCTGATTCGCGCCAGCGACGAGCGAGATCTCCGACGGCTCTCCTACTCCATTACCGGGCGGGTAGCTGTGCGAATCGACGCTCTGGATGTCCTCCAGTTTCCTACCACCAGCGCCATACCTTCCGTCGAGACTGAAACTACTGCTGCTCGGCCCACCCAGACTGATACGCTCGCCGTCTCCCCGCGAGAGCATGATGCGCATACCCTCGCCCGCCTCGCGTTCGCGGAGTCTGCGCACGCCCTTAGTGACTTTCCCTGGAGGATTGATGCGGAAGAGCTTCTCGAACCAGTTCCTCGGATCCGTCGGGGTGTTGACGTTGCGCCAGTTGCCGAGCTTGGTGGACGCTGAGGTGTTCACCTCTTCGTCAAGTGAAGCTCGGCGGTAGTCCTCGATGCCATCTTTGATGGCGGTGACCGTTATGATGAATAAGAGGGGTAGTACAGCGGTCTGTGGCGAGGCGGAGCCAAAAATAGTGAAGACTGCGCGATTCGAGTGACGAGGTCAACGTGAGGAAGCAAACAGACGTGGAGCCAACGTACCTTGAAGAATGGTGAGGAGAAGGAAATATAGGTTGGCCACTCTGGGGACGGACAAGGATGAGGTGTATTCGTCGCGATGAGTTGAACAGACGAACGTACCTCCTGAATTGCTCGTACAGATTCTTCGGTAGAAACGTGATGATCGTATATTCTGGCCAACGATTAAACCCTGGGGCCGACGTCACAAAATAAGATTAAAAACACGCACTGCTCGTCCGGACTTTATTCCGTACATAACGTGCCAGGGGCTCCCCGTGCTGGTCCACCTCGGTAGCCATCAACGGTGTGTTCACGTAGATATTCCTCCTCACTCCCGGCACCTCCAACGACGGCTTCGTGTCCGGTGGCGGCTTATCGTCCACCGGTGCAGGCCTCTTCTTCTCCGTACTCTTGTTTCGAAAGAATCGGGACTTCTTCTGTCGAAGAGACTTCCTGCGCTCTGCCCTCTGTTCCGACCGTATCGACTCTGCGAGGGTCGACGCGGCAGTGCGCACAGTTCGAAGTCGAAGCTCTGGGTCGACATTATCGTCGTGGTCGTCCGCCTCCAGGACATCAGACGGCTGGGAGCGCTTGAAGAACGACATCTAGCAAGCCTCTCCGAACACGGACAAGTGTGGTCGGGCAGCGCAGGTCTTTTCTAAGTTCGACAAGTTGGATTTTTCGAACAAACAAGCCAGAGCGACCCAGAATAAGTTAAGGAATGAATATGGAGGACGTCGTCGGCGTTGTGGTGGATGATGATAGTGAGCAAGTAGGGAACAGCGCACGGTAGGACGCAGCCTACGGCTGATTTACGGCCCAAACGGCTTGTCAAGCGCGCTTGGCACGAATTCCTGCATGTGCGGGACCCCGAAAACCGCACTTGTTGTGGCGGTGGCCCATGTATCTGTAACATTCTCCGCCGAGAAAAGGCTATGTATTACGCGCTTTGTATGTGCTACTAGCTCAAACGTATCACTACTCCATGGTGTAGCTGATGAACCAGAGCTGGAAAGAAAAGCAGTATTCTGGGTCTCACTCTCGAGCTTGGCCCAAGCCTACCTGCCCGCTGCCCTGTCGTTAGCGCCCAGGGCTCAGCCACTTGGCTTGACAGTTGCAGTGACACTAGAAGATCACTCTCGTGACCAACAAATATTGAATCGCTACTTTGAGGGCGACGAACGCGTTGGCGAGGACCATCCGAGCACGACTTCAGCTCCAAGGGCAGCAGCTTTGAATCCTTCATAATTAAAAAGGGCCGATACCCACCATGTGCCGATGGACCTGAGAGTCCGTAACCGTAACCGAGTCCGTTTCTGAATCTGTCATCAAAGCGGCGCCGCATTGGTAGCAAGGCGGTGCGTCAGCGTCACGGCTTGTGTTCGATCCTCAGGCCCTTGGGGATGTCCTTGCGGTGTCCAATCATACAGCGTACGGTGCGGATGAAATGCTAATCATATTTCGACGGTAATAAGTTATACACGGTGCATTTAGGTCCAACAAACCTCCAATGCTCGAATTACTAAGAAGGATGTGGAATCCGAGTCAGCCATATATCGAGAGGACGCATCCAGTGTCTGAGTGTGTGTACTTGAGCCGTTCCTCGTAAGCAAAAAAGTGTGTCCGGCCCGCACAGTTTCGAGGCGCCGCATGCAACAGCCTGAGATACAGAGACGATGTTCTTCAATTGGGGGAGGGTGACATTGGCCATTATTATTACACTGCCATGTTTCGGCATACGCGCTTGGATGGATGTGATACCCAGAAGATCAAGTCGATTTTGCTCATGCTGTCCAGAAGTGCCAGCGGTAAAATGTCAAGACATCGGCTGGGACACAGAGAAACTGAGATAATAGGAACGAACTAGAGGAGGAACCTGATCAGCGAAGCTATCTGACGGCGTAGACGAGAACACGGTATGTCGGCCTTAGCACGCGTAGAAGGTTCAAAGCCGTCGTAAACAGAGAGTGCAAGGCAATACCAGTCGTTTTTAAATTTGAGGAGCATACTATGTGGTCGTGGACGATCGTGGTGGTGGTGGAAGGAAGGAAGGAAGTGGCGGCGCCAGCCGTGAGAACGGAAACTGAACCTGAGTCCTGACTGTCACTGGGCCACATCAATTTCTACCCCTGTTTATCGATGCTTTCGAACTCCGATGGACAATGCATGTTGACTGCATCCTTTCCCACCAACGTACGTCTACCAGGTCTTATTTGTTTGGAAGAGTATCTTCAATAAGGCGCCCACCTTGGTTTCTCGCTTTTTCAGCATCCTCAAAGCTAGAATTTTTCTAGGGGCCCGTCCGGCTTCACTTACTGCACTGCTTCTAAGTATAATAAACTCGAAGGAAGGCACAGAAGTGAGGTAAGTAGATGCGACTGTTTTCGAGAGTCCTAGGCTCCAAACTTGACCTCGCATGTATTTCCCTCTCTAAGCCTGCGTAATCACTCCGTCCGACACCTCTGAGTCTCGTATCAATCGTCCGAATAGCTCTCGTGGTAAGTAAGCTATTGTTTTCGGCGTGCGTTTGCAGTCGCAAATACTTATTTATCTGCTCCGTACAGCTACTTGTCATCGATCCCTACTACCTCGCAGTTTCTCCCCCAGTGTTGAAGAAGGAAGGCCTCAGGCTGAGAGGTCGTCCCTGAAGTTTAACCCAAGGTCTCGAGCTTTCGTGAGTTAATCTGCTCCAACGCTGTCCTCCGTCGTTAGAGCGTAGTGTCCACCAATCGCCATGGCTGACTCTATCCCGCTCTCTCTTCCAGTAGTACCGTTGAGACCGTCGATATGAATACGTCGATCGCCTTGCCCCCTTCCCCCATCAGAATTCTACCCGCAGAAATATTGGTCATGATCTTCATCCTTGCCGTAAATTCAGCTGTCACACCTTACGACGTACCATCCAGAGTGGATACCAAGAATGCCTACACTGCTCTCGCTTCGCAAGAGCTGGGGAAGATAGTGCCATTGCGCCTGTCCCAAGTATGCCGGCTATGGAGGGATATAACCCATCGCACGTCAAAACTCTGGACGCACATCCACGTCAACCACTTGCGACCAAACTGCGCTCCTCTCCTCATCTCGCATCTCATCTTTTCCGGCAACACTCCCCTCGACATCACGTTCCAATGGTTTCCTTCCATTGCTCCATTAATATCTGCTGAAGAAAAGATTGAATGGTTTGGGGACGAACGTGACGAGGACCGGGATGAGACTCGAGGCCTCAGAGATATTTACTATCGGGAAGTAAAAGAACATAAGCCTGCTTTGCATGAGCAAATGCAGATGCTGTTACATTTTATCGACCGCTGGCATTCATTTCGATTGATCCTCGACGATGCCAGCGTGATGCAAGGCTTCATCAAATACTTTTCCAGCCTTGCCGCACCGAAGCTGGCCGCCGTCGATCTACGGTAAATCGAGCCTCTTGAAGTTTCTGACCTCGGTATAAACGCCGGTCTTCCAAACGACGGTGTTACTCTGTTTGGTGGAATCAAGGATTCACCGAATATCAGATCGCTTCACCTCGACGGCGTCAAATTGGGCCTTCCCCTGCCGTCCCTTCGTCCACTGACCACCCTTGGTCTTCATAACCTCGGTTCAAATAAAATGCCCCGACTCGCCAAGCTGATTAATGCGCTGCACGAGCTCCCCAACTTACGTCGACTATACATAAATTCCTTCGAGCCCATGGACGACGACATGCCTCCAAATCTTCGGGATGTCGAGGGCCTCTCCCTCCCGGCCCTCGAAAAGCTCTCGCTAACCGACGTACCCGACGGCTGGCCCAGTTTCTTCCATGATGCCACATATTTCCCCAATATCAAGAAGCTGACAATCGACACCGACACGCAAGAGTTCAATTACGTGTTGGAATCATTGAACTTGCCATACGATGATAGCGATGAGTCCTCCGAATCCATGCTCTGTTCGCTCGAGGGACTTCATCTGGGTACCTTCGGAGGGGTTTCGCTGTTTGACGACCACTTAGCCGAGCAAGAGGCGGTCTTCTTCAGCAAGCTCAAAAGCGTCCGGATCTTGCTTCTCGACCTTAGAATGGACGAGGACCACATATCGAAAGTCACCAGATACACCTACCAATTGACTGGAGTGCACGACCCTGCCTCCACGACGTGTATGCCCCTCCTGGATACGGTTTTTCTCCGCGGAGTCAGACACAACCGCAAGCAAGAGATCGAGGATCTTGTCAAGGCAAGGAAGGAGATGGGGGTGCCGATACGGAGGCTTCTCATCGACCGGCGTGCCAATGACTGGTATGGGTTGAAGAGAACAGGTCCGGACGTCCCAGTCTACAGTCCTTCTTTCACCACCGAGGACGTCTCCTGGCTCAAAGATAGCGTCACAGAAGTCGCTGTTTTCGAAGAAGTACGAATAAGAAGTTATGAGGGGGTCGACGAGACGTTGGATTTGTTGTTCGAGGCGGATGGCGTGGTGGCGGCAGGCGAAGGACTTGACTTGAAGTTCGTGGACGTTTTCTGTGATATGTTGAAATTGTGATGCGCGTCTGTAGACCAAGCCTTGTTTTGAGGATATTTTGTGGAGCGACTGTTGGATACGCTTGACGAATGATACAGCCAGAATTTAGCCTCATTTCGAGACAATTTCTGATGACGGTAAGGACAGAAAGAGGATGTGCCACAGCTCGGATCGCAAATTCGAGCTCCGACAGAATTTACAACACACCGCATTTCCACGGCAGACATTGAGTTGAACTTCTCCTCATCGTTCACCTCACCGCACGTCAGATCTAGCACAGGGCCAAAGCCTTACTTCAGATATTCTTGGTTTACCTGGTGGAAATTGCTGATTCATCATAAAGTTCCCAATATGTCTCTGCTCAAGGCTCAACGAGCTATAAAATTACTGGGAAGCTCGTGCCTCAAAATGGTGAGGGTCCCTGGCACCAGTGCCATCAGGGTGCCGATGATCATTCATGCTCAGAAGATCGCGTTGGTGCTTTCAGCTAACTCCATCTGAAGCGTTGTCGTACAGGAAATGTTTTGTTAGCGAAGTTCTCTAGTATGCCAGCGACTCGGTGTAGCCCTCGCTCGCAATTCGTACCTTCTGGGTCACCGTTTCACCGTAAGATTCTAGCCTTGTTGTTGAAGGATATGTGCTTATTTCTTCCACGGCTGTGTACAACATAATGTGTCTAAAGTTTTCAACGCTCGGGGATTCACGACCACGCGTCCAACCGCCAACAAGTACGCCCGCCTCGAATCTCTGGAGGCCGGAGCCAGTATCGCCTTGGAAGCTCTGCTCGATTCAGAAGGTTCCAACACAGAACTACCAGCAGCGGGACCAGAAGAAAGTAAAGAACTCCTTAAGTCTGCGCGCGTCTGTCTGATCGAAATCACGAACCTGTTCATCGCATGGTCCAGAGAGGACGAGATGTACATGTTCGTAAGTACATTGGTCCTACCTCCTCTCACGAACACCCTGGCATCCAATTTAATGACGAAAGCTGACAGTTTTTGACATTTATCTTTTTTGGTCACAAAGAAATTCGACGAGGCAGAAGCACCCGAGGGCTCAGATCTCTATCGTGCCCGTGCCGTCGTGGCCACCATGCTCAAATGCGTCGCCCACGACCTTCGCAGAATCCCCAATACGCACCCATCTCGTTCATTTCGTGAGGACGAATCGGACAAATACACTCTGGGTTTTATGATAGACCAATTAACTGAGGCAGCCGACAAACATCTGCAACGTGAGTTCAAGTGGCTATAGTGACTACTCATGCGCTGGATGTGGTTGGGATGTGGGACAAGGTCACTGAAACTGACTGCTGTTTTCTGGTTTAGACACGGATGGGAGTCCACCAGCGAACTGGAGTGATTTCTGGGACGATGTGTATATCCTGATGCATGCAATGATCGGAAAACTACGGGAAGCAGGATACGGTAGCGACCAGTGACCACGTCGGTTTGTCTGCCATGCCTATTTCCGGGAGCATAGGGAGTTCGTTTATGGTCGCATCATGTCAAGGACTATACATACGTACTACATATTGGGTCAGACATAGTAGTGGACTACGTTATGCCCGGCTACCAACAGGGTACTTACCGATCAAAGGAGACCTATAATCATGCCCCGATCGCAGCGTTCGTATTCACATTCCGAACAGCATCATTTACATTCAATTTCAGAAATTGCGCGAAGAACAGCAGGGGTCAGAGACAGAGATACATGACATCCAGAAAGTACGCTCAACATACAATTATTTATGACTTCGACGGGGGGCACGGCACGAAACCATGAGAACGGAGTACGACAACCGAGTCAGAGGAACTTGAACAGGGAAGGGAAAAGCGATCGAGAGCAAGAAGCTGAACCTAAGGGATAATGATACAACTGTCACGACAGACGAACGTACGTAGACAGACCAAGAGAACAAACGACGAGTCGAAGACTCAACGAGGGCGCGGTCCGCCGTTGGATGAAGGGACCATTTCGAAAATATACAAACACAAAGCACGGCATACTGGTAGTAGTAGTACCACGGCCAACGGATCCAAACCAAAGTCCACCGACGAGGATTATGAAGACGAGACTCGAAACAGAATGAAAGTCAAGGAGGACCCCGAGCGTAGGCTATGGCGACGACACGAGCCCCGACAGATCCCCATTACTCCCACTAGCCCTTCTTCCCTTCCCGAATGCCGTTGAAGTCGACTGAGAGTAAAGCGTGTTCCCACCCGCTCCCAAATCGTCGCCCAAGAACTCACTCGGTAACGACGAAGGGAACAAGCTCGCCATATCCATCCCGCCATCATTAAACAGCGCCATAATCTCCGCCGGCGTCAAAGCCAACGCAGGATCCGACTTGATATTCAATGGATCTCCCACCCCGCCCGAAGTATCCATAAAGTGTGGCGCATGGTTCGCCACGGAGGTATACTGCCTCGGCGAAGTAGGCACCGTCGAACCAGAACCGAACCCGTTCCCGTTTGCGCTGATAGTGCTACTACGTTGAAGCGGGGAGGTGGGACTGTTCATGGGCAGACCGTTGGAAGGTACGATCTTGTCAGGTGGCAAGACGGAGAGGTCGACGAACATGTCGCTCGGGGAGAACGCTTCGGACGTGTTGTCCTGTGGGGACTCGTGACTGCCCGATGACCGAGGTGCCGAGGGAGTCTTTTTCCGGACGGGTCTAATCCATGGAGGAAGCGGTTTTGTTTGTGGGAATTCCTGTGAGAGCGATGGGGTGTCAAGCGGGATTTGAGTGACTATAAGCGGGATAGGGCCGGGGTCGATTGGTGCGGACAAGGGCGGGAACGGGTGAGAGAAGGACGAAGTGTCAGTAGTGTGCGAGTGGCTTAGAAGACGAAGACGAAGCGGCAGAGGAAAAGGAAGAGAGACTGCGGTGGTGGAGATTGGGATGAGACGGGATAGTGGCGTGGTGTACGTACTTCTGCAGAACTCCTCCATGAGGTCCCCGGATCTCAAGCCACAGATATAGCGATTACTGAAACGCTTCAGGAGGCCTACACACGAGCGCAATGCGTCGAGTGCGGGAGTAATAAGCGGACGAAGAGACTCGGCTTGACAATTGAGTAGGAAGGCTACGAGAGTTCGGCCTGCCTGTGTGAGCTGATGAATGACATGAACGCCGTCTAGAACCAGAACAAGGAGCATCGCATGTTTAGTTCAAGTGATCCAGACCATCGCATCTCGAGGAGGATAGAAGACACAGGAATGAGTATACGTACAGTATGTCATGAGACCCTTGGTGGCGATGTGCAGGTGGGCGGTAACGATCTGGAGTGCGCAGGAGTGCGCCACAGACATGGCGTTGATTTCAACGTCCGTCTGCTCCTGGTCGCCCGTCGATGCTCTCACCGCCACCAGCTCCGAAAACCGATGGCGCATGATGAGCATCCTCACAAACTGGTGTAGACAATGTATCCTCTCCGCGTGCGTAACCTGGATCACATCGTCGCTCGACATCGTCTCCTGCGAATGTCCCCAGTGCGGGGGAACGGAGGCACAGACTTCGTCCAGCAGCGTCTCCTCCTCGCGCAGGCCCTTGTGTCGACGGAAACCGGACAGGATCCCTGTAACTCGATGCAAGAATGGTGAGGAATCGCCAAAGTACTTCGGTGGTGGCGTGTCCAGAACCGACTCCAGCACGACAAAGAACCGCAAAACGCAAACGAAGGCTCCCATCCTACTCTCCGTGTCCGGCGGCTGCGGCCCCACCCCGTCATGCGTGATGAATTCGTCGTCCACCGCCGCCGGCTCGGCCACATCGCAATCCCTTAGCCTGACCATCGGTGGCCTACCAAAATGCGCGCTCGCCTGCTTGTCCCACATATAGACGCACCAGAACGTCCGTTTCCTGACTTCCTCCTCGATCGGGTCGAAGATGTCGTACGCGTCCGCGGATCGATGGAGGCCAGAGTCGACGGAGAGCGTGATGGACTCGGAAAGGAGGGCAAACGCCCGGGAGAGCTTGCCCCATCCAATGGCGTAAACACCGGCGACTAGGACGGCTTGGACGGTGTATACTGTAGGTCGGTCTGCGGCGGGGAGAGTTCGAAGTTTGGCGAAGAGTTCGAACCACTGAGTACCAGAAGAGATGCCGTCGCTCGGATCGGCACGAACGCGGGGATCGTCGATGTGGCGTGAGGCAAGACAACACACGGCGACGATGAAGGCAGCGAAGCCTGGCTCTCCCCATTTTTGAGGATTACCGTAATCCTGAGTCGCAAAAAGAAGGAGACAATGATTAGTGAGGGATATTGAACGGCAGAACGGCTTGAAGAGATGCTCACATTCAGGAATGTGGGAATATGAAGGAACGGCATCAGGTAGTACGACGTGGACAGATAGCACTGCACCAGGCTACCAAACGTGCACGCTAAGGATCAGCTCTCACACCCTCGAGTGCAGAGACGCACCTGTCCATGAGATCCGGGCTGATGAACGACGTGATCAGCTTCCAGATCTTCTCTGGGTTGATATCCGTCCGTTTCGGTGTGCGGTCTGGGAACCACAGGCCCGAAGTCGCGTACGGGCTCTTCGTCGACCAGGATTCCTCCTGTGGACTCGGGTCCCGTTCTCGTTTTGGCTGTGGGTGGTGCCGCTCGACGAGAAGATCGAGAATGGGAAGACCAGAAGTTTCGCCTTGCCATCGCGTATAGCCCTCATCGTCGAGGTACAAGTATGACGAGGATAGACACATGCGGGCGGTATCTTCGGGCATCCCGTCGGTGCTACTGGTCTCGTTCCCTACAGCATTAGGGCTAGGGTGGCGCGAGTTGACGGTAGGGGTGAAATGTGTGGACGGATTCATGAGGGGGAAGATGTTGAGTGACGGTGGAGGCGCTGTGGGCGGAAATGCGTGAGTCGATGATCCGAGAATGGCGTGAGGACTCGTCGGATCACTAGAGGTACTGGGCATGTTTGCGAACGCGGAAGATCCACCAGCAGCAAAGACGGCTGGGGGAATGGCCTGGATGAGGCTCTCGAGGTGGTGCATCCTGTCTTCCAGTGTGGCTGTCCGTCTATTAGAAAACTGTAACGTTAGCCATCGTTATATTTGCGACAGCGGTACACACTGTTATCCGAAGCCACGTATGAATAGATTACGACCCGCCGAGATCATGCCAGAAACGGATGACAGTATGCCGAGGTTCAGGCCATTACTGGCGTTCACGCTCAAGTTATACAGCGAGCGAACAAGAGAAATCTCACGACGATGTAAATGTACATGGACTCTGTTTGAAAACTTCACACCCACGATCAAGAGCAAAACAGGTCACAAGCTCTCCTGTTGGAGTGGGCGCTCCGTAGCGCAGTCAAGCAAGCGAAGCAAGCACGATGCAGCGAACGCATCAACGCAAGCTTCAGAATTTAGCGCAGGATGGTGCACTAGACTGCACATTGCCTGCTATTCGTGTGCAATGTGTAAACCGACGAGAGTCGAAGGTCCGAGCACGATGCCGCTCAACGCCACATAGGAGCTCGATGTGTAAGCTCCTGAGCATGTTTTCGCCGGTGCATCGTCCGTATAATATCGAGATATTCCGTGGAAAGGTGAATACAGATAGTAGCTTACTTTGATTTGTGCGGGTGACTTCGCTTCCCCGGCTCCTCGAACGTACAAGGAGAGCTGGCGCTGAGACAAGCCTGACATGGGTGGCCCTCGTCGCACTTGATTCTTCGGCGGCTGTATAGCATATAAAGTATTAAGAAGCCTATATGTATGATTTAGAAACATGAAGCGCACCGACAACGATCACACGCCCTGAATCCAAGTAAGATGTTGTTCAGTGGGGCGAGTCATATTAACAGTATTCGCGATTTCGCACCTGCTCAGCTTGAACCTACGCTCCTTCAGCAACGACGCACCAGACTTTTCCTGCTGTTGTTGCTGTTGTTGCTGTTCTTCGGTGTCGGTCGCAGGAGACATGGCGGAGCGAGCTGAGGGTATATGTGTTAGGCCGTGCTCGTAGTGGTCGAAGAATAAGATGGATGGGCTCGTTAGATCATACCTTGACGCTGACTAAGACAGCCAATGCCAGTGGCCCGGCGTTCACCGATGCCGAGGCCCGGCGAGACAACAATTCCATATAAATCTCATAAAATATGGAATTCTCTTGTTCGTGTCTGGAGCAAGCCAGCGCATGAGCCAGAAGCATCGCAAAAGCCTCGTAATGAACGAGCGGCCGAGAGTGGACCACAATACCCTCGCGCCACATCGGACAGTGGTCGCTCGACAAATTGTGAGGATTGACAGAGGGCAGTGGCTCAATGTTTTCTATTTTAGCTCAACAGTCATGTGTGTTATATCTCCTATGATTCCGCCAGGTCAATGCATCTGATAAAATCACAGAGGAAGCGGAAACACGCTGGGCCACCTCTGTGGCACCATTCCTTCTCTCTTGCAAACCGTTTTCCGCCGCGCGACGGCAAGATACGGCAATTAGCAATCTTGTTCAGCGGTTATCCGATTGGACCGGCCAGCCTCGTCGAGGCCCTTCCGTGGTCGCCCGCTCTGCGGCGCCGTTCTCTGCTTGAACACCACTATCGTCTCTCTAATCAAGTACGCTCGAAAGTCTACGGTATACTGCTTGTCTGCCTGATATTGTCGCCATTATTGGGACATGTTCTTATTCGCCATATCGTAGTAACTACCATCGTCGGATATAATACGCACAGCCGCGACCCGTTGCAGAATGCTTGAAGATGGATCCTATTCAGCCAGACATTGGTGCCTTGCCAGTGTGCTATTCCTTGAACTTTCTGGATGCTAGGTTTATGCTATCTTCTTTGTGTAAGCTACTTCATTCTTAGTGACAGCAAGACACCACCACTAGCTCTGGATTTTGAGTGCTTCCGGAAGCGCAGGCCTCAAGCTTGAAGCTTGAAGGGCGACGCCACTAACTTTGCATCCCATGACCACCTTTGTAAATCGGTTGAGCAGCCGTATGCACCACCAGGTCCGCCACATTTTCTTCACTGCTATGCTCCTCGTTTGCAAGCGATAGCTCTCGTTGTTCGTGACATGTAAGCTTTGTTTTCTCCTACCAATCATTCAGACCTTTTGTCCCCTACCTTTTTCTAGCAGTTTCAGTCTATCGCCGCCGCCGTCCGTGGAGCCAACATGACATCGGTGGATGGACTCTGGAAATGTCTGAATGACATACCAATGACGACATGTCCAGTCATTTTCATCCGGACCTCGGGGGGACCTTCACCACAAGGACTCGTCTGCGTCTGTCTTCATGGCATGGCGATCATGTTCGATCAGCTACTAAGCCCGAAAGCTTTGTACACCGTACGACTACTATCACCAGCTGCCTGATCTCTCTTTGCTCTTCTTGCCAGTATCGACTGCGTGCGGTAACGTCAAAATTCAAATGGGCCGCTAATCATGCTCTTCGGATATCTCGAGGTTCGCATTGGATGAATGGTTATTTGTGTTGCTAACGACCAAGACGTAGTTTATGGCACTTTACTGCTACACGACGACTTTCTGCGACCACTGCACCCCCTAATATCTCAACTCCGAGTGCTGGTCTCGCGAACGACCATTCATCTTACCACCTCGCTCAGTTCCCTAGCCTAAATGATTTATGTCATCCCCCTTTGTGTCGTCGCCGTATGTGATGCAATTAGTCCTTTCTGGTCAAACCTGGAACCAGGGATACGCCGTCTGTCCATGTCGCCCTCGTATTGCGATCACTGCAGCTCAACGAGATCGACTGGTTGGCTCACAGATACCCACAGCCTCTACCTACGGATAGTCCAAAACAACGAAGATCAAAATGGAGAAGAATGAATACGGTCTTAGGACTGTATTTGTGCGTGCCAGTGAGTAAAGCTTGTATTGCAAGTAACGGGTGATGGAAGTTCTCGAGCAGTCCATTTTGTTTCGCTCGTCCTTATTAGTTTCTTTGTTCATCACAGCGGCGTCGATTTCCTTTTCGATCAATAGCAATGCGCAACCTCGCAGTCCGTCTTGCCCGGATTCAATTCTGCCACAGGACTTCATCGCATAGGTTCGGAACCCAGCAAGAGTGAGGAACTTTGTGACCAAATTCGTGTAATGGACGGCCCCTTGAGAGTGGTACGCGCATAATCAGGATAAGTAGGAGCCGTCTGTGACTCTAGCCGTCTGTGGCTCTAGCCGTCTAGAGGGCCTTTAGTGACAGACGTGAAGCGAGCACTTCTCAACCGAGGTGTTGTAAGTTTTCTACGGCCGTGCGAACAATTATGGAGTGTGAAAGTAAGATTCGCATGTGAAAACCCGAGCTAGAAAACCTATTTGCGATTCGCAGGATGTCAGCGATGGATAAAGTGAGGATGTTTCGGACGATGAGGAATTATAACCGAGAAATTCAAAGTCGACTCGCGTCCTCTTTGCCGCATCGCGCGGTTGAATAGTGCGCATAATGCTTATTAAACGCAGGAAAAAGTTGGTTAAAGCAGCCCACCTTTTCTACTCCTCGCCATACCCGCCCTTCTCCAGCTCAGATCCCAACGAATGCATCAAAATATAAATCTCCTCCCAAAACGCACTCCAATTGGCCGGTGGCTTCCCATCTACACCTATAGGTTCAAAACGACACATCAGATCGTGCTCTCTGCCATCATATAAAGACGCAGCCGTGTCGTGCTTATAGTTTACACGGAGTACGTGGGCGCGAGGCGAACGCACCTTGGAGGTACTTCTCCGCCACCTCGGCAATATCGTCGATCTGCATATCAAGAATCGCGTTCTCAGCGCGCGAAGGATCCGTCTTGGGTATCTTCGAGATATCGTGGGCTATGCAGTTGAGCATGGTGGATACCGCCGCTCGGGCGCGATACAGCTCCGAGCCTTCGGGGGCTTCTGCTTGGTCGAACGTCTATTCGATTCCAAGTAGCCAAAAAAAAAAGACAAAGATGAAAATCGCAAGTCAGTGAGCTGCAGCTGAAGGTAATCCGTGGTTACATTGGAAGGAAGATAAATCATGTATGCCTACAGTCATGTACTTCTCATCATCCTTACACCACACAATAAAAAATATAATAATCTCGCTAATCCGGGCATGTGCACTCTTCAACAGTTCCTTCGACTCTTCCGGAGATATCGACTTTAGCGTCGCATCGAAATGTTCTAGCCGAGCCTTCGAAGCTCCGATACGCGCGTGCTGTTCGAGGTGCTGCAGTACGAGGGTCTTGTTGATGGTGTAGTTTTGGCCTGGTTTCTGGTTTTGGTTCTGGTGAGGCCGGGTGGTCGAGAATTGTCGCGTTGGGTGTGCTAGAACGTCAGAGATGACGAGTGATAGGGTGTTAGCGGACCATGTTTTTACAGAGAAATAACATATCGTATCGTCTCACCTCGAGACACCGCAGAATCAAGTTTATGTGGCAGTAATGCTCCCCACGAGCGAACAGCAGGGGCTTTCAAATTATAGGAGCTTTGTTTTGAAGTCTGAGGAATAGCGGCACGATACGAGCGAATACTGCGCTTGAATTGAAGGCCGTCACGTCAGTTCAGAGTCCATCGAAAGCAATGAGGCAGCGTGTAAGATCATTGCAGCTGCAATCCAGTCCTACCATTTTCAAGCCACAGTGCATCAGACCCGCACTCCTTTTCAATGCAACGAGGCTCATGACCAGAGTCTCGACTAGAAGAGAAACGGGAAGGAAAGCCGTAGACGTCAGCAAGCTTAAGACGAGAGGAGGTTGACCGTCGAAGTTCGACACGAAAGCTCTGACGCGGTTCGAGTCTGAGGTTCTCGGGAATTTCCGGTGCCACCCGAACCACCTGTCGGTTCGGGTGTGGCGCCACATTGGTCAAACGCAGAACATAATGACATGACCTGATCTATCCAGCCCTTTAACCATCCAGACAAAAACCGTGTCAATTCGTATAGATCGTGTTACTATGGATTCAGTACATATCATGCTAGAAGCTGGAGAACCATTAAATCCACACGATGTACAATACAACAGATCCGAAGTAACGTAGAATGATAGGATGAGGGTATCACTACGAGAACGAAGAACAAAGCGATTAACGGAAACCGGACTAGACAAACGGACAAATCAAGTACGAAAACAAAACAAAAACAACTGACAAATAGCGACACTAGACCCACAAAAACGAGACGACCCGGGAAAAGCGTAATCACACTCCCGTGGGCCGTGTATCTTCGCCCACCACAACAGATCGACCAACAAAACCCTCAGAAACGACACCACGATTAGTGACTTCCGCGTACACATCGAACCTCCAAACCCCCACCACCACCCACCACCGCCCACCACCAACACGCCCTCAAACTCACCCTCAAACCCACCCCATCATCCCTAAAACATATCCCATCCCAACCCCCCATCCCACCGCCTCCCATATCCCGCCACCCATTCCCCCACCACCAAATCCGATCCTCAAACTCACTCCCCCACTCGTACTCCCGGAACCACCGCCGGACGAAGAAGCAGATGCAGTAGCTTGGGCGACGCCGAGTGAGTTCGTAGATGCCGCGTCCGCAGTGCCCGTCGGTGCCGACTGCGTAATTTCTGAAAGAGAACCATTCAACATCAGGATTACAAACAAACAAAAAAATCGCATGAATAGATGGAAATTGCAAGGTAACGTCAACGCACCAGGAAGCCCTCGCCCAGCCTCCTCAGCCTCCTTCACCGCGTCTTCCAACTCCTCGTTCGCGTCCTCCGGAACGGTAGATAATAATCCTACGCGGGGCTGATCCTGCGACGGATAGGTCAGGTTACCGTAGTAGAACGATACGAGCGCGCTGTTGGGTGTCGAATGTCAAATGTATGACAACGTCAGAAAATGACCGAGCGGGGAGGGAGGCAAGGAGGCAAGGGGTAAGGGGGGAACATGAGTGAAAAGACAAAAGATAAAAAAAAACGCACGATTTCAAAAACGGATCGCCCAAACTCCAGCTATACAAAAACCCACCGCTCCCCGGCGGGTCCGTCACCGCCAAATTGAACGAACACGTCGGTTCGCTTCCGTCTCCATCCTCGTCATCGCCGTCATCGCCATCACCGCCGTCGTCCCCCGAAGAGGAGGAGGAGGAGGATGAGGATGAGGAGACCTGGGTTCCGAAATCTCTCGGATCGACAGGAAACATCCTCCCCCCAATCTCAAACGCGAGTGTGTGTGGCTCGGAGCAGGGATAGGTCACCGTGTTCGTATTCGCATTCGCGTTCGCGTCGGAGGAAGAAGAAGAGATCATGGAAGCGATAGTAGAAAGGACATCGGAAGGACCGCGAATGAGTGAGTTGCCCTATCGTCGTGTTAACGGCGAGCGTAAATAGGAGGATCGAAAAGGATAAAGGAAGGTAGAGACATACGGTATCGATGAGCGCAGAGAGCGATATGTTCGAAGAGGAAAGGTTTGACCGGGGGAGTTTCTGTCCATCGAAATATACGTCGTCCAGGAATACTTCCCACGTAAGCGGATATACCTATTTAATCGTCTCAGTCAACCAAAATCCAACAGCCAACATCCAATCAAAGGAAAAAAAACACACACCTCCCCAGGCGAATCCCCCGGCCCCGGCAACCCCCCTTCCTCTTTATTATACCCCCTCACCGGCACCCAACTTACTGCACTCGGGTCCACACCCCCGGGCAGTTCCCCAATACTCAACATCCCCGCATTACCACCGATGTCAAACGCGTCGCGCTGGAGCGTGATGGTGATGAGGGGGGAGGGGATGGAGTTTGTGAGTGCGAGGCGGGGGATGAGGGGGCCGTAGGTGGTGAAGCCGGCGAGGACGTCGGGGACTGAGATGGATGGTGCACGGGATGAGAGGGAGGGGAGGGAGGGAGGCGGAGGAGTTTTGAGGAAGGAGAAGGAGGGGAAGATGCGGGTTGAGAAGGAGGGGGAACGGGAGCGGATGAAGGGAGGGAGGGAGAGGTCGGAACGGCGGTTGGAAGAGGTCGGAGAGGATTTCTGAAGTAGTGTGTTGAAGATGACGCTACAAGAAAGAGATTATCAGCCGCGGTGAACAAGGAGAAGACGAACATAGTGAACGCGTAATAGGGGCTAAAGCTCCACGCCACACGGAAAAGTTAACAGCCCGGCGCCACAAATTCAACCCAGACCTAATCCACAACCATGCCCAATAAACGCCCAAACTCACCTATTAATCGGAAACCCAAGCCCAAAGATTCCCGCCGACCCCGTTTCAAGCACGCTCGTATTCGTATCCGAAATCGCGGCGAAATACTGCCCGTCGAGCGTCAATCCCGCTACGCCCGCGGTGTCTTTCCCAATGGGCCCGTCCGCGTGCGTCCCGGTTTGCGAGTCGCCGTAGAGGAGTTGAACGGAGAGGCCGGAGTTTTGGAAGGAGGAGGTCGGGTAGAGCGGGATGGAGGCGGTGGAGGAGCAGTTTGAACAGGCGTCGGAGAGGATCCAGAGGTCGGAGGAGCCGGTGTCTGGTCAAGTTCGAGTCAGTGTGTTTTATATTCGGAAAGAATTGGGAGGGGCTACGTGCCTAGTACTACAGGCGTTTCGACGGATCCTACTTTGACCATAACGTTGTATGTACTGTGGCGAGCGTTTCATGAGGATATGAGAGCATAGGATATACAAGTCACGCACACGTCCGCGTCGTCGCCGAGCCCAGTCTTTCCGGTAAATGCACGCCTCTCCAGCCCGCCCGCTACTGACCGTCGAATCGGAAGGTGAACACCATTTCCTCCTCCTTTTCCAACCAAAGGAGAGGGCACAGCAGAGACCGAGGCGAGCAGAGCCGCAAGGCCAGAGACGAAAAGAAAAATCATGAGCTGTCGTCGAAAGCTTTTGAGGGAAAACGAAGGTGGAATGAAAGATCGTGTGGGTCGTTCCGAGGCGTCAGGTCATTGCTGGGTTGTGGGGATGAATGAGTCCCTTGGCGGAGACCAAGCGTGTTCCAAGAGTGTGTTCATCCCCGCAAGGCAAGACGCGAACTTGCTGACAAAGACACGCGCCTCTTCACCTTGACCATACTGACCGCGACGGTTATAATATTTGTGCTCGTTTTATTCTGATATGGACTTTCGTTGAATATCTAGGACTTATACCGCTGTAATCCTTAGGTCCATGACTTTTTGTGACGGTCCACTGATAAGTCTTCACTCGGACTTGCTACACACTTTCCTCGCATCGGGCCATCGCGACTGGTTCAACTACAACTTGTAGTACTGCATGACGCACTGGTCGTCCTACACCAGACTTCCATCCATCCACAGGTACAACTCACACCCCGATACAGACCGACCAAATCGCAGACACGTCTGATGTTCATGCCCATGTATCGAATATAGCACCGGCCTTCGGAGGAGCGACGCGCCCGACATCTGAAATCATCATGATGGATCTCCAAGGCTAACTCACGACTTTCTATCCAATCCGCCACTTCTCAACGAGGCTTTGAACCTACAATGCATATGTGCTTGCGATTGTGATATCCGCGCTCTCCATTCTTATAGATCACAACATCAATTCCCGGCGGTCTTCTTTCTTTACATTCTGTGGCCACCCCGGTGCCTAGTAATCTCTTCAAAGCGCCATCTCGCAGATTCTAACGCCGAGTCTCCATTGCCGCTGAGTCGAAACCGTGTACTGTGTTATACGGATCCGACTCAACTTGAATCATAGCGCTTATCGACTGGAATGCACAGCCCGACGACGGAACACGACGTGACGATGGTATAAAACCCCAGCCGGAGGTGACAGACCAGCCTTTCCCCGATTCCCCTGTCCTTGACTATGACCTTGAACACGATGGCCTCGACGACGCTGCCCTCGAAGATGACTCTGCTTTTCCTTTCTGTTCCGCTGTTGGCGTCCATTGTGCTCGTGCGCCGGCTATTGCGTCCTGCGTCGCCGTTCCGAGATATTCCGGGACCAAGAGCTGTCAATTGGGTCACAGGTGGGTTTCGTGTTTTCTTCATATGCTATGGGTCGCGTGCACCGGATGGGTGAATGGTTGGTTGGATGGTTGATTGGTTGTTGTGGAGATTGGAGCATAGCATGCGTTGTTTGTGCCCTCTTGGCTATCTACTCATCACGATGATCCTCATCGCACGTTCCACTGGACTTACTCTGGTTCACCTCCGCAAAAATAAAAATAAAAACTTGTAACAGGAAACCTCCTGCAGCTCTTCAACGCCAAAGGTCTTCGATTCCATCATGATCTGACGAGGCTTTATGGTGACGTCGTGAAGATATGGGGTTTCTTTGGTGTGAGTCTCCTCGTTCTTCTCTTCTGACATCCTGACGGCCCTGGGTTGATTTGATTGACATGTACGGGAAAAAATATACAGGACGAACAACTGTACATATCCGATCCGAAAGCACTACAGCATATTATAGTGAAAGACCAAGATGCCTTTGAAGAAACGACGACGTTCATCGAGTGCGTTTTCATCCGTTCCTCCATCCATCTTTCTTTCCTTCCTTCTCTCCAAAGTTTGATTGATCTTGTTTATTGTTTGTTTGGTTTTCGTATGGTAGGACGAACAAAGTAATCTTCGGCGAAGGCCTCGTCGCGACCACAGGCGAACAACACAAACGCCAGCGCAGGATCGTCGGTCCCGCGTTTTCGGTCATGCAGCTGAGGAGGCTCGTCCCGGTGTTTTATGAGGTTGCAAGGAGGGTGGGTATCTTTCTTTTTTTATTTTCCCCGCTTCTTTCTATTGTTCTCCTTTCCTTGTCTCCTTTCGATTGCTCTCCGTCCATTTTTATTCGTCGCGTCGTGCGTGTGGGTGTGTGTATGTGTGGGTATGCATGGAGGCTTACTGTGCTCGTGATTCGTGAATAGTTGACCGATGCGGTATCGGACGAGATCTCACAAGGCTCCGACCCTCTCGATCTTACCTCAAGTCAAGGTGGACCGAACGGGTCGACTGAGAAGGATGGAGAGCGCAACGAAGCGATCCTGGACATGTCACAATGGATGTCGCGCGCGGCTCTCGAATCCGTCGGGCAGGGCATCCTCGGGTATTCGTTCGATCCTTTGAACTCGCCGTCTACGAATTTGTACACTAGGGCTGTGCGGGAACTTATGTACGTTTTTTTCTTCCTTTTGTCGGTCTTCTACAGCTTCTACATACTTCCCGTGACCTCACCGGAGTCGGTATACTTATATACTCACTATTATGCTAACGTCCAACTTGCTCCACCCACCCAGCCCCGCCCTCTTCTCCGTCTCCCTCATTCGCCAATTCGCCCCCTTCCTCTCCAGACTCGGGCCCCCCGCCTTCCGACGTAAAATCGTAGAATGGACTCCAAATGAGACGGTACAGAAGATCACGGAGATGTCGGATGTGATGTACGGGACTGCGAGGGGGATTTTGGAGGGGAAGAAGAGGCTTTTGATGGAGGAAAAGGAGGTAGGAGGGGAGGAGGGGGAGGGGGAGAAGGATAAGGATACGGGGGAGAATGGGGAGGAGGATAAGATGGAGAGGGAGGGGTTGAGGGATGTTATTAGTGGGCTGCGTGAGTGCTATGTCCATTCGTCTGGCTATAATGATCGATAGCTCAAGAGGCGGAAATATAGTACGAGAGAATCAGAACTCGAAAGGCGAGAAACATCTGTCAGACGAGGAAGTCATCGGTCAAATGACGTGCGTTCTCACCGTCTCTCCCTATCCTCGTTGTTCGCTGATAAATTGAAATACTCTCCTCGCACCATGACAGAGTCCTCATCTTCGGCGGCCAAGACACGACCTCCTCCGCGCTCTCCCGCATCTTATACATGCTCGCCTCCCACCCGCACATCCAAGCCATGCTCCGCGCTGAACTCCGTGCGGCGCTTCCTGATACGGTGAACGATGGCGAGCTGGGATACGAGCAGCTTTCGGGCCTGGTGTGGATGGATGCGGTGCTAAAAGAGACGTTGAGGTTGTATCCGCCTGTTCCGTTCGTGCGCCGTGTGTGAGTGCGCTCTCATTTCGTTGTTCCTGTTTTTCCGTGTGGTTTTGTTTCGGTTCCTTCGTCCTGATCATGACATTCCACGTATAACAGAGCCACGCAAGACCGTACCATCCCCCTCTCAACGCCCATCAAACGTCCCGGCCACGAGCCTCTGACAGCACTCACTATACCCACCGGCACGACTCTCTTCGTCGGCATCGCGGCGGCCAACAGGGATAGGTCGATATGGGGCGATGATGCACTGGAGTGGAAACCGGAGCGATGGTTGACGGGGGCGGAGACGTTGAACAATGGCAGCGATCAAAGTTTACCTTTGCCAGCTACGACTGGTATTAGTATCAGTGTGAATGGACCTGCGAAGGGCGAACGGCTTCCGGGGATCTATGCGGGGATGTGAGTGGTTTCCTTGACCTTCTTGACCTTTAACTTTTGGACTTCCGTTCCGTATCACAACTTTCTCGATATCTGTCTTTGTTGCCACTTGACAGTCGAGACCAGAGTACTAACTAACGACGCGCGGGTTTGTTGTTGTTGCTGGTGCAGGCTGAGTTTCTTCGGAGGAGGGAGGTCCTGCGTGTGAGTCGCTTTCCCATTCTGATCCTTGATCGCTAGCTGAGACTGATCGCGCATTGTGGGTTGCTCTTCGTGTGGCGGTGATAACAGTGGCTACAGGTTCGCGCAGCTCGAGATCAGTGAGTAAATCCCCTTTTCTAAACTCAGTTCCCTGACGAAATCAATGCTGACCGTGTCATATTGATGGCTTCCCAGAGATAATCCTCGCCATTCTCCTCACACGATTCTCGTTCTCGCTCACACCGAACGAGATAGACGTCGATATCGTGTGGAACCTCTCGCAAATCATTTCGCCTTCGTATGTGTCCAAAGGTAAGGTAAAAGAGCACGGTGGTAGCGTCGGTAGTGGGGTAGAAAGGAAGGAGAAGCAGGGTATGCCCCTCATCGTCAGAAGGTTGTAGGCTTGTAAGGTAGGGGTAGAGCTGGGCGCAGAAGTGGCGCGAGCAGCCCACATCGGAGAACTTTATCGAGACTCACCCAGCATGAAATAATTGCATAGGTCTCAGCGTGGTATGTGCACCGTCTCAGATGTAGTCGTAAATTACATAATATATGTATCTTCAAAGGTTACATTCATACTCGCGCGCAAGTTGAAATATCTGGTTATGTAAAGTCCGTGTTGCTCTGCACTCTGTCATTTTGTTTCGTCCTAGCTACGATCTGCGTGCCAGTGCCATACACGCTGTCAATCTCATGTCAAGTATGCGGAAGCACAAAAAGTATGAAAAGACAATAATGGAAAATCTTGTAAGCACAAAGTATCTGGATGAGACTTTACATAATGCCACCCCCTCTACACATGTTACCCCGTAGCTATTCTTCATCTCCCTGATCCGATATAACACTTCGTCCAATCAGAGCCCAGACATGCTGATGAGAAGTCAAGAACAGAATAAGGCTTTCGAGAGATGACAAGCCGAATGTATTTGTTGCAAAGGCTTTGGTGCAAATGGGTCGGGAGCCAAATAAGACGGTGGTTGGATGTTTTCGACATAAGCCAGCCGTCAGGACCTGATTCCCATTCGATGTCGCGATCATCCTTCCCAGTGGATGCATCCCATATGCGCACCGAGCGGTCCCAAGAGCCCGAGACCACGCGCTGGCCGTCAATGGAGAACGCAACAGATTTGACAGTGTCATCGTGGCCCTTCAGTTTCTGCAGCTTCTTCCTAGTGGACGCGTCCCAGATGCGCACCGACTTGGTGTTCAAACACGAGACCACGCGCTGGCCGTCAGTGGAGGAGGCGACGGAGGTGAGGTAGCCAGCGTGGCCCTTCAGTTTCTTCAGCTCCTTCCCGGTGGACGCGTCCCAGATGCGCACCGACTCGTCCCCCGAGCCTGACACCACGCGCTGGCCGTCAGCGGAGAACACCACGGAGGTGATAGGGCCAGCGTGGCCCTCCAGTTTCTGCAGCTCCTTCCTGGTGGACGCGTCCCAGATGCGCACCGACTCGTCGTATGAGCCCGACACCACGCGCTGGCCGTCAGTGGAGAACGCAACGGAGGTGACAGGGCCAGCGTGGCCCTTCAGTTTCTGTAGCTGCTTCCCGGTGGACGCGTCCCAGATGCGCACCGACCTGTCGTACGAGCCCGAGACTACGCGCTGGCAGTCAGTGGAGAACGCAACGGAGACGACAGGGCCAGTGTGGCCCTCCAGTTTTTGCAGTGAGTCCTTCCTGGTGGACGCGTCCCAGATGCGCACAGACTCGTCCCCCGAGCCCGAGACTACACGCTGGCAGTCAGTGGAGAACGCAACGGAGGCGACAGGGCGAACGTGGCCCTCCAGTTTCTGCAGCTCCGTCCCGGTGGACGCATCCCAGATGCGCACCGACTCGTCGTACGAGCCAGACACCACGCGCTGGTCATCAGAGGAGAACGCAACGGAGGTGACAGGGCGAACGTGGCCCTCCAGTTTCTGCAGCTCCGTCCCGGTGGACGTGTCCCAGATGCGCACCGACTCGTCGTACGAGCCAGACACCACGCGCTGGCCGTCAGTGGAGAACGCAATGGAGGTGACAGGGCGAACGTGGCCCTTCAGTTTCTGCAGCTCCGTCCCGGTGGACGCGTCCCAGATGCCCACCGAGTTGTCGTACGAGCCCGAGACCACGCGCTGGCCATCAGTGGAGAAAGCAACGGAGGTGACAGGGGCAGTGTGGCCCTCCAGTTTCTGCAGCTCCTCCCCGGTGGACGCGTCCCAGATGCCCACCGACTTGTCGTATGAGCCCGACACCACGCGCTGGCTGTCAGTGGAGAACGCAATGGAGGCGACAGGGCCAGCGTGGCCCTCCAGTTTCTGCAACTGCTTCCCGGTGGACGCGTCCCAGATGCGCACCGACTTGTCGTATGAGCCCGAGACTACGCGCTGGCCGTCAGGGGAGAACGCAACGGAGGTGACAAGGCCAGTGTGGCCCTTCAGTTTC